TTCCTCAAACAGGCGTGATTTGTGACTGACCCATGCGATATCACCTTATGCGTAAAGTTTATCTTATAAACTAAACAAAGAGTTTTAATTTTCATAAGAAAAAAATATATAAATTTTAATTTGTCCAAATGAATATAAAATCTAATGTAAATGTTGAAAACTCAGTTCATGTATATACAATTTAAAATTTGGATAATCCTGAATAACGTAGATAAATAACCAAGAATATCAAATGAAAACCAAGAGTTGTCTGTCCTGAATTGCGAGTAAACTTCAACTTGCTAGTTACCATTAATGCTAAAACAATACAAACAAAACGTTTTAAAACTTCTGATTCGTTGCGATATTTTATATTCACTAGTTTTAAAATTCTTACACCGACAACAGGCTTCTGATGTAAGCTACGTATCAATGTAAAATTAAACATATGAGCCGCGTCGCGACAAAACCAACATAATGGTTTTGCGACCATTAGGGATCCAGACCAGCCTGTGCATCCACACAGTCAGATCAGGATCCATGCTGTTCGCTTACAAACTCTATAACAAGTAGAGAAACCGATAGGGAACAGCATGGATCCTGATCAGACTGCGCGGATGTGAATAAAATTGAAAAGAGCAATGTCTTTAAATTGACTAAATGTTTGCATCAAATAATGGGGATTTGTATAAAAATAAAAACTGCGAGTTAAAACAAGTTTTATACTCGTTGAATTATCAAGACTGAGAAACAATTTTATCTAAAAATTTATTAACCTATTTTTTAGAAGTACTTAGCAATTTTCTTTTAAAATATGTTAATCTGATAAATCTGATAATTTTTGTTATTATATCGAATAAATAAAAAATAATCTATTTTTCGGCTATCAATTTCATAAATTACTATTAAAATAAATAGAATTTGAGTGTCTCTTTTCGATATGATCTTTCAGCTTGGTTGCACATTGATTCGCACCCCTGATTTAAAGTGATAATTGAGATCGCTCAAGATTATAAAGTCCAGTCAGTGGACCAATCAAGCATATGGGGCCTCCGTGGCCGAGTGGTTAAAGTCATTGACCTGAGATCACAGATCCCTCACCACTGTAGGTTCGATCCTCACTCGGGTCGAAATCTTTCATATGAGGTAGCCATCCAGCTGGCTTTCGGAAGGTCGGTGGTTCTACCCAGGTGCCCGCTCGTGCCTGAAATAATGCCCGGAAGGGCACGTGGGGTCTTCCTCCACCAATAAAGCTGGAAAAAAATCGACGAAAAATCTCGGCGGGCGCTCTAGGATGACCTGACTTGAGTGTACGGTCGCCCATATTGGCCTTCCGGCGGCGACCTTGAATAAACGCATCAAAAACAAAATAAACATACATATGTCGTGTCACACACACTGATTAATCCCTTTGTACTACCATGTCAAGGGGCTGTAATACCTTGACATTTCGATGTTTAAATGTCGTAATTTTTCATTCGGTGTCCCAGTTTTCGGAAACTTGGGTTATACTTCAAATAAATTTTAACAAGTATGCGCCTTTCACTTTAATTTCCTTGATAAGCTTTGAAAAGCGATTCTCTGAAAATATTCATTTACATTTGTACTGCACAATATATAATAAAGTAAACATAAAAACATTCATATCATCAATGAATTATAAGTACAAGTTAAACAATAAATCAAATTAAAACTTTTGTGCCTTTAAATTTAAATCTTAATGTAAATTATTTTTTAAAACAATTGCATTTATTTGTTAAAATACATCAAATTACAGATTTAAACTGACGAGATTATCAATAACAATACAATTGTTTGATGGACTGGAGGGGGGGGGGCTTTTGTACTACCTGTATTTTTGATTGGCAGGGGGGGGGGGGCTTTTATCCTACGTGTAAATTTCATGGGGAGGGGGGCTTTTGTCCACCTAGTCATTTTTAGATGGGGGGGGGGGCTTTCGTCTGCGGGGGTGGGCTTTTGTCCGTTTCACCATTAAAATAAATAAATTACTTATACTGACTGACTGACTGACTTATACACACACATGAAGTATAAAGATCCTTTCACATTATCTGCAGATTTCATAATTAAAATAAAACTTTATCAGTATAAGAATATTTGGAGTATCGGTAAAAATTCGAAAGTCCAATTTAAAAAGTGATTTTACCATCAATATAGAATTTAGTATGTTCTAAACTTGAGTTTTTAAATCAAACTACGACAATTTTTATTTTTAAACAGAAATTTACTTTTACAAAGTCTGTTTTCAAGATGCATAATTTTATTTTAACCAGGGTACAAAATAATGTTAATTTACATAGCACGGCCATGTTCCCCTGTCCTGAACAATGTTCAAGTCATGAATTATGCAGAAACCCGGCTGATAGGAGACGAGACTCGGGAGATGATGATGATATTTCAAGAAATGCTATCTGTCATTTTCACGGGAGGGCTTTTGCCCACCCTATCATTTTCACGGGAGGGCTTTTGTTGTCCTTGTCATTTTTGGACGGGAGGGCTTTTGTCCGAGAGGGCTTTTGTCCGTCTCCCATTTGGAATAATTTGACATCATTTATCAACAATACATGTGCGTACACACCAGTCACATCCATCTGATTCTAGCTTGTTAACTTAGATATAATTGTTCTGGCGGCAGGCTACTTAAAAGTTTACTTTAAGATAAATCTTAATTGTGTCTTGTTTAAATGACGAATTCCGCCAAATAAAAGGATAACAACAACACCACGCTGCAAAAACATTAGAAAGAATACAGCAGCAGTTATGTCTGTTTCATTTTAATATGTCGGGGTAGAGTCTTTATTATATCTGGAAGAAAATCACATAGAGACTCGGTTATGAGATCACAATGAATTCCCTTATCTCGTACATGAATTAAATTAGAAATTGTCAGAAAAAATACCGTTAAGACATTCAACACCAATTGCGCTAACTTACCTAATCGGAGAAAATCGACACTCAATATACCCTGCTGCGTTTGTGATAAATATCCGGATCAATATCCGGCTTAATCAGTATTGTCTTCGATTATGGCAATACAGCACGTGGCTATTACACAATATTATGTCATAAGTGAGACCGCGCAAAAAGAATCGAAATTGGGGAATTCGGAACTTCATAAGATTTCTATTCAAAACTTGTGTACAGAAACGCAAATCTTTGTTTCCTGAAATAAAAGATTAAATAAATAAATAAATAAAAAATGATAAATAAGAAATATTTGAATAAATGAGTAATGAATAAATGAATATATGAATAAATGAATGAATGATTGGCTGATTGATTGATTCAATGAATGAATGAATGAATGAATGAATGAGAAACATTGTTGTTTTTTTAACATATGCAAGTACATGTATTATATTATGCATAGCCTATTTTGTATAGGACATATATAAACGTTAAATTTACATGTTGTGTCGACAATTTAGAAGCTAGAATACCGCGTTTGCATGTTACAGGAGATGTACGGGACCGTATATTATACCAGTTACATTCTTTCTGAGGTGTCCCTATAAATCACTTTTATCTCATTACATTAAACTTAACCTGTGAATAAATGTAATGAAGATATCCAAGGGACCAATTAAGTATATTCAAAAAACGCCTTCATCACGTGTCAACAGCCGTTAAACCAACAAGGCACACATTGTTTTATCCAAATATTTTGTACGACTCCGTGACTGAAACCAAGAATGTCAGTAATGTCCTCCACAGAACCTTGTCGATCTTATAAGATAACGTGGTTTACCCGTAAAACGTTGTTTCTCACACTGAGACTTGTTAACAGTGTCTCGTGGGAGTATTAATATTTTCCACGCTACAATACTTACAAACAAAGTAAAGGTTAAGTTTGAAAGAAAGAATAGATATATAAATTCAAATTTGACATGGGCATTTAAACATGCCTCGCAATGCGCTTCTGTAGTAGACAATCAGGGATATTAACTTTTCACAAAACAAGTTGAGTAATACTCGGATTATTGCTTAAAATTTCGGACATTTTTGTCTAAATGGTAAGGAGAAGAACTGGTCAGAAGAATAAGAGTGTTTTTTTTTGACAACAGCAGATGGAGTTTTCCCAATGGCATTTAGCACGCCAACATTGACATGATTGATGATGATTCCGCGTGGGATTTCCTATCAGTCAATGGCAGCGTCGCTACTTTATTGTAAAGGGAAGAAGTTTAATATGATATTTCTAAATTTCTACTTGTTGAATGGAACAAAAATTATGAGATCATTGTTCCAATCTCCTTTATTTACGGAATACATACTAACTGTTCTCGTAATTTGGTCGAGTGAAGAAACAAAAAGGGAGACTTGGTGTAAAACATGTTCAGTACTATTTATTTCACATTCCATCAAAATAAATAATAATTTATGTTTCAAGTTTTTGTATATTATATTATATATTATAAATGCATTTGGTATAATAACACAATTTTATATAAAAAAAGAAAAACACGTCAAGATGTTTGATTTTCTTTTTGTATTTACCTTGGAATTTTACCTTCTCTATCAAAAAAGCAGTTTTTAAATAAATATTGCCCGTTAAATTTTCCGAAACAAATTATATTGCAAATTTTTTATATCGGGTATGAAGTTTTGTGTCCAGATTCTTTATTAATTTTCATGAAAGTTTTTAAAAGGTATTTATAAGTAAAATACAATGTTTTTTTTAAGTAAACAAAGAAAATAATTTACAAATTGCATACGACACTGACAACCAATGTAAATAACTATAAAATTATCAAAATATGCAAAACTAGCTCTTACGGCGTTAGTAACGAAGTAGAAATATGATGAAAAAGTACTAAAATCGGTCATTCATTGCGCATAATATGGAAATTATTACTTTTATCTTAAATATATTTACTTTCCTTAAAATCTGAGAACATTGTTCTCAAGTTAAATATTCTTAAATTTTGCCTTCTCTGGAGGCATGCATCTTTATGAGACATTATACAAACATAATTCGTTAAATATAGAAAATTGAGGTAGAGAAAATGAAACTGAAATATTCTGGCTGATCATTAAAATTATAATTGTACACATGACAATATTATAAGATATCTGTTAGACTATTTTCGTGAATATAATATTGTTACTATCTCATTCATATCGTCATTCAAACATATATCCAAATGAATCAATTCATAAATCCAACAACATGTTTCTCTTCAGTTATAACTTAATTTGTTGACCGCAAGCTTCCTGAATTCTCTGTACTGTTGCTGGGCAATCAAGCCTGAAGTATCCAGTTATACCGATCTGCGCACGCGCAGATTGTATTGCTGCCTTTATTGCAGCAAGGACTGACAATGACAATATAAATGGCGGCTCTCCAACTGACTGAAAAAGTAACATTTCCCTTCAATTAAAAAATATTGAATAAAAACGTTATATGTGTATTCCAGTTTATGGTAAGATTGAAATCGAATTTTACTATCACAACAATTAGGAACCTTTGGAAAAGAAAACATAGTGTAAAAACTGATATATCAAAAATAAACCAAGAAATAAATAAAATAAGTTTCACTTTATTTTTATCAAAAAAACATTCCTCTTAATATTTTTGTATTATTGAGCTGCTTTTTAACTCATGTACAATGCTTTGAAATCAAGTTTTTTTTTAACATTTGTTGTAAGTACAAACCTTTGAAGAATAGATATTTGTAACTATATCGTGATTTTTCAGCAATTTGACAACAAACTTTCTTGGAATACTTTTTATATTAGGTATTTTGTACCCGAGTGGACTGCAGGTGTTCAGACGACCCTTTTCATCTATCTCCATATTCTCCGAGGTAACCATACCTAATCCCTACAACAAAGAAAAAAATTGTTGTCTTACAATGTACGAATGATTCAGTAACACAAAAGTTTCTTCTAAATCAGCAATATAACAATTACAAAGACAATGATGTGCATTTTAACAAGTGTGCTTCATGTGAACTTTAAGACAAAAAATTTTACAGTTAATACCTGCACAAACGCGCCTTCAATCTGTCCGATGTCAACTGCAGGGTTTAAACTTTTACCGCAATCAACATACAAATTCGATTGAAGTACCTAAAAAAATGAGATGTTTTCTTTTACTTTATCTAAAATAAAGGCAGTCAGTATCAGTTTAATTTCGTACATATAATGATCAAAAATGACAAATTCCTCCATATGAATATGGTAAATAAATTCTTTTATCATTTGTCTTTAATATAATATGATTTTTCGGTCACTGTGGACAGTGCAGCTGTATTTCAGCTGTCCACCAAGCGTATCGATACTTAAGACTGGTCAATATAGAGGGTGTATGTACAAAGGTATTTGACCATTCGACGTACTATAGGTTCACTACACACAGACGCCCACTCACCCCGCCCTCGTTTTGAGATTATACTTAAGATTGTATATGTCATGCTGGACTTTGTAATGTCACAATCATGTTTAAAAAAATGTATACTTTAAGGTTAATCAACGGTATTGATTAATGTATATTTAATATGGAAATTATCTTTGTTTTGTCTTTTTCAGAGTAGACAAATTTTTGTTGTCTTTTGATAACGTTGCAAGGAAGGATGCTTAGTTTGAGTGAGTTTTGTGGTTCTGACTTTGAGGTAACACATTTGTGTGTATTAAGACATGTTATTCCTTACGGTGCACTGGAATTACACGGAACCACAATATTTGGAATGTTCGGATCGACGTCATGGGACATTTATACGAGTATATGTTATTATTGTTAAGTGCAGAGACACTCCTCACTAGTTTAAAGTGATTTTTTTAAGTGTCGTCGATCTGTATGAATGTATATTTATTAAATTGATAAATTAAAGAGAACCTGTAGTAGCCACTCCTACATTGTCTTCCTTATTTATATTTTATCCATGTAGAATATTAATTATGGAGTTAAATGATAAATTATTTATGTTTGGCTGAATGAAATGAAAGAAAACATAAGAAAATTACAATTTACTCTATATAGTTATTAAGGATATATGTGCCGTCAATCCACTGTTTAAAGCTACATGCATCCAGATGAGTCAAATATTTCAATAAAATCAAAATGGAGAAAAATGTACTAAGATGTAAGAAAAAGTAAAAAGTTTCAAGATTCAAATAATAATTTACATATTTTGCGATTAATTACTGATTTTTTTAGTATTTACAACTATATTTCTACTGCATTACTAACGCAGTAAAGGATTTTTACCACTTCTTGGTTATATACTTGGTTTGTAAATGCTATTGATAATGTGTAAATTGCTTCCTTTTGGTTACTTCACAATATTACACACTCAAAAACATTTTCGAAATTTTCATGAAAATTATGATGAATCTGGAGGTGTGCTACTTTAACAAATTTTTCCCCCTCGTCACATGTAACTTCTACATCAAACATTTTGTCATTAAATAAACGTTTGCTTCTTGTGGGGAAAAATATTATAATTGTCATAACTGATAATTATATTAATGGTACAGTTTTTATAAGATATGTGTTGATATATGTTTTTGCAATTGAGTTTATATCTATATGACTCACTTGGCTTTCTCCTGTAAGCACATCAATCTCTACCTCCGAACATGCCACTCCATAGGTAAAATAATCATATACACCATTAGTTTTCTGTCTTTGTGGACTGAAGTAAAAACATATTGGCATAGGAAGTTTGTAAATGAAATCTTACGAAACAGCTGATGAACAAGCAGTCGGTGGTCCTAATCAGATGCTGATCGTGTCTGAAATAATGTATGACGGTGTTGGTGAAGGCACCTACGGCCTTCCTCCACCATTAAATCTTTATAGACAAGACGCCTAATTACATAAACATTGTCGGTGTTATTTACAATCAATCAAAACAAAAGATTATATGTATTTGATAACACTATAGTGACGCTACTGACCTTACCAAAATTACTGATCTCGTCTTGGCAGTATTCGCCATGTTTGTGAAGATATAATTTTGTAAAAGAAAAAATGAAATTCTGTCGAATATTATATTCCTAAATGTCATACAAATTTTTCATCACTGTCGTCGTTTAAACTGTTAATAAAATCGTAGAGATACCAGTAAAATCCAGTTGCCGACAATTGAACTCGTGAGAAAAATGCTTTGAAAATCTGGAATTTAAGAATAAGGAAAAAACGCTATTTGAAAACAGATAAGTTTTAGATATTGTCTCATTAGCAAGCAGTGAGCAAAAATAAAACGTTAGGTTAAGAGCTAGACAAACTCTTGCAAAAAAACATTATAAAATGCCGTTTGGAAAACGTCAAAAACATCAGAATAACATCAACGATTATGTAAAAGTTGCAGATGTGAATTTAATTGATTTATCTTAGCAGTTTAAAGATTGCTAGTTTTATTAACATTGATATCATATGTGTTATAGTGTTATAAAATTGAAACATTTAACTTATGAAAAAAAAACAAATCAAATTGATTGCTGTTAAAAGTATGCTTTCGAGCTTATGCTTCCAATCTTTTGACAGCTGCTTCTATTTCTACAAATATTGACCTACTGTTTTCGTTGGCATGTCCCATTAATAAAATGGAACGTAGGTATACAAATGAAAAATAGAAAAAAAACCGAACCAGTTTCTCCCATGTTGCATCAGGCATCACAGTCTTCAATGGGATAAGTCGTTTGTTCAAGTTTTCACAAGCATCCTATATAATTCGAAAATCTATTTATTAAAACGAGTATAAATGTAACGTGATCTCTTTTTCAATGTTTGCATAAAGAGTTATTGAAAACTACAAGAATGTCCATGAAACGTAAATAAAAAGATAAAATACGTTTAAACCAGTCAGTTTATAATATGAAATGATAATTAAGTTATTTCGTTCGACCAAGAGCTAAGTTATTTCGTTCGACCAAGAGCTACAATAGATCACTCATGGTAGTCCTCTCCTTTGCTTAAACAATTGCAAGGCTCAAAAATACATCCTTAAATATTGAGTATTTAAGCACGTGCTACCTTCAATGTTTAAACTAAACTGAAGTAATGTCTGAAGGTTTAAATCTAATAAATTTGTAGAAAGTATTACATACACTTAATTATAATTTCTTTCAAAGAAAATATATCAACTGAAATAGAATGTTATGATTTATTTTAATTAAAAAAAACATTCTTTCTTTATTAAATAAAATCCATAAACTGCTTAATTGCCTGGTACACGATTTTGAATTTTCACAGTAAGAAAAAGCATGTTATTTTTGTTTAGAGTAATGAGTAGCTGGATTTCGATATATATATATTTTTATATCAAATTTTAAAGACAGACGACAGCAAACATTTCTAATTCCTAATAGTTTTCAGTGTAAGAATAAAAAAATACTTTTCATGTTAATCTTTAGTTAGTTCAATTTTAATTTACATACTTTTTATACTTATAAGCTGTTTTATTATACAATGTTTGTGGAATATTGTTCACTTGTTTACCAATCAACAAATAGATAAAAGTAATTGAAAACAAATAATGTTACAATACTAAAATATATTTAAAAAGTTAATTATAATTCAAATATAAAGAAATCATTATTTGATGTTTTTTACATCTGGCACTTATATACGTTGGAGATTTATCACAATCTACATTTGTTTTCCACGATTTTCTATAATACTCAATATATGATAAACATGATCAACAAAGAAAAACGGCGTTTCATGAACGCAATCCCCAAGCGACCCAGCAACAAAAACTAGAGGCAAGGAGTCAAGGAGGACCCCAACAAAAACAGGCCTGGGTGCAAAGCAGAGCTCCTCAATCTCATAACATAAGCAAACTTGTTACCTTTACGGCAGGTCCATACAGGTCTGTGCCCATGCTCGCAGCTGTAACCATGGTATTCGGAATTTCCCTTGTACTGCTTCCGATTGTATGAATCTTTTCTTTGGGTATTCCCAGCACTCTTGATGCCATCTAAATACAAAAAGTCGTGGCTTCATAAACGCATTTTTGTTTGTTGTAAAATTTCTAATCATAAACAAAATACTTTTAAAGCTAGTTTATTGCATAATTAATCATAATCATAAACAATAAATAACGATTAATTTATTTCTTTTTCAATGTTAAATAAAATTGCATTAAAATCATCTTTTAGTTGAGCAATTTGTAAAGATTGAAACATGAACGCTATTATTTTCAATTCAATTATGATATAAAATCTGAAAATGTCATTTATTTGACAATATTTTGTTTTATGTTTGCATGTTTTGTACAGAAAGAAAAAAATTAAACTTAACTCTTTCTTTGAATACTTAGAGCGAATTTCGTCCGGTTTCTTTTTAAATACCTGTATAAGTTTCGTGTTAAGACCTTGTCCCATCTCTATTCCACCATGAGCCACCAGCACCGATCCGTCAGAGTAAATATTCACAAGGGCTGCACCCTTTACATAAAAAATAGTGCATTACATTTTAACATTGGATGTCTGCTTTATCATTACTAGAATTAAAGCTTAAAGTTGTATTTTGATTTGTACAGAAACTATGTCAAAGCAAAAATTATGCGTGTACTGATAAAACCACGTGAGCGAGCAAACGCCATTGTCAAAACGTAGATGTTAATGGCACAAAATGCAAAAATAAAAGTGCAAAGACCATCTTCTGTTTTCATTCCGGATTTGAAAATATGCCAGTACACATTTTCTGAACAAAGAAAAAGAGAGAAGTATAACATTACCATGAATTCTTTTAACAAAAGTAAAACTTTTTTACTATAACAATTGAATTACTGATAATAATCTATACTCTGATTAAAAACCATAATGCTTTTGTTGTTTCTGACATTGTACTTTGTTATTTTGATATTATATATTTTTCTAATTACAATATGATTTTTACAAGGATATCTTATATATTTTATGTTACCTGATTAATAAAAGACTCGGCAAAGCCAATTCCATATTTAGAAGCCGTCATTGCAATGCCTCTTTTCTTCCACTTATTGTTCCTTTATGATAAAAAACAATTAAAGATACAATCGAAACATGTTGTTCTAGAAAAGAGACAAATTGAAACAACTTGGAATAGGTTAAAAACTTATGTGAAAGGACCCATTAATTATGTTCATGTCACGGTTTAGAACTGTTTGCTATTTAGGGGAGAAGAAGCGGTCGGAAAGCTCAGTTGGTAGTCGCAAAATGGTCTTCCGAGGATCCCATGTTCAAGTCTCAGTCAGGCTGCACATTTCCTCACCCAGTGACATTTCACGCCTAACGGTGGGCCGTGAAGATATAGCTTAGAAATTAATTTACATGGCTACATAAGCTTGATTAATTCAAAGCCGATTTTCAATATTACGTGGGAGTAAGTCACTGTTTAGAACTATGCACTATTTAGGGCAGACTATGTCGGTAGGACAGCGGAACAATATTCCGAGGGTCCTTGGTTCGAGTCTCGGCCAAGCTGCACATTTTTCTCACCCTATGATATTCACCTTGCCCGGATACCAGTCTTTTTAGTTTTTATTAAAGCTTTTATACTTAATGCGATATACACAAAAGCGAATCCTAACAAATATCTTTTATCACAGCTAGAAAATTTAAATACATACTTGTTGAACTGCTCAATGTCTTTAAGTCGTTTTTCATAAGCACTATCAGATTTACATTTTTCCCATAGCTCAGGTATAGTGCATTTCACAAGTTTCATTCCATATGACGTAACGGTTCCCTCTTGACAAAGGCTTATTTCACGAACCTGTGACATTTATATGTAATCATCCTTTAAAAATACAGTTAACGACTTGAGAAACACATTTTAATATGTGTAAAAATCGGCAACACTTTACTCATTTGAAGGCAGTTTCAAATGATAAGTGCTCAAATGTTAGTATTTTATTGGCTCATCTAACAGCTTGAAATTGATTTGAAATGTGTAATGGTGACAATCACTTTCCTGAGGTTGTTACACTTTTAATTTAGTATATATACTGATTAATTACATGATTGCCCGAAGTTTCATTATTCTTTTTTTGAATTATGTTTTCTGAAAAAAATTAAAACTTTTTGTAAAACAACTTTGATAAACTATTAAGTATATCAAATCACCTTTTCTGAACGTATGTTTAGCTGGTTTGCAATTTTGAATACGACGTCTTCCATGATGGTGACTGCTTGCGGATGACCAAAGCCCCTGAACGCTGTGTTTGATGGGCAATTAGTTTTGCACAAATATCCTTCTATTTTAATATTTCTAACTCTATAGCCTGATTCAGTAGACTTTATTGCCATGTCCAAAACCTGAAGAATGACCGTGTATACATTTTCAGCATAAACCTGTTTATTATTAAGTTACAGAATTCATTGATCTCCGTTTGGACTTAGGTCATATTAAAACGTAACCTACAATATGATCACGGATATTTTTTGGTCTCTTAAACGCAACAATAGGTTTGTAAGTCTCATAAACATATTTTGAAGTTTCACTATTTGACAACTTTAGTAAGTTCCAATATTTGTTTAAAACGTGACCAATGTTAGGAAGATGAGGATTATAAGTAACAACAAATGGTATAACAAAATTAGATTGGCTTCATTCTGTGAGTTGCAGTGCCTCATTTTGACTCATAGAATTAACTTTCTGAAAAGCATTGTCAATTTCTTCGAAAAAGTTATTTTCAAGAACTATCCGTATAAGATTTAGAAGCACTGGTTTTTGTAAGTTATGATCACTTTTTCCTTCATTTAGAAAATATTCACATGCTTTTATGCCGTCAGAGTGCGGAATACATGTTTATAGTGAAGATACATCCATTGTAACTAATAATCTTTGCTTTGCGTTTCAACTTCACATTTTTAATTTTTTGAATAAAATCCGTCGTATCTTTAATGAAAGATTGGAGTCGGAACAAATACGGTTTTAATATGCTATCCATATATTTTAAAATATTCTCAGTCGGTGAATTACAGGCAGAAACTATAGGTCGACCCGGATATTTTAACGGAAGATCAGCATTCGGTTGTTTATGCGTTTTTGGAAGAACGTAAAATGACGGTGTGCGACTTTCAATAGGAAAAACGTCGAATTCGTGGTCAATAGCATTGTTTCCCTCAGTTAGTTCCTCTACACATTTGCTTATATTTTCTTGAATGTTGATCATTAGATTATAACTCAATTTTTCGTAAAATGCATCATTACCAAGTTGGCGTAAAACTTCATTTTATAGTCTTTCCTATTTATTATTACTATGGTATTTGATTTATCTGCCTTTTTGATAATAATGTTCGTCACGGGATAAATTTCGGAGACTTTGTAATTCCGATTTTGATGTATTTGAGAAACGTTTATTTTTGTTTTCGCAATGAAGAATTTCTTCTGTGACCGCGGTAATATAAAAGTCCAAATGTACATCCCGACCTGATTTTGGAATGAATGATGATTGTTTCTTGTTAAAGAAAGGTAAATCTTTATAAGTGTCATCGCCAGTATCTTTATCGGCAAAAAACTCCTTAAGTCTAAGACGCCGTGAGAATTTGAAGACATATTCTGCAAATTTAATTTTATCGTGCGATTTTGTTTTAGGGCAAAACGTAAGTCCCTTACCTAGGAATATGTAATCATCGTAAGTTAATTTGCATGATGATAAGTTCAAGACCGTTTCTTTTCCCTGTGTTTATTTTTTGGAGCATTTTCTTTGTCTTCTTCTATGAATTTTTGTTTTTTGTGCGAAAAAACCGCCTTTGTCGTTTTATATTTCTTGCGATTTGATGAGCTGGGTCACCGCTTGAGTCAGGATTTTGAGGGTCGTGTGTATACTGTCTGTTGTTGCCTCGCTCGCTGCGACTTCCGCATAGGTTTTCTTGCCGCTCGAAGCTTGGACGTTTTTTGAATTACAATCTGTTGTTGTTTCTCGTTGCGAGGCTGGAACGGTAAGATCCACATCATTTTTTTGTGTATTGCCAGTTTGTTGTTTTGGAATATTGTTCTATGGGCGTTGTTCATTGTGATTTTTTTGTGTTTTCTTAGCTTTTTCCTTCTTTTTGGAAGTCTTGATTTGCCAGTCGTCGCTTTGGGTTTTCTCAGTATTCAACGGCTGAGTAATTGAAACATTTTCATTAAAAAAATTCAATTTATTTGCATGTCTTTTTTCTATTTTCGTTCTGGATTTCTCGATCGAATCACTTATTTCTTTGTCAAGGTTATTCAATTGTTCATTATCTAAGCCCTTTTCTAGATCTGCTCGCAGTTTTTCCATCTCCGCTGTCAGTACATTTGACCTCATATGATCTTCTTTGATCATCTCGCAGACTTCAACACTTACTCTTTTTTTAGTTTTAATTATAAATAATACAAATTAGGCACTACGTAGCAATTTGAATACACCACTGTATACCTAATTTCTTGGGCAATTGCTGTAAAATTAATAGGTTTATATAACATGTTCGTCTTCACTTCCATGCAGTAGTTTGTTTCTAAAATTAAGGAAGGTAAATGTCTAGTCCTAGCATTTCAGATTGTGTATAATTTAGGCTTGAGGACACATTGTAGTTACATGCATAACTTAGTAACAGATAGAAAAAGAAATGTTAAACCAAAGTTTAGCCATTATATGCTCTATTTGAATGGTTCAAGAGAAAAAGTTTAATAATAAGTAATAGATCTGTAATGCATAATAAAAAGGTACTTAAATTGATATAATTTCCTCATTTTGAAATAAACATGACACTGAAAATATAAAATAAATCTGTCTTTATGTTTATCTTTGGAATTAAAAAAATCCTTACCAGGCTAGAAACATCTAAACTATATCCAGCATTGCTGTAAAACTTGATATCTAATGCATTGATGATCCCTTCTTTGCTGAAACCAACCTATAGTTATAACAAATTAAACAAATAAAAAATATCAACATATTAAAGTATGTTAAATAATCGACTAGAAATATGTAAATTGATGCATATTGAAAACATGATCCGAGATCAAATCTAAAAAAATCCATTCCCCCGAGGATCAAACCGTCAACCTTTGGATTACTAAACCAATGCTCTCCCTTTAAGTGAAGCGAAGGAAATTTTACCTTATACTTCCCTAGGAACGGGTGTCTTTTCCCAGTAACCATCATGTCTGTCGCCCTAGGTAAGACACACCGGACTGGTCGTTTCATTCTGGCAAATACACAAAAAGGTGCAAAAGTTAAGACATATAGCATATTATCATTCTGAGCCTTATATATTGCACGTTAAGGATAACGTTTTATATAATAATATACGTTTGTAGTTGTATTTTTAATAAAATAGTATTCATGAAACACCATTTTACTGGAACATATTAAATAAAATGTAGGTGAACGCTGGTTATCAAAACACATTTGAAATAACCAAACCGAATCTTTATATAAATTGCAACGTATTTAATAATGAAAACATTACAGATCAGCCGACGAGACAGAATTGAAAATGTTACAGTCTCAAAATATTTAAGCATGTTCATGGACGATTTAAAAGCACCGTCCAGTACCTTCCTAGCACCGGCGTTATGTATTTTCAGTCATGCTGATGGTTTTGTACTTGCACATTTCCGTGTCTAATCAATATTAAATATGATCTTTATAATATCCAGCGATTCATGTTCTTGTCATTTTAATGCAGTTTGAATTTTATAAATGATAAATATAAATTCAGTTGAATTCAAGAGTTGAACTTAAAACAAATAAATTAATAAATTAAAGTTCGTATCTTACTTATGAGCACCAACAGCCGCTGCACCTGCTGTCATCATAACTTGGGCTTCTTTACCTCCGAAAGCACCACCTGGAATGCATTTTAACGTATTAGATTTTTCAAATAACGGGGTAATCATGCGAGAGTAAAAATTGGTTTCATTATGTCTTTTCAAAAGAAATAATTAAATGTAAAATCCCATACACGCTTCTCCACAAGCCATGGCTTAAGCAGTTTTCAATCTTCAACACTAAAAATAGTGGAATTAATGTAACAAAAAAAAAAAACACAACTAAAACGAAGCACGGGTCAACTTTGTAACATTGCACACTTACTAGTGAGATTTATAAACCTGTAAAAAGGGGGCTCAATCAAGAACAACAGAAACAAAAGAAAGGTAACACTCGATCCCATTGAGATGGTCCATAAGCATCTTTCAAACCTGAAAGCCATGTCATATTTAATAATTAAGCGTTAACCAAGTAAATGGATCTTCATTGGTTTAAGATTTTTACATAGATCAACTAGGGAACTTTAAACGAACGAAAATATGCAACATATAATAAATTAAAAAAATATATAATAAAATCAAAGTCAGAATTGGATTAATTTGGAAATCGTTATTTGTCTGAGCTCAAAGCTCAGCAAAAGATTTTAAATGCGTTGCATTATTAAATTATTTTTACAGTAACAAGATTTGTTGGTAAATCAGTGTGCAAGGCTAGGTTCAATGTTTGACAGCAAAATAAGAGCTTAAATAATGCAGGTACAATTAGATATTCAGTAAACTCCGCCTATGTCGAACTCATTGGGATATTTAAAATGTGTTCCTTATATCATGAGTTCCTTGTAAGCATATAGCGAATTAGTTCCTTGTAGCTGGGTTTTTTATATCAAACAGATTTACATAATTATAACGAACTGATTGTTTACCATCATCATCCATTTTGAAGAGCATTTGATTCAGAAAAGTTTTGAAATGACTTCTTTGTTAGACACAAAATCCGACAGCGTACTTTTTGGAATTTGTAAATCATTTGCAAAATTTTAGTTTTAGTTTTACTCCCTTTCTTAATTTCTCATAAAAAAAATATCACATTTTGCTTTCAAACTCAGTATTTTTGTTTTTTTACCATGATAAAGAATAAACAAGATTTTCGACTTTTCCTTCATTTTATATTGAAAATCTTCTATTATATTTTAAGAGTCACTTTTACTTGTGAAAGATACAGAATACAGAATAAATAAGTACATTTATATTGATGACTGTACATATACATTTTACTTCAACGCACTGTAATTTTAGACTGATAGGTCATTTCTCGTGTTCATTGCCAATTTATCAATAAGATGTCCTTACCAAGACGCTTTACTCTGCATGTTATTTTATGATGAGCAACATTCAAAAGTTCAGCTATATAGGCTTGCAATGCTCTAAGATTTTGAGTTGTTAAATCGACGTCCATTTCCTGGTTTTCTTTTGGTATGACCAGTGCAGCGATTGGCTCAAGGTACAAATGCTCGTGAACATGTTCAAACATAATTTTTTAAGAAAAAGAAATAATATAATAACTTATTTGAATTACACATTTGCCAAACACAAAAGTCCGGGTGTAAGGTTTAATTTATTTTAAACAATGATATAATACGCTCGTAAGATCAAATTTGTCACTACTATAATAATAATGCTATACACATATCAAAAAGTATACCGGGGTCTGATTTTACAATCATTTCTCTCTTTTTTTAAATAAATAGTCTTAAAGATATGTCATGCATAAATTTGATATTTGAAATAAAAGCAACTGATAATTACTATACAGGTAAAATAATCTTTTGAATACATACAGACAAAATATGTATATGCATGTATATTAAAAACAATACGCTTGAGGTACATTTTGTAATTACAATATGATTACAAAATTTCATTTTTTTAGATGTCAGTTTTTTATAAGAATATACAAAATCAATTTGAAAAGAAAAAGGAAATGCAACTTCCCAAACATGATTTCTATTCATTATTTAATTTTACCCATGTAATATAGTGCTATATCAGCTAAATATATTTCATATATTTTTAAGAAAATAAATATGAAATATAAATATGAAAGTGGGCGGAGTCAAAACTCATATTTAAGCTGCATGCCTCCAGATGACCCAAAATATTTCGAGAAAATTAAACTTAAACAACCAAGCTAAAACTTTGAGAAAAGTGAACAAATAAAAGATGCATGTGATAATCTATATCTTATGTGCAATTAATGACTGTATTTTGTAGTATTTATCACCATATTTCTAACGCCGTAGGGGCTATTTATGTATATTTTTACCTCTTTTTGGTAATTTACGTGGATTTCAAGTGCCGATTGTTATGTGTCAAGTACTTTCTTTGTTCATTTCACACTATTTTACCTTTAAATACATTTTCATATTTTTAATGAAAATTAGGATGAATCTGGAGGCGTGCTACTTTAAGGGACTTCTATCGCCATTTTGTTTGAGAAATCCAATAAATACAAAACAACTTTTTGTTGAATTTTGTCTTGAAAACTTTTCTAGAATGATGGAAAATGGTCTAAGAAAATAAATCCGAACATTAATATCTTTAATTCAGTCATTAACACTGTAAAAAATTAAACAGTTGTTTACTTGATGTCAACATGTAGGGCTAAATATCGCGTACAATAAAAGACAATAATTATTTTTAATTTACTGCGCGCTGTTCTATTGGAGTTGCGTAGTAAGCAAGGGGTTTGTAACCATTTTTCATTGATAATGAAATTAAATAAAATATATTTTTCGAATATCAAGAGGATATATTTTCGATTTTCGTGAAATATGGTATATTTTCACTGAACATGATTAAATGCCACATATTTTCACTCACCGTCCCGGCTCGTGAAAATATGTGTCATTTTATCATGTTTCGTGAAAATATATTCCATATTGCACTCAAACGAAAAAATATCCTCTTAATATTCGAGAAATATATTCAAGAAAAATCTATTAGATTTTCATACAAATCCTCACTTAAAAGTTTTTTACCCAAAAATGAACATATTAGATCTTTAATTAGTTAATTTGAAGTAATATTGATTTTGAACTTTTGTTATTTTACGGTTGCTTCTATTGCAATATCGATCGCTAATATTTTTATCTTCTTTTTTTTATATTTCATTACAATCTTAGTTTTTAACAAAAAGAGCGTACCTGTAATCCAGTTTGATATTCGCCTGAAATTACAATGTCAGATTCAGTGAACCCCTTTTCCACGTCTCCATTTACCAGTACTTGTGGTTCGCCATAGAAAGAATTGTTCTCTATAGCATCCTGTTTAAATATTCAATCCGAATTGTCAATAGCGTAAATCATAAGAAAATGGTTCTTTAACATTGACATATCTGTTTATCAGTTGAAATAAATAACCATAAGTAGTAATAATAAAAAAGTCATGTGCTTTGTATTAACCCTTTACCTCATATATACGCTAAACAACGCACTTTCGACACCCTCCCTTTTTAAGGCCCAAATTAGTTTAAAAAATGTCCTATTTGGACCCCAAACACGAGTTTTCGTTTGAGAAATGTTGTTAAAAAAAGTGAGCACTTTTTTGGTGCTGCCTCCTATCCAAAAGATACATCAGGGGGTTGTCAGAAGGGAGATGTTCCCCCTTCTGTTTGAGGGGTTTGAAGGGGGGGCGGAGTCCCCCTCATCGCAAAGAAAATTTTGGACTTGTGAGAGGCTAAAAATGACCACAGGTCGATCGTAAGGTAACGTGTAACCAACGCTGAAAAGCCTTTGACTCTATCTTAATCCCTTGAGAAGTTGCAGCACATTGAAATATATTTTGATGAAAAAAACAAGGCAAAATAGTGATTTTTTTTCCCCCTAATTGTGAAGAATGTCCCCTGAGTCGTTGCAATTGGTAACAGGAAATTTCAGACTGAGAATGTTGTTCACAAAGTCAATGGCCAGTTCCAAACATTTGTGACCAAAGTTTGATTAGTGATTGGGAAGTATTTCCATAGTTTCATAGCAGTTTGAACTTGTAAGAGGAGGCTTTTCATACAGTCAAATCGGCCATTTTTCACAATATGCTCATGAGGGAAAGGATTAACTTACAGACATAGTTGGTCAGGCAATAATAACTGCTCTCGAACTCATATAACAGTCTTGTATCTTAGTAATACGTTTAATGCTGATGTCTTTTAATTTTTAAAAATATGATTTTTTTTCCCGCTGGTCGGACAAACACCCTTTTAAAATTAAGTAAAATTTAAAACTGATGCGGAACGAACCCCAAAGTGGGGCCCAAATTTAAAATTTTCATGAATAATTTTTCCGATTTGCCCTTAAACAAAATTCATGATTTAAAATTCACGAATTTTTTGATTTCAACTTCATGAATTTAAAATTTGGGTGAAAAAAGTTGAATTAAAAACCCGTGAATTCATGAATTTTAAATCGAGAATTAATAAAAGCGGGAAAGTTGGGAATTCATAAATTTTTAGTTGAAATGTCCCCCTTCCGGGCCCTTTCAAATTTTGGGTTTACTATGACATGTTTTTTTTTTTTGGGTATTTTAAACAAAAAACATATTTTTTATTTTTTAGACGGGTAATATAAATTTATGCCCCTTTAACCCTTTCCCAAAAAATAAGAAAGCATTACAAATTTCAAAAGCCTATAGTTACATCGTAAACACTTCTATTAAGGACAAATGTTTTGATTGTAACCATGAATACAATCTAAGTCTGTCACTTAGTACTGAACGTTTTAGTTAAATAATATTATACTATTAACATTGTACCTCTATTGTTAGTATTGGCTTCATCTCCTCGTACAGTACATTCACCAAGGACACAGCTCGTTGTGCAACTTCTCTGGTGTCGGCAATGATTGCTCCGATTGGCTGACCAAATGCTAAAATCTTATGACAGAAAAACCTCAGAAATAATAGAAATACAATAATACATAATAAAAAACGATCTTAATACCGACCAGCAAGAAATTTCAAACTATTTACTTACTTGGTTAAACAAAAATACAAAGTAAAATTCAAATTAATAAACATGACTATCTAATACGTTTGTTAGTTCGACAAAAAAAAACGGTTCATAAAAAAATAAATGATTGAGAGTTGAAATAAAAAAGACGAACCGGAACTGATAAATAACGCCCAGAACTACAAAATTGACAATGTTGAAAGATCGGTTTTATTGAGCCTGTTCATGGACGGTACATGGAAGTAAAATTTACCGTCTAATACTACTACCAGCGCCGTAAGCATTGACACATGAGCCGACATATTATCTTCATAGTATCAGAGTGACTGGTTTACTTATTATTTATAAACATTAGGAACAATATGTACTTCTTCTGAGCTGAAAACCTCATGATCTGGTAGTAAAACACCAAACTTGTTCCTTCCAGGGATGTCTGTGTGATCAATATATCCATGAACACCTTTAAGCTTTAAGGCTTGTGTCGTGTCAACCGTTGTAATCCTCGCATGTGCTACTTTACTTAGGACAAGGGCGGCAAATAGCTCATCTAAATATAGCGTTATATTGATGATTTCATTTGAAACTCCTTTAGTATTTCATGTGATTATTCTGTGCTATTTTTAGGTTTGTAACTACTATTTAGCAATATCATACCAGTTAGACAAAATATAATACAAAAACTGAACTTGTATCAATAAAGAAATGTCAAACCCTTTAAATAAATCTACTTTTACTTTTGTTATCTTAAGTGTACCTGCGTTAATCGTAAACAGCGACTTCCATACTCTACTGGCGGAGAAAGACCTATTTGCCCTTTCGGGTTTTATTTCTTGATCGAGTGGATACCTGGTTAGAAGCCCTGACAAGCTAGCTGAATACAAGTTACGTTTGCAACGATTTTTTTTATTGTATACCACATTGTATTTAAACCTTATTTTCGAACGTAACTCCATGACATTTACAAAAAAAATTTCAATTTTATTAATGTGAATGTGTTCTCGTTATCCATGCAGTAAACCATGTTAAGGAATAAAATAATTAAGCAAAAACTATACTTTGATGCACTGGTAGGTCATCAACATAGATGGCTTCCCCTGACACGGCAGCTTCCGAATGGACATTAGCTACAGTTCTCCCTAAAGCATCGCTTTCTACTTGATCTTCACCAGTGCATGGGTCGAACACCTGAGTACTACTGTATGGTGGTAGGGAAACTGGACGGCTTAAACTATAGTCTTGTTCGTGCAGCTGTTAAGAAAACAATAACTTTACGTATAGAATATAATCATATGATAAAATAAGGTGAACAGATAAATAGTTATAATGGATATTGCTTTGACGAAACTGACGTAAATGCATTCTATAAAATGCCAAAGTTCGTTCATCTTTCATTCAAAATGCAAATATTTATACGATACGCAATAAAATAATATTATCTTTAAATGTGTTACAAACATGTTCACTTCAGTCGTGCAATTTCCTGATTGATAAATATTTCAACATGTCTATATGTTTTAATATCTTATGATACTCAGTGGTAATTTGATGACATTTATAGTATGTATAATAACCCGCACAAAACATCAGATGTCTGAATCTTCATTCCTTTTGTTAACGACTCACCTGTAATTTAGCTTGTACTAAGCTAAAAAATTTAAACCATAAGGCTGATGCCACCGAAATCTTGTATGTATCTATTGTACGACCGTTGTCAATGCTAAGGTCTTCGCTTATTACAGCCAGAATTTCATGAAGTAAGCTGTCATCAAATTTTCTACAACATGAAATCTTTGTTTTGAGTTAATTTCTTTTCAGAGTAAAAGGCAAATAGATTACATACAGACATGTAGCAAAAACCTACGTGACACAATTTATTTTATCTTTGCATGATCTTAGTTATGACAGAAGAAGAAATATAAATATAAAGAAAAAGAAAAAACAACTTGTGTCACTGATCTCGGAAACCTTGTAGTCTTCCCCAAATGTTAAACCTACTATGGGCTATTGTATTTAGGTGGCCGTTAAATAGATTTGTTATTAATGATGACTTTTGTCAGCTTAAAGTGTATAAGCACTTGCTAAAAAGTTCCTCATGGAAACATTTTTTTTTCCAATTTTTCAAAGTATTGAGTCAAGCTTTGGGTAAGGTTGTTTGTGCCGTGTTGAGGCTGTAAAAAGTTGCCCCGTACATTCAATCAGGGATGTCATTTTTACGATCCTTCCGTAAAGATCGTTAAGCACGACATAATTGCTGTGTTTGTGGTATTTTAGTTCTTTCTATTCGGCTTTTTCTTGTTGGGTTGTTCCAGTATTCCTCACTTGAATACTGTTGAATCACCATTAGGATATGTGGCCTGCTTTTTGAATTTGTTTTTTGACTTTATATATGTGATAAGCAGGCTTCATAACATCAGATCCCATTTCAAAATTCCATTTTATTTAGTTGCGCTCATTGTTTTCTTGTTTAGGGCACACGCATTTTATTTCTGGGGACCATATGCCGCTTTTCATGGAATGGCACTAACGTGTCACATTGAAGGTTCGATGATAACCGCTATATAAACACATCTGCGTATGCTTCAAAATTCTAAATTTTACTAGTTCATGTTAAATGTTGAATACTGCTTAAGCCGGTGCTAGGGGGCGTGGGCGGTAGTTTGCAGATGATTGCACCGTCCACGAATAAGCTCAAAAAACCGACCTGCAACATTTTCAATTTTGCCGCGTTGGGCTTTCTATAGGCATTCTTATTTCACTCTATTTTATAGCAACATTAACGTTGTTTGAGCTTTGTGGAGGCTGTAAAAAGTCGCCCCGTACATTCAATCCGGGATGTTATATTTCCGATCCTTAAAGATCGTTAGGCACGACATTATTGTTGTGTTTGTGGTATTTTAGTTCTTTCTATGCGGCTTTTTCTTGTTGGGTGGTTCTAGTATTCCTCACTTGAATACTGCTGAATCACCATTAGGATATGTTGCCTGCTTTTTGAATTTGTCTTTTGACGTTATATCTGTGATATGCAGGCTTCATAACCTTAGATCCCCTTTCAAAATTCCATTTTATTTAGTTCTGCCCACTGTTTTCTCGTTTAGGGCATACGCATTTAGGGGGCTTGGACGGTAGTTTGCACTTGACAGTACCGTCCATGAACAGGCTGAATCAAACTAAGCCTGCCTGCAACATTTTTAATTTTGCCGCGATGGGCTTTCTTAAGCCATTCTTATTTCACTGTATTTTAATCATATTTATTATTAATAGACTTGATTGCTAAGAAGGAGCTATTGTACAACTGTAGAAAACATATAAAATATGTTTTGATAGATTCAAAATAAATGTTAAATATTCTATTAAACAGCATAGCAAGAACAAGATAAGTACAAATACAAACCTTCCAGTTGCAACTGAAGTTACTTTGTCTATAACCAGTTCTTCTTTGAAAATTCCACCATAGCATAACCTAAATAAAAACGATAATTGATTGATAACGAATGAGACAGTTTATTTACAAATCTGTCGTTGCTTCCAAATAAAATAAAAATATCATATTTTTAAGTTGATTTATCATATATATGGCTAAATATTGCCAGCTTTGTTTTTACTGAAGCATATGTTTAACGAGTCCTCGTGATCATAGCTTAAAGAATAGAAAAAATAAGTAACCTCAAAGAACGACCACAATGGTAAAATTTAAAATGTTACAGGTTTTGTCTGACTGAGCCTGTAAATGGTCGGTACTGGAAAGTGCTAGCCACCGTCTACGCTTTAGCATGAAATATAACAATTGGAATTAAGAATCATCAGCAGACTATACCAAGGAGAACCGTTTTTGTTAAAGATCCTGTATGGTGTCATTAAGGTTGTTACAACTGTTAAGTGATACTATATATTTTTGTATATTATTATTCTTCTAAAACAATTTCAAAACTTCCAAAAAATATGTTTAATATCTACCGCAAATGTTTATACGCATTATATTTAATTTTTAAAATTTTATTGAAAAAATTGGCTAAGACCTTATCGAAAATTAATTTCTAATTGGAATCTACCTCCTTTTATTTACATGAAATGTAAATTCGTTAATACGAGTCTTTACAAATAATTTTTTAGGGAACATACAATATTGATAAATCTTCATATGAACATTATATTAATGATTTAAAACCATAAGAGGAATGAGTTACAGGATCTTCAAGAAATGTTGTTTAGAGAATTTTCTACAGTCAGAATATTATCTTAGAAACAAATATTGTTATAAAAGATGGAATAATAACACGTATTGATATAAATTATCACATGTATTTTGCCATTTTAGATATGTAGCGATAAAAAATGATTGCATAAAGTTATATTATAATATAAATATGTCATTATCTTATTCAAAATTGCTGTTGTCATTATGTCAGTTGATACATTGTACATAATATTATATTTTACTTAAAAATATTTGTTAATTTGATAACAATTTATCAATGATAAGAAACGTTTTGTTATGTTTGTCCTTGGACAGATTAGGATTGAATAATAGTTTTATTTTTAATTTTCCATGTAAAGATCACTAGCAATTTCATAATGAAATCATACCAGCCCGACAAATTTAACCTACTTCATAAGGTGCTAGTGGACATGGACGGTAGTTTGCAATCTACAGTACCGGTCATAAACAGGCTCAATCAAACCAAGTCCGTAACTCTTATCTTCTTAAAGTACTTAACTTTGAAGAACGAAATAATGATAACATATTCAAACAGTTTTTTTTATACAGATGATATACAATGTTTACCTTAGAGTTTCGATCGTATCATTCTTTGGACCCATCTTTACAAACATCCCAGCATTGACAATTGCCAGGGAGAAAGATCTCCTTTCCGACTGCTTGTAGAAAGCACTAATTTCATCCTGCAGAATTTACGTATTTATATCAATATCATATTTGTATCGATTATATGAATTGCATTACATTGTCTAAGCAAAGTTATCTTTAAGAAAGCCTTGATAAAATATTAAATGTATCTGTAAATGTATATATATCATCAATTTACGCATCTTTAGAGGAGTTAAAAGTTGAATTTCACCAGTGTCTGTAAAGTTAGAAAAATCATTAAACAGGTGTTCAGTGACAATCACTGTCTTTCTCTCTTTCTCATCAGCCTACTTAAACAGAATTTTGTAAAAAAAAATCCGATTACAATCAAGTTTTGACGTTTCGTTGCTGATACATACAATTATAACACTGTTATTGAAAATCCAATATATAGAGGATATTGAATGAGTGTAAGTTCAATATTGTATTTATTGCACGAGTTGAATGAAATGACATTATTTTTCAACGAGTGCAATAAATTAAGTGATGAACTTACACGAGTTTAATATTCTATTTATCACATACTCAAAATAAAGTGAATTTAGAGTCATTTTTCATTGACGCACCTATAGTATAACACTAACGTCTTTACACAATGTTTGTATAACGCTAATGACGTCAAGTCAAAATATATGCACGGCCGTGCAATAACATATCTACGGAGTCGCAAAAACAGCACGGATGTTTGATAAACCCTTATATAAAAGAATACTTTCGCTATTCAAAATTATTGATTAATTCATAGATAGATATTGTTAAACGTATTTAATGCTACCACATACACCTGTGTCACATTATCACTGATCAAACATTGCCTAAATTGCAAAAAAATAATTTACGTTTACCTTTGAAGCCAATGGTATGTGGATTTCAGTAATGACTTCAACATCCTGTATACTGAGATCGTTCAAAGGCACAACCCGTGACCGTTTTACTTCAACATGTTCAATGGAAATATACATATAGTTAACTTAACAACTTCTTGAAATATACGGTGTTTAGAGTTTAAATATATCTTGAAGAAAAAGTAAACTTTCAGCTAATATTATGCTAGCTACTAAAGCAATGTTCACAAATAATAAAATGTTCCGGATTGATTGGTTCATGTCGCAACAAGACTTTTAATATGCATCGAGGCTTGATCTCGACAAACAACAGGTTCATTTCGTATTCATTTACATGTATCAAATTCTTTCGCATATTAATTTAAGGAGGACATTTTTTACAATTGATTTAATTTTCCTTTACTCAGTCTTGATTACAATATCCGTTTCATATGGTCAGTGGTGACAGATTAAAGTTTTACAAATCTATACCAGAGCATGGCAATTATTGATCACATTACATTTTCTTTGTATTAAAAACCTATTTATCTGTTGCCGCCTGAATATACTATTGCACCTACACATATTGTATGATAATGCAAGTGAATATCACATTAGGCAAGTCCGTAGTTTTGAACATTTACAAACATTATCATACAATAAATGTTTTGTTATATGATTACATTTCAATTCGTCATTTGGTATGACATCGTTTGCTTTGAACAATATCAACATGCTTATATCCCTTCGTACTGACAGTCAATCACAGCTAATAGAAATTGGCAGTCATAATAGACTTATTGATTCTTACTTTACCAAAATCCATCTGTAACATTTAGTATCTCTGATAAAAACACAGAGACACAAATACTTAAAAAAGACTCCTCATCCTTTTTGTATGAGTCACACTACTTCATTCCATTTTATATCAAAATGTCATTCCAGCTGGTAAAACAACGTTATTGTCTTTTATGATTACAGTAATTTCTAGGTTTGTAAACCACTTAATTCCGTAAAATATGAACACTTACAAGAAACGATTTGTACTCTGGCGCCGATTGCCTTAAACAAAGTCTTGATATCAGAATCGTTACGCCCACACATCAAACTACCAGCGAGAGTCTGAATAAAAAAGAAAAATAAAACAACAGAATAGAAATGCTCGAGAAAGGAAACTGTACTTAATAGAACAAACAACTAAATGACTTCAGCATGTCATCATAAGCAATCGTGGTAGACACTAGTAAAGTAATGTTTCATTATCGTACTAGTGTATTTGTCTTTAAGTAAAGATATGCTACGACAACTTAAATGAAAGAAGCAATAAACAATGATCATACCGCAACATTTCTGATTTGTTCAGATCCATATCTAGATATCATTTCCAGAATAACTGTCACGTGCATGCTCTGTTCATCTGTAAAAACGATAATTTAAATCAATTATTTAAGAATGTATATCACTTGAGTAATAATGAAAAATATTAATACAGTTACATTCGCGTAAACGTTCATACCAAAGGGAAAAAAGGTACTGGCAAAAGGCCAACTTATTTTAAAACAATAGACAACTTTAAATGGTTTTCCTTAATCTCGAGGAACTGTATATCTTTTACACGGTACTTAAAAAAGAAGATAGGAATGTATTTTCTGTTCTTCAAAGAGGCGACATAAAACCCATAATGGTTGCTAGCAAATGCACACTTTTTAAATTAAAAAAAAACAACAAACAACAAATATAGTTTTACATTGTAAAGAAAATTTCTTTTCATTAATAAATCTTGAAGAATAATATATACTAGTATTTTACTTAAGAAGTTAGGATTGTGTTTAGGAAGAGATAATTTAAAAACCTTGTCAATAACCTTATTTTAATAATACATTTATTTCTCTTCATAAATATACTTGTAATTGTAAAATTAAGGAAGAAGACGAAAAAAAATACAACGAGACTGCGTAACAAAAATCACCTTTGATGTTTTTCATTGTATTCTGGAGATGCTCAGCAACTTTCGATATAGTGCAGGCCCCGCCTACTATAATGCTATCATATGTTTTGGTAACGCCTTTAATATCGGCAACATCCCCTCCATAAAGAAGAACCTTTTCATCATCTAACGCGCCATTTGTCACATAACATGCTTAAAATAAGACCATGCTTTGTACATACAAATATATGATATACATCATTGTAACGATAGTCGTATGTAATATAGGGAAAAAACAATATATGTCTCATTTTAAGTAGTCTATGAATTCTTACAAATGAATATGTTATCGTTAAACGTTTCAATCTTATATATGCAACGCGATAAGTGTCATTTTGATGTTTAAGTGTTGTAAGGGGCCTCTATTTCTTTCTGTTTTTATTAAAACGGAAGGTTTGGTTGGATGTTGTAGAAATAGCCATGTTAAAAATTCAAGCAAGCGAAAAATGGATGCCATGACTGTCTTAATATGACCACAAAAATTTTCTGTCCTGTAAATACGTCAAACGTACATAAAAGATATCAAATATTTGTTATTTCTTATTCATTTATATACGATGCTATTTAACCTGTATATTTTTATCATATGTAATCATCTACCACCGATTATTTTGATAAAACCATGTCTTTTTTGCTTTTTTTATGCTTATTATCCCCGCCGAAAAATTTCGGCGGAGGATATAGAAATAGTCTCCGTCCGTTCGACCTTCCGTCCGTCCTTCCGTCCGTCCGTCCTTCCGTCCGATATTTTTGTCCGGAGCATATCTCTAAAAATATTTGAGTTATCAACTTGAAACTTCATAGGTGGATAGACCTCATTGAGGAGGAGTGCAGTGCACAAGAATGATAACTCTACCTTGCATGATTTTTGAGTAATTGCCCTTTGTTATTTTTCAAAATTGATTTTTGTCCAGAGCATAACTCCAAAAGCCTATGAGATATTAACATGAAACTTGATACATAGATCTCACTCAGGAGGTGTGCAGTGCACAAGAATGATAACTCTACCTTTTATAATTTTTTAGTTATTGCCCTTTGTTATTTTTCATACCTAATATTTCACCTGAGTGGAGCATAACTCAAAACGTGTTTGAGATATCAACATGAAATGTCATAGGTGGATAGATCTTATTGAGGAGGAATGTTGTGCGCAAGAATGATAACTCTTTCCTATACAATTTTTGAGTTATTGCCCTTTGTTTTTTTTCATGCTATTTTGTCCAGAGCTTATCTGAAAAAGTATTTGAGGTATCGATTTGAAACTTCATAGGTGGATTGATCTCATCGAGGAGGAGTGCAGTGCACAAGAATGATATCTCTACCCTGCATAATTTTTGAGTTATTGCCCTTTGTTATTTTTCATTCTATTTTGTCCAGACTTTACCTCAAAAAGTATTTGAGGTATCAACTTGAAACTTCATAGGTGGATGGATCTCATTGAGGAGGAGTGCAGTGCACAAGAATGATAACTATACCTTTCATAATTTTTGAGTTATTGCCCTTTGTTATTTTTCAAACCTAATTTTTCACCTGAGTTGAGCATAATTCAAAAAATGTTTGAGATATCAACATGAAATGTCATAGGTGGATAGATCTTATTGAGGAGGATGTTGTGTGCAAGAATGATAACTCTTCCCTATACAATTTTTGAGTTATTGCCCTTTTTTATTTTACTATTTTTTGTCCAGAGCTTATCTGAAAAAGTATTTGAGGTATCAACTTGAAACTTCAAAGATGGATGTATCTCATTGAGGAGGAGTGCAGTGCTTAAGAATGATAACTCTGCCCTGCATTATTTTTGAGTTATTGCCCTTTGTTATTTTTCAAAATTAATTTTTGTCCTGAGCATAACTCAAAAAGCCTTTGAGATATCAAAATGAAACCTCATAGGTGCATAGATCTCACTCAGGAGGTGTGCACTGCACAAGAATGATAACTCTACCTTTTATATGTTGTGTTATTGCCCTTTGTTCCTTTTCATACTTAATTTTTCAATTCAATTTTTTTCTCAAAAAGTGTTTGAGGTATCAACTTGAAACTTCATAGGTGGATAGATTTTACTGAGGAGGGATGCAGCACACAAGGAAACCTACCCTGCATTATTTTTCAGTAATTGCCCTTTGTTATTTTCAGCCATCAGTATTCACATAGGTTTCAAATCTGTAATCACTATAGCCATCAGTTTTCATTACCAAAAGACCTCTTAAAATGGAATTATTCCGCTCTACTACATATACATTCTCTCAATGAGCAAACACATTCGGCGGGGGATGGCCATGTTGACATGGCTCTTGTTTATCATTATATTATCAATACGATGACACCTGAGCTTAATACGAAGGATGCTTATCACGTCATTATCTCTGTATCATTTCCAAATATATATGTTTTCTTTTTTTTTTGTTTTGTGTGGTCAATCATTATTATAATCGGTATCAATATTTTATTTAAACATGCCTTATTGCTATACGATACTGATACTTTATACAGTATTATCATATCATGTTATCATCCTCATTCACTATCACAACACAAGTGAAATAGGGGGTCACAACACTCACATTCCTCGTTTAGTTCACTTGTGATTAAATAGTGCAGTTTGCAAAGTTTAGAGATACGTTAAATTTGGTTCATCTTAACACACATGTACCTTCTACAAGCAGCACATAATGGTAACTTGTGTTCATGCTATAACAGTTATGATGTTCCATACCATTACATGTAGAATTTCTTTACCTGTTGTTGTGTTGCCCATAATAATAGGAGACCGTGGATATTTTTCTTTAAGGGCCAAAAGCTGTTGCAAGTTAACTGGACGGTACCATGTGTGTCCCCCATTCGTAAACTGTTCCTCTTTGTCGAAATATTGTTCACGTAACTAAGCAATTTTAAAATACAAGCAATTTATACCAAACAACAATACGGACTTTATTTCGAAAATATTATCAATATACAATGTTAAGAGTTATAGATGTTGGCACTTCTTCGTCAAATGACCGTCCTTTTATTACAATAATGGACATTTTCATAACAAACCCTCAAATTACCAGTAACATTCACCTGTAAGAAGCACTTTGTTGCAGCTATGGGTTCATGATTGCATATTTAATTGATTTATTAATTGACTTCACATATACGTAAAAGAAGGGGAAACTGTTTATGACTTGAATACATAATGTAAATTCGAGATGCTGTTAAAATTAGTTGCAAATGCGAAGAACCATTAACAAAACTTTAAACATATTTCAAGAAAATCTGCAAACAAACCTGAAGTTCGGGCGGAAATATTGCAACCTGTTTATCATCATCATCAATGACCAGTTGCTAGAATATGATAATAATGAAGTTGTTATATGCATAAATACAATTTATAGTTTAAAATGTCTTTCAAAACTTGAATAATTGTATCAAAATAACTGTATTTTTGGAAGAAAAACATTTTGCATTATTTCATTTTATCATCGCTTTTCGGTGGTTTATAGAAATATATCAGTGAAATAAAAACTGATAAATTCACTGTTTTAAACAGTGAAATTATCAATTTGATAATTTCATTGTTTTAAATATTTGATCCTGGTACGTTGTTTCAGTGAAATACAAGCGTTCACAGTACTGGAAACCAACTTAAGACGTGACGTCGTAAATGACGTCGCGATGTATTATAATTAGGCGCTTTTACCATTTAGTAATAGGTTAACAAGTCTTTTTAAACGTTTCTTTGCATATAATAAAATGAAAATTTGTAAAGTTTAATGATATATCGAAATATATTTCACTGTGTGAGCACCAAAAGTTCATATTTCACTTGTGGCTGCGCCACTCGTGAAATATACCATTTTGTGCTCACAACGTGAAATATATTCCGATCTTACAATGACCTAAACACATTTCCTCTATATGTTTGGCATATCAATACGGAATGTACAATCATGTTATTCTTATAATAATTTTATTGTATTTGGATAATATCTAAATAAATCCAAAAAGAAAAATCTGCTTGCTAAATTATTTTTATTTCATCGAAGATAACTTAACATCATCTTCCTTATTTTTAGTGAATATTCAATTGTCTTTTCAACGCCACTACATTATGTTCCTTTTGAAAATGTTTATGCCCTCTTTTCAAGCAGTATGTTTTAACATTATTTTCCTCATTTCAATGAATATGCCATATAAAATTAAGAAAAAGAAGAATACAATGTTGTCATGTCATGTTCTGCTAATTTTGTGCATGTTAAGTTTGAAAAATGTTTAACGATTAAAGTAAATACTTAGCAACAAAAATTTAAACTGGAAATAAGGAATTCGAGCCCTATGCTTATAGGATATAATAAAGATTTTATTCTTATCAAACAGTACCTTTTTACTTTTGTCTTGGTTAGTATCTACTGAGCCTGTATTTTTACAGCATGCCTTACCCATTGGACATCCTTCCTAATGACAAAGATGAAAATAAAAATAATCTCAACAGCAAATATGATTTATATCTTTTTACATTGCTATATAGACGTATTCTATATACATATATACTAACATTATTACGCAAATCTTTATGCTTTTAATTAATTGCATGGTATTTTCTAAAGCTTTACACCTTACTTTACCCCTATAATCGCAAATACAGTGTAATTACAAATTAAAATTACCTGTGAAAACAAAATGTTATTTACAATTTCTAATGCATTGTTTACAATTTTCTTTTTTTTTAATTCAAAATTGTAAATTTCTGCGCATTTTGTGTATAATCATACAATTTCGACGATAGAAAAATATTTAGATATCTCCTCATTTGATGTCATGGTGTAAAGTATTGATAACGTTTTAAAAATAAGAAGAGTTTGCTCAGACTATATAAGAATGTTTTATAGTATTATACCTCGGTAAATGTTAGAAGTGCGTCTAGAATAGGACGGTATCCTGTGCATCGACAAAGGTTTCCTAAAAATATACATCAAAAGATATAAACAAAAGAATATAGGAATAAATTATAATATCCTTTCACTTATAAATGAACGGATCTAATAAAATCGCCCATCGCTTTTATGAACATGTTAATAAGTTTAGCATTAATGATCTTTAATCATAATCTCATGGCAAAGGATGAATATATTGTTTCTGAGTTATAAACAAAATGAAAACCATTAAATTATTTGTTACTGAAATAACGCAGTTTTAACGCATTTCTGTAAGTAATTAAAAAATAGAAATAGTAATTATGATGGTAATACTAATAAATAAGGTTAATAAAACATTTCCCAGAGAAACAATAAATTATAGTCACGTTACACAATACCTTCAATGGCGCTTTCAACTTGGTCACGTGTCGGATTTGGATTGTTTCGCAGCAAGGCAAACGCTGACATTATAAAACCAGGAGTGCAGAAACCGCACTGTAGTCCATGAGATTCAATCAAACGTTGCTTAATAAAATAATATATTATAAAGAATAATAAATGGCATCTATTTATCTTAAGCTTAACTTGTTCAAAACGGGGCTTTATAATTATACACTGTCTTTCAATGGTATACTTTTATGCAGTATGTTGTAAAAACAATGTTAATTGAATTAGAGTCTCATGTAGTGAATCATGTCATTGGCCATTGTGGAGTTAAATGAGATAGTTAGACATAAACTTTGTGATAAACATAAACAACAAAAATGATAAGCATAAACAACAAAACAATTTGATACTATAATAAAAGAACCTAGATCTACATGCATGAATGTCAGAGGAGTGAACAAGAACGAAATATTGAATCATGTGAAACGTTTTAATATATTATTAAATGTTATGATATTTAGGAAAACTCTATTGCTAGTAATCATATAGTTGGTCTCGGGAATATTTACCTGAACGGCGTGCAACCCAGTGGCAGGGTTTCCAACTCCTTCCACAGTTGTGATAGCCAGGCCATGTGCCGCACATAGCGGAAACAAACATGCATTGACAGCATAGTGTATAAAGTCGTTCAGGAAAATTTAATTGCATTCATGTGACATACAAGAAGAACCATGATTTTTAAAGTTTTCAAATTACATTATAAAACATACAATGAGAATCATCGTAATGAAATTCCTTTGCATTCATGTTACATACAAGAAGAATCACAATTTTATTTGTTTGCATTTATAAAATATACAAGAAGAATCATAATATTATATGATTGCATTTATGATACATTCAATAAGAGTCATCATAATGAAATTTAAATGCATTTATGGTACAGACTAGAAGAGAAAACCGTAATGAATTTGTGATAAAAAATTAACTACATTTATGCAAAATAAAAGAAGAATTGATAATAAATAATAACTATCACGAAATACTGAATATCATTATTATAATTATTTTGAATAAAAGTGAATGTCGCCATATGTTACTGTGACTTAATCTGCACATAGTAAACATGCAACACTTGAAAGTTAAATAAAACATTAAAATTCGAGGGCATGGAAGCTTAAGTAACATTTGTTAGTTTATACGGTGCACTTTTGTAATCATAATAATTATTTTTTATGTTGTATATTTCGATTATACATGCACCAATTCCGTATTATATGCCAGGATATCAAGAAACATGCTGAATGTTTATAAAATTAAATCGAATGCACAATGTAATGAGAACATTAACAGGTGATAACATAAAAATGCGTAACACGCTTGCTTAAACACCATATGATATGTGTGATATTGAGCTGCATATACTGTCAAAATAAAAGATTATTCCAAATAAACAAGTTGTAAAACTTGCGGAAAAAAACACGGGCAGGAAAAAGCAACAAGCGTAAACACCATGTGTTTGCTATATAAGTACAATGTACATTTCAAAAATATTGAATAATCTATTTAAATTAGATATCGCAAACCGAACGCAACTGATATGCATGCACCAGAAAATTGCCGAATTCTATGTAAAAGTGTACCAAATTAACCTGCTTATGAGAAACAGGTGGCAAGCTTAGGATACTTAATACGCTTGCTAGTAAAATCATATCTGGACACCATCACAGTGCATGATCCACATCCTCCATGACCACATCCTTCTTTTGTGCCTGGTAAAAAAACTGAAACAACAATAGAGTCAAAATATTTCTTATATTTTCATAAATGCTGTGTTTTGGTCACTTCCCACAATAGTTTTCTTAAATTTTAACCAGATTTTTTTTTTTTATAATTGTTGATGTATTTAAACATGCTCCTTTCCAGTAAATAACACCTCTATATAATTTCTATACATCCTCCTAAAGCATTCAATGGGATATATCAAAATGACCCTTTATTTGTTTGTATCTTTTGAAATTTATAGTTTTATTGTTATAAAACGCCTCCAGATTCATGCTAACTTTCATGAACATTTTGAAAAATGTATTTGAATTTGTAATATTGTGATTTAACCAAAAGGAAGCAATGTACAGTCATTATCAGTGGTGGCACTTATGAACCACGTAAATCACCAAAAAGTGGTCAAAATATGAATTAATAGCCCTTACTGCGTTAGTTACGCAGTTTAAATGTAGTTGTAAATACTGTAAAAAAAATAGTCATTAATCGCACATAATAATTATGTAAAATATTACTTGAATCGTGAAACTTTTACTTTTCCATACATCTTAGTACATTTTTCTCAAGTTTGATTATCTTGAAATATTTTGACTCATGTAGCTTTTAATTGAATTACAATGTGAAACATTGTTTAAATTGACTTATGCATAAAATTGACAGCCAATGTTCATATCAACAGAAAAAAATCATTTTTTATTATAACAAAAATATCACAGTAAAATAACGGTGACAGACATTGGTAAGGTCTGTATTGAATCAGTTTTATCCGAGACAGACGCCAAAAGTTTCAATTATATAACAAATACAAATTCATACAAAGCACCTATTTTAAGCAGCATCTTCTGATTATATTTAAATATTATTGTATTGTTTCTAAAATGTATTGATTAGTTTAAATATTTCTTTCATATGCTTCTTTAGCTTTAAATTTAAAACAGGCAAGAAAAATATTTAAACGAGTGAACATGATTTTCGTTAACTTTGAGTGGTAAAATTAAATAATGATATGAAAACAATTGTATTGGAAAAAGTTTGGTCATCAATAAGTTACTTGCCTTTAGTTGCTTTCTATTTTAGGTCATTTATTTAACGACAGATAACTTAAAGTCAAGCCTTCTGATGCCTGATAATATTTAAAATAATTCTTTGTTACTTATCCAATCGCTTTGGAAATTTTCAAACAACTGACATACATTCCGTTTTGCTTTATTGAGTAAATCTAATGTGAATCTCTTCAAAAATGGGCATAATTTGAAGAAAATACCTATCATATCGCAAAAAATATATATAATAGTATATTTCATATTTCATTTTAGCAAATATTGAATCATGCCAATATCATCCTTTATTTATTTAAAATTTATTTTATAAAAGCCCTGATACAATTAAATATTTCATACGTGTTCGCCGGAGATACTGCAGAAGTGTACACTTTGGATCTGGACTTGTTTCACAAATCTAAAAAAGAACAAAAAAGTAAGTATAGTATATTTCACGAAAGAATTTGCTTAGCCTAGGGTCACATCAAGGTCTTTCTCGAGGCTTAGAGACATATCGGCCCTTTTATTAATCGATTCATAATTATAACTTTGGAACAAGCATATGAATATGGTACATCATAGTCATCTTAGCTAAACAATACATAATATATAAATGTCAACAAGGTTTCAAGATAGTATTCAATAAGTCATGTTTTGATGTTATTATTGAAAAATATTGTGAGAATATATCAAAATAGAACATTATACTTTATCAAACACACAAAATAAAATAGATATTAACTTTCTAATAAGAAAGCGACGATTTTTTTATCACAACACGGCACAGCACACTAACACGACATACTAGACAATGATGACATGATTAACCTAACCCACTGGTCTAACATAAAGAAAGTACCAATTTAAACTTAAATTTTAATTTATTTAAACAAACATTCTTGTTGATCCACATAATTTTGCTTAAAATGGTATATTTATAATAGCGAAGAACACGCTATGTTATAAATACTATATAATATAAGGGCCGTCGTTCCTGAAGAAAATAGTTTAAAATTGCATATCCTACTTGAGGGATAAAATGTTTTTGTTAAATAATGACTCTTGGTAATATAATAATTACAAATGCAATACGTGTACAGAGTGACCTAATTCTGTCGAAGCAAGTCAGTTAAACATAGTTAGATAATGACCGGTAAATATTGTTATACGTGTACTTTAAACCCTTTATAGATATCTGAAAGTTGAGGTATTGTTATACAACATAATGTAGAAATGAATGCGTATGTCCTCCACCATAACAATGTCAATATTTTGTTTGGATTATGATAAGTTATAAAACATATTGCTAAAGAACTGTTTTGCTTTATTATTTTAGATTTTTTTGTTGTATTTACTCCATATTTGTATCAGATATTTTGCAAGTTAAGTCAAAAGTAAATCATTGTTTTCGCATTTGGATGGTACGGCCGACCGATTGTTAAAAATGTCTTATTGTTCATACCGAATGACACAAATAACTTTTGAATAAATTTCAAGTCAATTAAACTGATTGAAAAAATATAGTTTGTTAAGGTAAGACTGAATCATAAGTATACCCTCAAAGAAGATGCTTTTCTTCAAGTACAATATAAATATTAGAAATTTAAGGAAAAGCACCGAGAAAATTTCATAACCTACGAATTGTTATCAAACTAAATCTTTTTTGTAACTTATTTCATTTTTCTGTCTTTTAAAATTAAAAAAAGTTTTGCAAAAAACTGTTGATTACTCGTTGTTATTATGTATTAATCACAAAGGAAATACAAATATTATTACAGTAGGGTGAACGTTTCAGTTTACACGCAACATGCACGTTCCGGAAAAATTGCACGCACGTTACACGCTATACGAACGAACGTTACACGCACGCTTTACGAAACGAAATACGCTGACGCACGCAAAACGATATAAATACGCTTAACGATATACAAACGCATAAACGCACGCAAAAAAGGACAACGTTTCTAAACGTTTAAATAACATTAATAAGATATCCTTATCATATAAATTTTTAACAACTTTAGCTAGATCATGTATTTTAAACGGGTTTATGTTAAAGCTGTAACGCCCTCAACCTGTCACAACATTATTTTTTGTCGTGCAGCCTCAACAAATGAGTTTTGAAATTATAAGCTATCATGCGCTAATATCAAAAGAAAATTAACGGGTTAATGAAAAAAAAACTTTGCTTTAGTCCAGGAATCTCTTAGATTGACGTTAATTATGTCGACACCGTTTCTGGCGTAAACAAATAAAACGAATGGTAGAAACTTAAGCAAATCAGCGATCAAATTATCATTTCATTTACTGTAACATAGAAGCAAATGAAATAAATATGACATTTTTAAACAAAAGGAAAACATACGTTGCAGACCGGCAGCCCAGCATATTTTCAAGACAAGGGCTAAATCTATATGTTTCAGGACTTTACACCTCCTGGACGTTTCGGCCCTGAACGTTTCGGCCTAAAAACCCTGGTCTTTTCGGCACATTTTTAAAATTTGATAAATATATAAAATAAATACCATGCAATATGGGTTATAGTATTATATATAATATAACACATACTTGCAATTTTTCGATGATAAAGATAATGAAATTTCCCTGGGAAAATAGATATTAAATTGATATGATATTTTAGTTCAGCTATCAGCTATCAATCTACATGTATATATTTATTCATTTTTTTTGTTATCAAAAAATTAAATACCATAATATTAAAACATTGATTTAAATATGTTTTACATTACAGATAAGAACAATTAGAACTATGAAAAACATTGAATCAAGCTAATTTATTTTAAATGTTATTAACACTGGTTTATTAATTAGAACCTTTATCTTATAAGTGTGTAACTTATAGTAGGTTGTATTTACATCGGTGATGTGTGAACACAAGGCTTATGAAATTTAATGAATAAGAGAATAATATTAAAAATAAAATTTTATTGTGGACCCGAAGCTGTAAGTAAGAAAAAAATGAAATTGAAGAAACCTGTCGACCTCATACAACTCCATAAATGCCAGGACTGGAGGAGTGTGGGACTCCAATAATTTGTGAATCATGTGTAAACTGTAAAGTATATTGATTTACCAATAGAGCGGTGCATCAGAAAATATGTTTTATAGCAATTGAAATTAATTGACATTATATACACTATATTTTTTATATGCTATATTATTATTTAGGAAAATTAAATGCCTTATACCTTCATTTTTTGTTACTGTCTCAAGTTAAAAAAGGTGCTGCCTTACCAGGACTTGAACCCAAACCCTTGAAATACCATTTTGCCGCTCAACCGACTGAACTGAAGAATGACATATTCCCCTGCTTTATTGAAATTCGTCCTTAAATTGGTACAGTGAACAATGTGAAATAGGACTTGGAGTTTTATACCATCCATCACAGTCCCCTTTGGAATATGTGATTGTATGAAACTTCAAGGCCAATTTCACATTGTTTTATTACTAACTGTTGGGAGTCAAATGTTAAAGGGTGAGAAAAAATGTGCACCCTGACTGGGACTTGAGTCAGGGACCCCTGGAATTCTGTGCCGCAGCTGACTACCGACTAAGCTGTCAGTCCGCTTGATGTAGGTAAAACTTGATATTATAAAATATAATAGAACAGAACAGAATATTTATTTTGACTTAAGCATATACAGCCTATCATCAATCATGAAAATATAATACATGTACATTCAATCGCATGCAAATGAAAATGGCAAAACAAGTTGTCAGTTGCATAGAAGGAAGATAATATACAATGTAATCAGTAAGCATACTGATCTACTAAATCAAATTAGCAAATATATATAACACACATGTCAACATTTGATATAATTAAACTTCAAGATTTATGTGATTGTTTCTTACTTTCAGAGCTTTTGAAATAAATATTGACAGTCTACACAATATTTTGAGATTATTACAGTCTAACAGTTCAATAAACTTAAACATGTTTGGGCGATTTCTGAAATAGTACGGAATATATAATTTTCTCAAGTACTTATACTTCTCACATATACAGACAAAATGAAATTCGTTTTCAATATCGTCTTTGGTACATATAACACACTTTCGTTCACTTCTTAACTGGTTTCTATGGCGACCCTGCTCTATGGATAAACAGTGCGAAGAAAGTCTAAATTTAGCCAAGACATTTCTGAATTTGTTATTATTAAGTATTGTCAAGCATTCAGACATTCCAAATGTTTGTTTAATTTCTTTATATAGAGTCAATGCCGTTGAAATGTTAACTGCCTCTCTCCATTGTCCTATATAAATGTCTTTAAGCCTAAGCTTAAACTGTGTAATAAAGCACTCTACTTAATACTATGTTGCTTTACTAAATTTGATTAATTTACCATGAGCTTATAATCAGGTAAAATTACTCCCATTTTTAATGAATAAGTGTTTTAGCTTGGATAATCATACATCATGGGAACTTAGCCATAATTTTTTAAATATTCAATGTAATTTATTGAGATATTCTTTTTTTAATCAAATATATATGCTTGTTAATTTGTAAAATAGATTTATGTTGCACTTATAACTCTGTTTCATTTCCTTAACTAACATAATAATGTAAAATTCCCCATTTTTTACTATCTTAAGACAGTAAGGCATCTTACGGAATTTGCCATAATTCTTATATTTTGTAATGATATTAGATCGGAATTCCTTAGTTTAGTCAATTAGATATGTTTGTTAATTAATATAATATATTTATGTTTTTGTTTAATTTTTAAGGTTGAATGTTATAATTAGGTAAAATTTTCATATTTTGTAGTGATTTAGTGTATTATCTTGGACAGTTAGGCATCTTAGGGGATTTGCCATAATTCTTATGTTTTGTAATGAAATTTGTTAGGACTACCTCATTTTAGCCAATTAAAAATGTTTGTTAATTAATATAATAGATTTATGTTATATGAAAAAACTCTGTATCATTTTTTAAGAGGTTAAGTTTAAGGTAAAATTACCCGGTGTATCGACATTTTATGCGCTTTCTTTAATACATGTAATAGTTGGGGTTCACATGGAATAAGCTAAAACATTTGTATTTTTAATGGAAAATTATTGGAAATTCTTTTTTTAAGTCATGTAATTAAAGCTTTTAATTAATAAAGCTTATTTGAATTGAGTTATCAATTACATTACTTTTCATAGAGGACACATATTAATGAATTGACATACCTATGAGGCATAACTTGATATTGTAAGAAAATTAAAATTAAAATCAGGTCGCAAAAGCTATAAGTATGCAAAATGGGTACCAATTAACCTGTTTTAATAAATTTATATAAATACATAGATTATTAGGTGATATTTAAGTAAGTGATATTATAGAACTTTATCAGTTATGAGGTTAAAAACTTACTTGAGGGTAGTTAAACAAGTGACTTGGGACTACAGCATACCTACAGTGTAGCTTCCTAGCTGAGAAAAATCTTAAAAGAGTTATATGGCTATATATGGATAGGTTATATATTTGTAAGTAAGCAAAGGGCGGCACGGGCTCATCTCTGGTATCTCAAAGGGGTATTATGTTAAGTAATGATAACGGATCGATTAACCTTAAAAGTTATTTGAGATTATATACAGAATAAAAATCAAGAGAGACCAAAGTGGGTTAACTTTCAACATGTAAACACCGAACGCGATGGGGAACGAAGAATTAACACCTAAAATAATAGTTGTAAATGTTTCTTTATTGTACATTATAGGAATATTGCTATATCATTGTATTCTTTTTGTTTGTGATTGATCTGGTTGAAATTCATAGAAAACTAGCTGAGTGAATTTAATATAAAATAAGAATAATATTTGTTAACGGATGGATAAATTAAACTGGATTATATTAATATTTTGATTATTACACATTTTATAGAAACACAGAATTACAAAGGGAATACCTAATCAAGGTATCATTATTTAACAAAACATATATTTATTAAATATCACAAGTAATTACACTACATCAATATGGCTGTCAGACAGGTCTTGAAACGAAATAAAGGTCCTTAAAAGTCCATGCCAGATACAAAAATAGCAGTCTATGCCCTAATTGTAAGCTGACAGTTAAGGAAATATTGTAAAGGGTGGCTTAACCCCTAACATTTTCTACCAGTCAAACGAGATTTTGGGACACTTCGGATCAGATTATTGGACATTTCGAACTAGATATTTGGACACTTTGGCCAATACATTTGACACTTGGACCAAACTTTTAGACACTTAATTTATATTTATGCATGGGATGTATCGGACTAGATTAAAATATAATTTTTGTTATGTACATATATATCATTATTTTTACGAAGACCTGGAAAATCGACAAAATGCCATGGGCGCCGGGCAAAAATACAACAACATTTCTTAGTCGAATTTTTAAGTTTTCGAGTTTTTGCCTGGTGCCTAGGGAAGCAAAAGTACAACATAGTACATATAAGCCACCATAGAATTTTTTTATCTAGAAAAAGGCTAGCTAGCTTTTTTTCTTTGTACAAAAATATATAGTACAATGTATTATTAGTAAATTTTTTACTATACATGCATAAATAATGAAACTATTAATAAATGTCTCATCCCATTTCGGTACAAAATAATTATAAAACTCGTTATATACTATTATTGTATTTTTTGTCGAAAAAATGTGTGTGTGTGCTTTGTTTTGTTTTTCAATTTGTGTTAATTTAGAATCTATTAAACTGTTTTTTTTAAAACTATGTAACCGTATTTATCACGATTTAGAGGTGTTCACTATTAAGCACATACAATGTGTAAGTGACCGGACAGCTCAGTCGGAACAGCCGCAGTACGGTATTCTGAGGGTCATGCGTTCGAGTCCATGTCAGGCTGCACATTTTTCTCACCCTGTGACTGAAATATAGCCCAGGTAGAAACTAATTCACATTGCTAGGTAACCCTGGGAAAGTCGAAGAAATATTTGCATATACAGTAGGTTTATAACTGACCAGTATTTATAAACACATAAAATGTGTAAGCGGTCAAATAGCTCAGAGGGAAAAGCCGCGGAATGGTATTCCGAGTGTTAGGGGTTCGATGCCCTGCCAGGCTGTTACATATTAATATAAATCTGTTAAGAAAAATGTTAAGGAACTGTCTAAAATAGATATCACCCTAAATAGAATTCGGACAGTCTTTAATGAAACGTCAGAAGATGACCTGGTGAAGGGGCGGTGCTAGTTTGATTACCATCATATATGATGTCTGACGAACCTTATATCGGATATATTTAATTTTGGTACATGTACGCATATAAACAGCTGTTTGCTGAATTGAATATCACAACTGTTGTAATTAAATAGTAATTAAATATTAATCGTAAAATACGATTAAAACTAATCTTCGGCGTAAAGCATGTAGAAATCTAGTATTCACCACGAGGTCATAAACTTTAAAACTTTAATGTAAATATCACAATGATATTTCTTTATATAATATTTCTATTCTTTGACAGGGACACTGAACATCTTTTACATGTTTAAGAAAACAGAAATTTACATAATATATCTATCGAAGATATGATTTTTACTTCTAAATAGTAACAGACGCAAAACACGGTACTTAAACGTTAAAACGAACGCAGACGCACGCAAAACGTTTCTGGGAATAACAAACGCACGCTTTCAAACGCACGATAAACGAAAAACGATACACAAAAATCAGTACACGTTAACTCTTGTAAACGATAAAGCGTTTCAACAAACGCACGTAGCACGATATACGCACGCACGATAAACGATAAAAGCACGCACGAAAAACGCTATTTTTTTACAACTTAAACGTTACCCTACTGTATCCAGATATTGATTCTGACAAAATAATACCTTCTTTCCATTCACGAAAAACGTAAGGCAGGTTCCAGAACGTGACATAGTTGAACTATAAATCTATGTAAGTGTGAGAAATATCCGTATCAAATTTTTTTAGTCACTGTTTATAATCCAGTCTGTATAGCTGTGTAGCTGATATTAAAACAAGTAAATGTATTTCAACCTTCAAAGTCGTGTGTATATAATTATAACACCAAAGCTGCAGAAACAATATTTATTTAAGCCAGATATGTCAATTTAGTTATTTATTCATTGTATTGATTTAATCTCAAAATGAAATGTAAGATGAGGTCAACATTGTGTACTTTTTCAGTTTGTAAATTAAAACAAATAAGTGTTAGCCAATACGACCGTTGTTTAGGCGCGGCTAATTTTGATCATTTACAGAAAACCAAACAAAGTATAATAAAAGGTTACAAAACAAATATCTAAGCACTTGGTTTTATTTTTTAATGTGTTTTGAGCAGAATACATGTACTTGTAAATTAGCGGTGCTTTGCTAAATAATGTTTAACATCCAATATCTAGGCTACGGGTCACACAGTTATAGAAAATATTTTTTTTAATGTTTCCTGTTTGTGGCCAGTGTAAAAAACGTTAATCGCCGGGTCTGTCCACTTTTAGTCCCAGGGCTACGATTGAAAACGGAAACTTATATAAGGAAACGAGACAAATTTGATATCGTATTATTGTGAATATTGCACTTTTAAATGATAATAAAACCGTTTTGATGATATCAAAACCAATTTTACAAAAATGTGAAAAGCTGCATCCGAGACATGTTTTATCAAATTACTATGACGTATAAGGCAAAGGGGGATAAAAACCTTTTTGTATTATGATTGCGCATTGTAACAGTTTTCTCCCTTTGTAACTTTTTTTCTATCAATACGTAATCTTACGGACATTATTTTGATATTTTTCATTACACGAGGTTTCTTAAAAAAGTTTCTGGAATAAGGCGATAGTTTCACAATGACAGCACACTATTTGGTAAAACATTTACGACTATAAAGGTAGAAATTACACTCTTTTAAATGCCTTAAACATTACATTTTAACTATTGAAATACATATAAACTATTTTACACTTTGGAACGTTATTTGACTTCGTAGATAAGAATGAAAAGTACAATAATTTAAAGTGTGTGTCACTTTCTAGGATCTTTGTAGCCCATTCTTTCTGAAGTGTCCCTGAACCTTCAAATCACTTTTATCTCATTAAACTTAAACAAATATTCGTTTGTTGTGAATAAATGCAATGAAGATATCCAAGGGACCAATTAAGTATATTCAATAAACGTTTTCATCACGTGTCAACAGCCGTTTAACCAACAAGGCATACATTTTTTTATCCAAATATTATGTACGACTCCGTGACTGAAACCAAGAATGTCAGTAATGTCCTCCACAGAACCTTGTCGATCTTATAAGATAACGTGGTTTACCCGTAAAGCGTTGTTTCTCACACTGGGCGTTGTTCACAGTGTCTCGTGGGCGTATTAATATTTTCCACGCTACAATACTTACAATTAAAGTAAAAGTTTAGTTTGAAAGAAAGAACAGAGATATAATTAAAATTTGACATGGGTGCTTAAACATGCATCGTAATGCGCTTCTGTAGAAGATTATCAGGGAAATTATTTTTTCACACAAAAATAGTAGTACTCCGATAATTGCTTTAAATTTCGGCTGCAAAACAAATAATGTGTAATCAATACAGAATACATTTTTGTCTAAATGGTCAGGTAAGAACGGGTCAGAGGAAAAAGAGAGTTTTTTTTGACAAAATCATATGAAGTCTTCCCAATGGCATTTAGTACGCCAACAATGACGATGATTCTGCGTGGGATTTCCAATCAATCAATGGCAGCGTCGCCACTTTATTGTAAAGGTAGAAAGGCGTTGCAGAAGTTTTAAATGATATTTCTAAATTTCTACTTGTTGAATGGAACAAACATTGTGAGATCCTTGTTCCAATCTCCTTTATTTACGGAATACATACTAACTGTTCTCGTAATTTGGTCGAGTGAATTTATTCTGGATAAATTCAGAAGGGGTCTTTGGTACAACGTATCCCCTGTTTTTCCAACATTAATGTTCGCAAAGCTTACAATAAACTGCATAAACCACATTCGATTTGTACGTGATCTGATTTCGTATCTCGTACGAGGCCCCGTTCACACCAATAAATGTGTCTGCTTCAATGACATATGGACAAATCGCACACTTTTGGGATCTGCAAGGAGCGCAGGATTCGGCTGTTGAAAACATAGTTTATTGTGTTTCTTATGAACACGAATGTGCTGTAGATTATTATCTCTTCTAAATGCTGTAATGGGAGGATTCGGGAATAATTCCTGCATTCTGTCTGAGGTGTGTAATTCAGGTAGGTGTTAACTATTTGTCCTATATTTGGGAGCGGGGACTCTTTCAGTGTTTTCTTTATCTTCTTTATATTCTAATAAGTCACCCCTTTTCTTACTATCTACTTTATTTAATTCTGATTCTGCTTCAACTCGATACCGTGAGTCCAAAGGCCCATAACGTCATCAACATACCGGAATTACTCAAGCGGAAGTTTATCTGATATCTCCATCAGTTGTTATTCCCATGATCCAAGATATGTAGATGCGTAATTCATCCCTAATTGGGAACATATCGCTGTTCCTTCTGTCTGTGTGAATTTTCTTCATCAAATGAAAAAGTGTTATTTTCAAGGACAGTGTCCATCATATTGAGAACATATTGCTAAGCAAAATATATGACTCACGACACTTATAACGTAAGTAACCTTTCATTATATAGCTTCACGTTTCTCAGACAAAAATGTTTAATATATAAATAGTTATATTATTAGTTTTTTTTATAGCTGTCAAGAAATAAAATTAACGAATGACGGATGAATACGCACTATTTTGCAAAAGAGGACGGACGCGTCTTCTATAGTTTTAGTTCCCGTTTTCAAACGTTATCTACAGCTTAGATGGGAACGTGAAAAACGTGAAAACTAGTACCATACTTATATATGAAACTGTATTTGTCACTTACACAAATATTCTGTTAAAGCGTAATTGCGTGTTATTTAGAGAGAAAATTTATAGGTAGATAATAAAATTTATAAACAGTCACGCCTTATACATTTTTAAAAATATATTTTTGAGGAATATATAGATCTAGGACTTGTATTTGGATTTCTCGGATTTTATCACAGTCTCGATTTATTAGAACGGATCTTTCTTCGTGATAGCCTTGACTAGTAATATTCGCGCGAGTACATGTTAGAGATTATGACAATTCTTGATAATTCTGGGTTTATTTAAACACTTTAATCCTTAAGATTATATAACTGAACCCTTACCAGATTAATTTATAATTCATATATAATTTATATCGGTACAGGATGTGTTAAACGGTAATCTTAAATAATAATAATTAGACCATCAGCTGTTTGTGTACTGTTCACACGTAAATTGTGTTTAAGTCTCAAATTCATCACGAGCGACCACAAATATAAAACGACTGTCTATTCCAAGTACAATTAACAGAATAATTATATTTTTATTTTTATATGATATAAATATAGCTGCAACCTTATTGGTCCAAACAGTAGTCAACACAACTTTTTTATATAATCATTCTCGCTGTATGTAGTATCATATTCGCTGGCTGATTTTGATTTTTCCAGTCTAGTAATAAATTGAGACTCATATTGAATGATCCCACGCCGAAGACTGTTAATTACCCGTGCGCATTAAAACTAAACTGTTGCGTTTTGTTCTTTATGACATATTTTCGATTAAAATAGCATTTCTTTACTATTTTACTTAAAGATTTCACCGCAATGATGAGTAGAAACTTTAATTAATTGTGTATGCGCAGCGTTCGTGTAGTCGTTGCACGCCCATTTCCACTCGCTTCAACGAAGCAGACAAATATTGTACGAGGTTGTACTTTTGTGATTTTTGTAAATTCTTAAGCCCGTTTATTTAATAAAACAATTATTGACTAGTGAGCCATTTACCATCGCCTCATTCAATATGTCATCTGCCTATCAAATCTTAATTCAATGGCACAGCACAAGTTTTTTGCTGAGCGTTCCAGCAGCGATTCCTGTGTGCCTTTATGATTTCTCATAGCTTTTTCCCGCAGTTTATTTTGCCACCCCTAAAAAGTATTTGTTATCTATTTGTGTTGTTACCTAGTATATTTGTTACCAATGTCACGTCATTCTAGAAAGGCGGGGCCACGACATTAAGATTACACATGCCACTACGTTCCAAACTCCGAATTATTAGGTCTATACGATTAAGTTGTATCATAGTTTGGGGAACTTTCTGTTGAAAATGTGTCAGACTAAATTGAGAATATTGAATGAGTATAAGTTAAACATAATAATTATTGAACGAATTTAATAAAATTATATTGTACCGTTCTGTTAAAAATTTGGCCGAGTTAAATCGCATACACAAACATGAACAGTGCCTTAACTGGGGTGCAGGTATTAGTTGCTCCCACTCCAGAAAGGGAAAGCGATGGAAATACCGTATTCGTTTGCTCGTTCATTGGTTAATTTTTTCTTTGGTTTCATATTATGACAACAGGTAACGTGTTTTTATGTTTGACTATGATAGAAAAGAGAAAGCACATCAAAACACTCGGCAATCAGATTAATACTCGGGGGGCTACACCCCCTCGTACAAATCAGATAGCCTCGTGTTTCAATGCTCTTCCTATTACTTACTCTTTAATATTTCGAATGCATTCGAACGTCTGATGAACATATTTAAAATGAACTTAGATATGAAAACATTTCTGAGAATATAAATCATTGAAGACTTCTATGAGATTTAAGCTTCTGTGGCAGTGCCTAAACATTTTTATTTGCTAATCGTAAGTTGCTATCTGATGAAAGGGTTTTGTTGATTAAGTTAATATGAACAAAATTGACTGAATGTAAGTATGGTAAATGATTTGCAGCATAAAACGATAAAGTAAAAAAGCAAAAACAAATAAGATTACATTTTAATGTTACATTTGTAATTCTGATGCTATTCAGATACAGATAGTCGGTCAATTACTAATACATGCAGGGATCTTTTTTCATAACAATAGAAACAAAAAAGATGGAAAAGGTTAATTATAACAATGCCTGCTTCTAACATCCTTGTCATAGAGCAAAAAAATACAAATAATCTTAAGAGGTTTCTTGGATATATATCTACAGAGAAACGTGAGGTAGAGAAAATGAAACTGAACATTCTGGCTGATCATTAAAATTATAATTTTACACATGACAATATTATAAGATATCTGTTAGACTATTTTCGGGAGTATAATATTGTTACATTCTCACTCATACCATCATTCAAACATATAACCAAATGAATCAATTCATAAATCCAACAAACTATTTCGCTTCAGTTATAATTTGATTTGTTGACCGCAAGCTTCCTGAATTCTCTGTACTGTTGCTGGGCAATCAAGTCTGAAGTATCCAGTTATACCGATCTGCGCACGCGCAGATTGTATGGCTTCTTTTATTGCTGCTAGGACTGACAATGACAATATCAATGGCGGTTCTCCAACGGACTGAAAATTGAATAAAAACATTGTATATTCCAGTTTATGTAAGATTGAAATCGTATTTTACTTTGAAAAAAAAAATAAAGTACTAGTGTAAAAACTGATATATTAAAGATAAACCAAAACATGAATTAAATAACCAAAAGCTTAACTTAATGTCATCAAAAAATATTTATTCCTTTTAATATTTCTGTGCTTTTTACTCCTTTAACAATGCTTTGAATACAAGCTATTTTATTATTTTGGGTAATATATATTATATATGTACACACCTTTGAAGAATAGATATTTGTAACGATATCGTGATTTTTCAGCAATTTCACTATAAACTTTCTTGGAATACTTTTTATATTAGGTATTTTGTAGCCGAGTGGACTACACGTGTTCAGACGACCCTTTTCATCTATTTCCATATTCTCCGAGGTAACCATACCTAATCCCTACAACAAGGAAAAAGAATTGTTATCTCACAATGTTAAAATGATCGAGTTCAATTTTGCAATTACAAAGACAAGGATTTGCATTTTAACTAGTGCTTCATGCGAAGTTCAGGACAAAAAAGTGTACAGTTCATACCTGCACAAATGCGCCTTCAATCTGTCCGATGTCAACTGCAGGGTTTAAGCTTTTACCGCAATCAACATACAAGTTCGATTGAAGAACCTAAAAATATGAGATGTTTTGTTTTACTTTATTTAAAATAAAGGCAATCAGTATCACTTTTGATCAACATGACAATTGACCTGACAAATGATAAATGCCTCCATGTGACTATGATGAATAAGAAACTTGCAATTTCCTCAATATAGTCATTAAAGACCAATAGAGGGATAATCTACATTTTGACAACAAATAAAAAAAGAGCTTCCCCTCGTCACTTGTAACTTCTACTTCAAATGTGTTTTTTTCCATTAAATCCTCTTTTGCCACTTGTGATAAAAAAATCATAATTGTCATTATTAATGTTTCTGCTTATTTTTCAGAACAAAGTGTTCCTCTACGATACAATTATGTTACTGATACAGCTAAAATAAGTGTTCAAAGATGTTTGTGTAAAAGAGTTTATCATTGATGTAACTCACTTGGCTTTCTCCTGTAAGCACATCAATCTCTACCTCAGAACAAGCAACTCCATAAGTAAAATAATCATAAGCACCATCAGTGTTCTGTTTTTGTGGACTGAAATAAAACATATTGGCATAGGATAGTTGTAGATCAAAATGTACGAAATAGCTGTTTAACAAACAGTCGTCTGAAATAATGCAAGAAAGCGGTAGTTGGGGCACCTACGGGCTTCCTCAACCAGACATGACAACTTATGACATTTACAGTGTTAGTGATGTTTACAATCCATCAAAACAAGTGATTATTTATATATGATAACACTATAGTGACTCTACTACCCTGACCAAAGGTATATTTAATATTGATTTTGACTTGGCAGTATTTGCCATGTTTGTGAAGATAAACTAATGTTAAAGAAATGGAATTCCTTCATGCTTCATATTCCTAAACGTAATATAAATTATTCATCACTCTCGTCTTTTAAATTGTTAATAAAATCACAGAGTTACCAGTTAAATCCAGTTGCCGACAATTGAACTCGTGAGAAAAATGCTTTGAAAATCTGAAATTTAAGAATAATAAAACAACGCTATTTGATAACAGTTAGTTTTAAATACTCTTTCATTTAGTAAGCAGCAAGCGAAAATAAAACGTTATGTAAATAGCTGGACAAAAACCTTGCATGAAAAAACATTATACATGCTGTTTGCTAAACGTCGAAAGCATCAGAATAGCATAAAAAAGTATGTAACAGTTGCAGCTGTGATTTTGATTTGATTTATCTTAGCAGCTTTACTCATTTTGGCATTTATATCTTACATGTATGTGTGATAGTATAATTAAATTGAAACAATTAACTTATGAATACAACCAAATTAATTGCTCTAAACATTATTCTATCGAGCTTATACTTCTTATATTTTGACAGCTGCTACTATGTCTACAAATATTGACCTATTGTTTTCCTTGACATGTCCTATTAATAAAATTGAACATAGGTATACTAATGAAAAATATTAAAAAAACCCAAAACGAACCAGTTTCTCCCATGTTGCGTCAGGCATCTCACTTTTCAATGGGATTAGTCGTTTGTTCAAGTTTTCACAAGCATCCTATATAATTCAAAAAGCTATTTATGAAACGTGTATGAATGCAACGTGATCTAATGCAATGTTTGCATAATGTGTTATTGAAAACTGAAACGTAAAAAAAAATATAAAATACGTTTAAACCAGTCAGTTTATAATATAAAATAATAATTAAGATATTTCATTCGCCGATGTCACATGCCTCAGCTCATTGCAAGTCTCAAAATACACCCTTAAAACTGGAGTATATAAGCTCGTGCTATCTTCATCGTTTAAACTTAATTGAAGTAATGACTGACGGTTTATATCTAACAAATTGATAGAAAGTATTACATACACTCAATTATCTTTCTTTTAAAGAAAATATATCGGCCGAAAGAATTGATTACCTATTATAAAGCAAATATTCGTTTTTTAATAAAAAAAACCCCATACACTGCTTATTTGACTGGTACAAATCTTTGAATTTGCAATTTATTATTTAGCGTAAAGAGTAGGTGGATTTCGAACTATAAATTGGTTAGACAGACAAAAGCAAACATTTTTGATAGTTTTCAGTGTAAGAATAAAAAAGACTTTCCATGAAAATCTTTAGTTAGTTCAAATTTCAATTAACATACTATTTATACTTATAAGCTGTTTTATTATATTAATATAATAAATAGGATAATTGGATCAAAAACCAACACAAATTAAGTATCAAAACATGTTTCGCTTTATTAAGCTTCCTCAGTTTCTAAGATTTCTTTGTGGAGTAATGTTCACTTGGTTACCACGCAGCAAATGAATAAAAGTAATCGAAAACAAATCATATTATAATACTTAAATACTTCAAAAAAGTTAATTATAATTCAAATATAAAGACATCATTATTTGATATTGATTACATCTAACACCTATATACGTTGGAGATTCATCACAATCGTCATTTTTTGCACGATTTTCTATAATACTCAATATATGACTAACAAGATCAACAAGGAAAGGCGGCGTTTAATGAATGCAACGCCAAGCGACCTAGCAACAAGAACCAGTGGTAAGGAGCCAAGGAGGACCCCAAACAAAAACAGGACCGAAGGGAAGGCAGAGCTCATCAAACTCATAACATAAGCAAATTTGTTTTACCTTTACAGCAGGTCCATAAAGGTCTGTGCCCATGCTCGCAGCGGTAACCATGGTATTCGGAATTTCCCTTGTACTGCTACCGATCGTATGAATCTTTTCTTTAGGTATTCCCAGCACTCTTGATGCAATCTTAATACAAATTGTCGTGGCTTTATAAATGCTTTTTTGTTTGTCGTAAAATTCTAATCATAACTAAAATATTTTTAATGATAGTTCATTGCATAATTATATTTACATATTCATTAAAAATAAACAACGGTTAATGCTAGTGTATCGCATAAGTATATTTACATATTCATAAAAAACAAACAACGGTTAATGCTAGTTTATTGCATAATTATTTTTACAAATTCATAAAAAAAACAACGGTTAATTTATGTCTTTGTCAATGCTAAATGGAATTGCATAAAACACATCTTTTAATTTGGTCATTTGTTAAGATGGAAACAAGAACGCAACTACTTTCAATTTAATTATGATACAAAATCCAAATATGTCATGGGGAGGCTATGACTGATCACTCATCACAGACAATTACAATATGAAAATATTTTCATTCTTTTATTTCATATCTGCAACTTGTAAAGATAATATTTCCCTGAAAAATTCTTGATTTTTGTTTGTTATTTTTTCAAAATCACTACTCCGTTACGTCATACTGCCGCGGTAATCAGGTTTAAGCATACGCACGATTGTAATAATTAGTTCTGGTATGAAAACCTTTCTATATAATAACTTTATCAATATTTTTTAAACAAAAAGCATTAATGGAAATTTTAAGATAAATGCTTTAATTAGGTGGCAAATATTCTTTATTTTTTGTGATAACAATTTTCCAATTACTACGCAGTGACCAACTGTTTATGACGGGTCATTAACTAGAACGTTGCAACACCGTTGTCTCAATATAATGCATGTTCTTTTGTTGTTATAAACCATTAATAGTCCTTAATATTTTTTTAAAGACAAATAATGGTAAACTGTCGCTTACATCAGAGACATGGATCATGCTTGCATGATAACTAAAGAAAACTAACTTATTAGTACACCTTAGGAGGCTGTACGCGGAATGCGCTCATAAACCGGTATATCATATAGCTGTTAGTAAATATTTTGTATACATTTAACTAAACATTCACTAATGGTGATGACCACATAGTTTGAAAACATTATATTCTTAAACCATGTATTGCCGAAAAAAAAAACTATTTAACTACAAAACCCGTAAGGACCCTCCGACAACATTTCACCACAAGATTACATTTAATGTTAACAAAATAAAAAAGCAATACTTATATTTTCATTTTACATAATTCATTAATCAAACTTTTAACATAAAAGTATCTTTTAAAAATATGTCTGGCAATTGACAGATCCCTAATCTGATCTTTTATTTGAAAGGAATAAATTTAAACATGTGCTCTTTTGTTTAGGAATATTTTGTAGTGAAAGTCTTAATATATCCACTAATCTCATAATTAGAATTAGACAGGTCAGGGATTTATACAACCAGTAGTTTAGTTATCTACGCTCATTTTAATCCCAATAGAAACATTCGGGGTAAAAAAAACATGACCAAAGTACCTAGTAGTCGTTTACCCGGTGTTGTCCCCATTAAACTGATTATAGATTCGAATAGAAAACACAAATAGAAACATGTGTTTCGGTACAACAAAAATCGGAAGTAAAGTGAACAGTTAAATGACAGAAATATGTTTTAACAAAGAAATAATTATTTCAGAGAAAGACACAAAGATCAGTCTTCAATCAAATGAATGGCCCCGAATTGTGTAATTAGAAAGTTTATTCAATTCAAGGGCAACGAATCATAACTTGATAGTCCATGTGTAATAAAATTTTCAATACAGATTATGAGATACATAAAAATATTAAAGAATAAGAAGCTTTAAAAACAAAACAAAAAAACGCATATATATACGAATGACTTACAGTCGAGCATCGGAAATTCATCAACATATCTTACGAAATTTTGAACGATATTTGCGCGCGCTGAAGTGATTAATGTTTATTTGAATAAATCAAATAAAAAGAAGTTATATGTTTGTGTTCTAAAAATTGGCGGCATAAGACGAATTTTGTTTTCATTTTACAACACTTGAAAATTACTACAGAAAATATGTTGTTGTTTATTTTGTTTTGTTTTTAACAAGAATGTGTGTTTTAAGTTCATTTATTCTCGGCACCGGAATAACCATATGTCCGAGATTATAGCATCGTCTTTTTCAAGCAGAATCTTCCTGGTAGCACATCTTCGTTCGTTAGTGGTAAAGGAGACGGCAGTACTGTCAAGGCATCAACTTCCTGACTGACGATAACAAAAACGGCATTAATTAGCGCCAATCCCCCAGAGTAAGTTACGACAGGTCAACCAATCACCTCTGGTACTTGAGATGACTTGACCTTGACCTGCCGTGTGTCTTCTCCGCGACGTGCATACCTCTGGAGGGATTTGGAGAAGTTTCAACAAAAGCCTCCGAAACACGCTATTTATAACACCATTCATAGCACTGACGCTTCGATGTTCTCATCTATTTGCGGGAAATGGTCGACAAGGAAAACCTACGTAATAACCGCACACCCTGTTAACAACAGATTTTCCGCAGTATATATTTCAAGCTAGTGAGGTTTGAAATCTATCGATTAACTACCATAAGTTTGTTGAGTGTTGGCGGTAAAAAAAGAAGATATAACTTCCTGATCAATTTTCACTTAGGTTGATTCAATTTTGAATAAGCTTTGCAGATATGTATTTTTTCAAGAAATATTTAGCTTTAATATTATCCGAAGCCGTCAAAGTCAGAGACGAGTAATGAAATGGGAATAATTTTCTGAAACGTGATTTTATTCGAGATTTGCTTAGGGAGAAGACAACTTTCTGTCCGTAGAGCATGGATATTAATACTCATCACAAGACAGTGTCTCATTGATCTCAATTATGGTACATGTAAATATGTATACTTTTTATGTTCAATTAAAATGTTGCTTAACTTGCAGTTGTTATTATCATTCAATGATATTAAAATGACATAAAGTATTTATGATGAACAGCCCTAGAATATTTTGATAAGGAACCGTCAGTTGTAAAATGGTATTATGATCTTATAATGAACAGTCGTCATACCTGCTGGCTTGTCATTTATAAATGTTTTTTTGGTTTTTCAAAATTTGCATGATTAACAATCCGAATGTAGACCTCAATGAAATATTCTGGAATATTAACAAAATGAATAGTCAACCATATTAACCATTTATATGAATGGCTGAAACGATAAATGGCACAATGTGTATATCTTCTTATTTAACAGCACATTTTAAGCAAAAAGAAAAAAAAACTATAAGTCTGAAACATTCTGTCATAGCCTCCCCATCAGTACATTCAGTGCTTTGATTTTTCTTTGTGTTATTCAAGTTTTATCAGTATGCGATATTTTAATTATAAAATGTTATTTTTATCAAATGATATCATATTTACTGCTTGTATAGTGCATGTACCATTTATTGTATTTCAAGTGCAAAATAATTTATGCACATCTTTTTTTATTATCGAGATAATGTGGGAAGGGTCAATTGTGTAGTGTTGTTAAAACTTATGGTTCAACCTTTTGCTTTTATGAACAACGACAGCATCCGTGTAAATACTGTACATTTATTTGACAATATTTTGTCTTAAAGTGTACCTGTTTATGCACAGAAAGAAAAACAATAAAGTATCATTAAACTGAATTCTTTCTTTGAATACTTAGAGCAAATTTTGTCTGGATTCCATTTACAATACCTGTATAAGTTTCGTATTAAGACCTTGTCCCATCTCTATACCTCCATGAGCCACCAACACCGATCCGTCGGAGTAAATATTCACAAGCGCGGCACCCTTTATATAAAAAGTGCATTACATTTCAACATTGAATGTCTGCTTTATTATAACTAGAATTAAAGCTTAAAGTTATATTTGGATTTGTACAGAAACTAAGTACACAGCAGAAATCGTTGTCATAACAGTCAAATGACATAACACTATCACGTGAGAAGCATACCAAAATGGTTACGTAAAACAAAAAAAAACAACAACAGGTTACGTACAGAATGTACGAAATTAGACGTATTTTATGCAATAATAGCGCTAATGTACCTAATTGTTAATATCTGCAAACATCTGCAAAAGCCCACAGACTTATTAACTGTCTAATTAAATCACTCGACAAACGGTCTCGGGCTTAAATTGTGCCATCGTGCTTCTTTAGATGTTAATGCACAAAATGCAAGAAAAAAAGTGCATTGACCCTCTAATGTTTTCATTCCGGATTTGAAAGGATATGCAAGAACACAATTTCTGTACAGAGAAATTGAGATAGCTATAACATTACCATGATTTCTTTAAACAATAGTAAAACTTGTTTTACAGTACAAATTAAATTCCTAATAATAATCTATACTCTTGGTAAAAAACCATTACGTTATTATTGTTTCTGACATTGTACTTTGTTATTTTGATATTTGATATTATTCTAATTACCCTTATGAATTTGATTATTACAAGGATATCTTATATATCTTACCTGGTTCATAAAAGACACAGCAAAGCCAATTCCATATTTAGAAGCCGTCATTGCAATGCCTCTTTTCTTCCATTTATTGTTCCTATATGACAAAAATACAATTAAAGATACAATTAAAACATGTTCTAGGAAAGAGACAAATTGAAACAATTTGGAATAGGTTAAACACTTATACGAAAGAACACAATAATTATGTTCATGTCACGGTTTAGAACTGTTTGCTATTAAGGGGAGAAGGAGCGGTTGGATAACTAAGTCGGAAGTCGTGGAATAGTATTCCGAGGGTCCAGTGTTCGAGTCTCGGTCAGGCTGCACATTTTTCTCACCCTGTGGCATTTGGCGCCAATGGGCCGTGAAGGTATAGCTTAGAGTTTAATTTACATTGCTTCATAAACCTGATAAATTCAAAGCCGATTTTCAATATTGCGGGGGATTAAGTCACGGTTTAGAACTATTGACTATTTAGGGCAGACCTTGTCGGTAGAGCCGCAGAACAGTATTCCGAGGGTCCCGGGTTCGAGTCTCGGTCAGGCTGCACATTTTGCTCACCCTATGATATTTACCTTGCCCGGATCCAGTCTTTTTAGTTTTTTATTAAAGCTTTTATACCCAACTACGGCTTAATGCGACATACAAAAATAGCGAATCATTACAAATACCTTTTATCTAAGTTAGGAACTTTAAATACATACTTGTTGAACTGTTCAATGTCTTTAAGTCGATTTTCATAAGCACTATCAGATTTACATTTCTCCCATAGCTCAGGTATAGTGCATTTCACAAGTTTCATTCCATATGGTGTAACGTTTCCCTCTTGACATAGGCTTATTTCACGAACCTGTGACATTAATGTAATCATCCTTGTATTTAACGACTTAATAAACACATTTTAATGCGTGTACAAATCGGTAACACTTCACTCATTTGAAAAAAGTTTCAAATGTTAAGTGGTCAAATGTTAGTTGTTTACGGGCTCATCTACAAACCTTAAATTCGATTCGAAATATGTAATGGTGAGAATTACTTTCCTGAGGTTATTACACTTTTATTTTAGTATATATACTGATAAATTACATGTTTGAAGAGCTTATAAAACAAAATATTAATATACACATAAATATGAGACCACATGCGATCGCCTGTCGTTTCATTATTTTTTATGTTGAATTATGTTTTTTGAAATTAATACTTTTTGTAAAGCAACTAAGATAAAACTAATAAGTATATCAAATCACCTTTTCTGAACGTATGTTTAACTTATTTGCAATTTTGAATACGACATCTTCCATGATGGCGACAGCTTGCGGATGACCAAAGCCCCTGAACGCTGTGTTTGATGGACAATTAGTTTTGCACAAATATCCTTCTATTTTTATATTTCTAACTCTATAGCCTGATTCGGTAGATTTTATTGCCACGTCCATAACCTGAAGAAGAACAGTGTATACATATCAAGCATAAACTATTACCCAGTTTATTATTACGTTACAGATTGCACTCGTCTCCTTTTGGACTTAAGTCATTTAAAAACGTTACCTACATTATTTGTTTTCTAAAATGGATTAGTTCAGTTTCTATTTTACAAACTGTTTATTTATTATTTTGGAGACAATAAACCAAAAAGTAGGAATCTAGTCTGAGTTAGTCTGCTCTGCATTCAAGTAGACTAGGGATTATTATACATGTATGCTACGTGGAATATTTTATTACACAGTTTTAATAATAAATAATAAAAATTGGGCACTACGTCAGAATTTAAATGAATCACTGTAGAGCAACTGTTGAAATATCAACAGGCTTATATAACATGTTTTATGCCCTCATAATTTTCTCATTTTGAAATTAACATGGCACTGAAAAAATGAAAGAAATATGTCTTTATGTTAACTTTGGAGTACAAAATTCCTTACCAGGCTAGAAACATCTAAACTATAACCAGCATTGCTGTAGAATATCTAAATGCACATTGATGATGCCCTTCTGTTGCTGAAGACCAACTATAATTATAGCAAATTCAAAAAACAGTCGATTAAAAAATTCACACTTTACAGTCTTAAAGATGATCGACTTAAATAGTATAAATTGATTCATATTGAATTCATGACCGAGATCATTGAAACAAAGTCCATCGGTCAGATCAAACGATCACTAAGGCTAATGCTCTTACTATAAGTGAGCGAATGAAATTATACCTTATCTTCCCTCAGGAATGGTGTCTTTCCAGTAACCATAATGTCTTTCGCCTAAGGTAAGACACACCGGACAGGTCGGTTTCATTCTGGAAATAAACAGAAAGGTCGCAAAAGTAAAGACTATAGCAATTATCATACTGGCGTCTTATAAATTGGCATCGTTTCAGGAAACATATAAAATTCAAGAAAAGTAAATATATCTGTTTACATCAGGTACGGATTGTCTTGTGTATTTTTAAGACGCAGAAAAATAATTTCATACCAAGGACCACGATAACTGGATAGAGCAGTAGTAGGTGAGCGGTGGTTATATAGCTCCAAGAACACATTCGAAAACTAAACCGAAGCTTTTATATACATTGAAACGTATTTAATAATGAAAACATTACAGATTTGTCGACAAGACAAAATTAAGAAACGCTGATGTTTCAAAATATTTGAGCATGTTCAATGGACGAAAATCAACGGCACGCGGCCAGTACTTTCACTAGCACGAGACAAGGCGTTATGGTATTGTTCAGAATCATCAGCAGGATGTTTTTGAATAAATCGTTGCGAATGTCGCTGTCTTGTAATTCATAAATAGTCATGATTACCATGTTCTGTCATTAGTTGAGTTATGAATGAGTAGAAAAGGAAGCTACTCAAGTCGTACTAGGTTTAATCTCTAACTGAATCTTAACTAAGAGGCTTTACAAAAGGAAGAGGCATAATAAAATTTATAACGCCGTATCTTACAATATGGCGCGAACCAAGCTGCATGCACACTGCATGCCATCAATAATTAGAGGCTTAACTTTACCATATCCGAAAGCAAACCTGCCAATGACAATTGGACAGGTTTTAGATTTTTCAAATAACGGGATACCATCATGCGAGAGCAAACTCGGTTTCTTATGTCTTTCTATTAATTAAATAATGAAATGTAAAGATTGCAACGACATCCAGCTATTATAAGCACAACGCTTATTCAGAATCTTTAAAATCTAAAAAGTAGTTGGACTCATTGTCTAGATATCTCACGAAGCACTCGCGCATCATGTTACACACAAGTGAATGCGAACACTGATTTTATAAATGGCTGATCGGAAGGGAGCATCAGAGTCATCGAGAGTGAGGTAGAAATAGTTAGGAACAAAGTATTATGAATCCAAACTTGGTCTCATGGAGAAGACAGAGAGACTAAACAATTGGGTGGGACGAATGACTCAATTATGAGGTGCTAAATCACAAGAGTATAGTTAAACTCATTGGACGTGATTACTACCAAAGAGGATAAGCGAGAATCGACATCCACTTAAGACTATATAGTTTCGATACGTTGAGGGGCGAAAATAGACTGGATAAATACGATTGTAAATTGTATCGCGGACGAACTGGTTTAGATATCCGTCAAGCTATTGATAAAAGTGTGTGTGGCTGGTAAAGGAGAAGTCTAGTAACAAAAGGCCGATTAAGATATCCTATAACAAGATAACGCGATGTATAAGGTGATTTTCATCGCTAATCACCCTTTACAGCGTCAGAGCTCCAGTAGAAAAACTCACTCACTCTGCTATATGGAGCTTGTACTATAGCAATCAATGAAACTGATTTGTATAACAGTACGTAAATAGTTATCTATTTAAGATATTTTAGCATGAGTTCTTCCCACCAATTGTTAGTGTATCTTATGAACACTCTCAGTTGGATCGAGTGTTACCTTTCTTTTGTTTTTGTTACACCTGATTGAGCTCCCTTTGTACAGATTTATAAATTACACCAGTAAGTGCGCGATGCTATGTTACAAAGTTGCCGGTGCTTCGTTTTAGTTGCGTTATATCATGCATTAATTAACTATTTTTAGTTTTAAAGATTGAAAACTGCTTAAGACATGGCTAGTGGGGAAGCGTGTATGGGATTTTACATTTCATTATTTAATTATATATGAAAAGACATAATGAAACCGAGTTTTGCTCTCGCATGATTATCCCGTTATTTGAAAAATCTAAAACCTTCAATTTGCATTGCAGGTGGTGCTTTCGGAGGTAAAGAAGCCCAAGTTATGATGGCAGCAGGTGCAGCAGCTGTGGGTGCGCATATGTAAGATACGGGCTATAATTTATTTGCTTCTTGTAAAGCTCTTTTAATTAGAAGAAACTGAAACTATATTTATCATTCATTAAATTTAAACTGCATTAAAATGACAAGAATATGAATCGCTATATATCATTTAGATCATATTTAATATTGATAAGACACGGAATTGTGCAAGTACAAAAACTCTGCATGATTGAGAAATCAGTCTAAGCGAAGAATCGACGGTTTAAGAAGAAGGTAATGCGATGGTGACGTGTGTATCTCGCTCACTAGATATGGCGCTCTCAGATAGATAAGGTGTACGAGAGCAGCGTCTGGTCAGTTAGTTGATGGCACTTGATGGATCTACAGAACATGCTCTGATGAGATTGTTCTGTATCACTTTAACGTTAGAACTACGTCACACTTGGAATCATAGGACTATGCGGATTCTATATTATGGTTTTACACGAATTATTCTTTTCTTTTCTTGTATTTTCCGCATGTGTCTCTGAGTAACCAGCCCTCAATACAGTGAATGATATTGAGAATATGGTAAGATTTGAGCACGTAGAGTGTGTAATCGTCATGAACTTTGATACGCGATTTGCGCATGTATTTGTGTTTACACACACAATCAAACTGCAAACGTATATGTAAACAGTTTTGATTTTCTTTGAAAAATTTTATATTTTCCTGAACGTGCAATTTATAAGACGCAGTATGATAATTTGCTATATGTCTTTACTTTTGCACCTTTCTGTTTATTTTCCCGAATAGAAACGACTGTCGGTGTGTCTTACCTGGGGACAAGACATGATGGTTCTGGAAAAGAACCCATTCCTACGAGGAGACTATAGAGGTATACATCTCCATTCGCTTCACTTATAGGGAGAGCATTGCTTAGTGAGTCGTTCTGGATCCTCGGACCGAGTGACTTTTTCTCATTTGATCTTCGGCATCATAGATCAATATGAATGCAATTTTTATATATTTAAGGTCGACATCATTTACAGAAACTTTAAAGTGTAATTTTTTAATCGACGTGTTTTTGGATTTGCTATAATTATAGTTGGTCTTAGCAAGAAGGGATCATCAATGCATTGATATAAAGTTTTACAGCAATGCTGGGTATAGTTTAGATGTTTCTAGCCTGGTAAGGAATTTTGTACCTCCAAGTTTAAATAAAGACATATTTTGCTCATTTTTCAGTGCCATGTTATTTCAAATCGAGAAAATTATGAGGCATAAACATGTTATATAAGCCTGTTGATATTTCAACGTTAGTGCTCGTACAGTGGATTCAGTTTAAATTCTGACGTAGTCCCTTTATTATTTATTATTAAAACTGTGTAATAAATATATTCCACGTAGCATACATGTATAAATAATCTAAGTCTATTGAATCAGATGCAGACTAACTCAGACAGATTCTACTTTTTGTTTATTGTCTCCAAAATTTACATAAATAAACAGTTTTGTAAAATAGAACTGAACTAATTCCATTTAGAAAACAAATAATGTAGGTAAACGTTTTAAATGACTTTAGACGTCCAAAGGAGACGAGTGCAATCTTGTAACGTAATAATACAGCCGGGTAATATTTTAATGCTTTAAATGTATATAATCTTCTTCTTCAGGTTATGGATGTGCCAATAAAGTCTAACTGAATCAGCTATATGAGTTAAGAAATATTAAAAATAGAAAAGGGTATTTGTGTGCAGAAACTATTGTTCTAAAACACAGCGTTCAGGGGCTTGGTCATTCCAAGCTGTCGCCATCATGGAAGATTCGTATTCAAATTGCAAATAGTTAAACATAGTTAAAAAGGTGATTTGATATACATAATAGTTTTATCAAAGTTGCTTTACAATCAGTTTTTTTTTCAAAAAACATAATTCAATATAAAAAATAATGAAACGTCGGGCGATAACATGTGGTCTCATGTATATGTGTCTCTTAATATTTTGTTTTATAAGTTCTTCAAACATGTAATTAATCAGCATTTTTATTAAATTATTTTATTAGATTTAAAGTGTCGCATCTGGAAAGTAATTGTCACCATTAAGATTTCGAATCAACTTTAAGGTGGTAGATAAGCCCATAAAAATACTAACATTTGAACACTTAACATTGGAAACATCTTTCAAATGAGTGAGTGTTACCGATTTTGGTATATCGCATTAATGTGTTGATAAAGTAGTAACTATAGGAGGTTTCATTAATGGTCACAGGTTCGCTGAAATAGAAGCCTATGTCAAGAGGGAAACTTACACCATATGGAATGAAACTTGTGAAATGCACTATGACTGAGCTGATGGAGAATTAAATCTGTAGTGCTTATGAAAATCGACTTAAGACATTGAACAGTTCAACAAGTATGTATTTCTAAGTTCCTAATTAGATAAAGGGTTATTTAGTAATGATGTCCGCTATTTTTGTAATGGTCGCATTAAGCCGTGATTGGTATTAAGCTTTAATAAAAAACCTAAAAAGACTGGATCGGGAAGGTAAATATCATAGGGTAGCAAATGTGGGCAGCTGACGAGACTCGAACCGGGACCACCTCGAATACTGTTCTGCGGCTCTACGAAAGGTCTGCCTAAATAGTACAAAAGTTCCTAAACCGTGACTTAATCGCCGCAATTATTGAAATCGGCTTGAATTTATCAGTTTATGAGGCATGTAAATTAAACTCTAAGCTCATACATTCACGGCCGCATGGGCCAAATGCCACAGGGTGAAAAAAATGTGCGCCGACCGAGCTCGAAGACTGGACCTCGCATACTATTCCACGACTTCCGACTTAGTTATCCAAGCTCCTTCTCCCCTTAATAGCAAACAGTTCTAAACCGTGACATGGTACATATATTAATTGTGTTTTACGGTATAAGTGTTTACTATTCCAAATTAATTTCATTGTCTCTTTCTTAGAACATGTTTTAATTGTATCTTTAATTGTATTTTTGTCAAAATAGGGATAATAAATGGAAGATAAAGAGGCATTGCAATGACGGCTTTCTAAATATGGAATTGGCTTTGCTGTGTCTTTATGAACCGTAGATATATAAGATATCCTTGTAATATGAGATCAATTCATAAGGGGCATTAGAAAATATCAAATATCAAATATACAAAGTACAATGTCATGAACAAAAATAACGTAATGGATATTTATACCAAAGAGTAATAGATTATTATATAGGAATTAATTTGTACTGTAAAACAAGTTTTACTATTGTTCTAAAGAAATAATGGCTAATGTTATAAGTATCTCATCTTCTTGTACAAAATTGTGTTCTTGCATATCCTTCAATCGGAATGAAAAACATTTAGAGGGGTCAAATGCATTTTGTCTTGGCTTTTGTGCATTAACATACTAAGAAGCACGATGGCACAATTTAAGCCGAGACCGTTTTGCGAGTGATTTAATTAGAACAGTTAATAAGTCGTGGGCTTTTGCAATGTTTGCAGATATTAAAAATTAGGTACATTAGCGCTATTATTGCATAAAATACATCTAATTTCGTTATTCTGTGTTATGTACGTTATCTGTTTTTGTTTTTGTTTAAAGAAGCCATTTCGTTATGCTTCTCACGTGATAGTGTAATGTCATTTGACTGTTATGACAATGGCGTTTGCTCGCTCACGTGATTTTATCCGTACGCATGATTTTCTGCTGTGTACTTAGCTTCTTTACAAATCCAAATATAGCTTTAAGCTTTCAGGGCATTTTTGTCAAAATTGAGAAGGAGCCTGGGCCTGTTCATTTTGTGAAAAAGCGCTATATGTAATAAAATTGTGAAAAAAAATCAAATTATTTGGCATTCCGCAACATCAGTTTGCTATAAACGCTTGATTATAATTTCTGACATTGTAAAATCTGCTTCAAGTAAGTTCTTTAACCCGGTTTACATGCGCTAAAACCATTTAACTTGATTAAACCTATGTCCGTGTTATTGCAATTTGCGTAAATCTAGTTTTACCGGAAGGTAAACAATGTATTCCGAAGACAAAGTCCCAATTATTCGTGAAATCTTTTTGATAATTGTGAATTTTTTTCCCGCCACTTTGTGAAAAAAATGCAATTTTAAATTGTGAAGGGTCCTTATATCGGCCTCTGTTATAGAAGGGAAAAAGCCTTGGCTTTAATTATAAATATAATAAAGCAGACATTCAATGTTGAAATGCAATGCAATATTTTTATGTAAAGGGTGCCGCACTTGTGAATATTTACTCTGACGGATCTGTGTTGGTGGCTCATGGAGGTATAGAGATGGGACAAGGTCTTAATACAAAACTTATACAGGTACATGTACTGGAAATGGAAACCAGAAAAAAATTCGCTCTAAGTATTCAAATAAAGAATTTAGTGTCATGATATTGTTTTTCTTTCTGTACAAAAACAGGTACAATTTCACATGCACACATGAGAAAAACATTGTCAAATAAATGTACAGTCTTTACAGGGATGCTGTCGTTGCTGTCATAAAAGCAAAAGGTCGAACCAAAAGTTTTAACAACAAAACACAGTTGACCCTACCCACATTATTTCGATAAAAATAAAAAGATGTGCATAGATTCTGTTGCATTTGAAATACAATAAATGGTACATACACTGTTCAAGCAATCAATACGATATGATTTGAAAAAAAAATAGAATTTGGTAATAATGTCAAAACTTGAAAAACACAAAGAAAACATGACATATTCGGATTCAGTATCATGAGTAAATTGATAGTCGTTGCGTTCTTGTTTCATTCGTAACAAATGGCAAAATAAACAGATTTATGCAATTTTATTTAGCAAGAAATAAAAAAAAATCGTTGTTTATATTTTATGAATATGTAAATATAAATATGCAATAAACTTGCATTAAAAATTAAATTTTATTTATCATTTTAACAACAAACAAAATAACGTTAACGCCACGACACTTTGTATTTAGATTGCATCAAGAGTGCTGGAAATACCTAAAGAAAAGATTCATACGATCGGTAGCAGTACAAGGGAAATTCCGAATACCATGATTACAGCTGGGAGCTTTGGCACAGACCTGTATGGACCTGCTGTAAAGGTAACATTATGAGCTTGATGAGCTCTGCCTTGCGCCCCGTCCCGTTTTTGTTTGGGGTCCTCCTGGGCTCATTGCCACTAGATCTTGTTGATGGGTCGCTTGGGGTTGCGTTCATTTAACGCCGCCTTTACTTTTTGATATTGTTTATCATAAATTTAGTATTATAGAACATTAATTGTAAAGTTGAAGGTGGCATGAGCTTAAATACTCCAGTTTTAAGGGTGTATTTTGAGCTAAAGCATGTGATTTCGGTGATTGAAATATTTTAATTATTCTCTTATATTATAAACTGATTGGTTCAAACGTATTTTATCTTCTTTTTTATGTTTCAGGGACATTCTTGTACTTTTCAATAACACTTCATGCAAACATTGCAATAAAGATCACGTTACATTTATACTCGTTTTAATAAATAGCTTTTTGAATTATATAGGATGCTTGTGAAAACTTGAACAAACGACTTATTCCTTTGAAAAGTGCGATGCCTGATGCAACATGGGAGAAACTGGTTCGTGTTTTTGTTACTTCTAATTTGTTGACCTCCGTCCAATTTTGTTTATGGGAAAAAACAGGTCAATAATTTGTAGAAATAGTTGCAGCTGGCACACGATCAGAAGCATTAGCTCGATAGCATAATGTTTAGAGCAATTAATTTGGTTTTGTTCATAAGGTAACTGTTTCAATTTTATTACACTTTCACACATACATGTAAGATATAATGTCAATAAAATGAGCAAAGCTGCTAAAATAAATCACATCAAATTCACAGCTTTAACTGTAACATATTCTTTGATGCTATTCTGACGGTTAGCAAACGGCATTTATAATGTTTTTATGCAAGGTTTTGTCTAGCTATTTACATAATTATGTTTTAAGTTTTATTTTCGCTGGCTGCTTGCTATATGAAAGAATATTTAAAACGCACTGTTATGAAATAGCCTTATTTTATTATTCTTAAATTTCAGATTTTCAAAGCATTTTTCTCACGAGTTCAATTGTCGGCAACTGGATTTAACTGGTAACTCTTCGATTTAATTAACAATTTAAAAAGTTGAGAGTGATGAATAATTTATATTACTTTTAGGAATATAATACATGAAGGATTTTCATTTTCTTTAACAAAAGTTTATCTTCACAAACATGGCGAATACTGCAAGGTCAAACTCAATCTTGAATATACTTTTGGTCAGCTCAGTAGAGTCAGTATAGTGTTATCATATATAAATAATCACTTGTTTTGATGGATTGTAAACAACACCGACACTGTAAATGTCAATAGGCGTCTTGTCTGTTAAGATTTAATGGTGGAGGAAGCCCGTAGGTGCCCAACTACCGCCTTCTTGCATTATTTCAGACACGATCGGCATCTGATTAGAACCACCGACTGCTTGTTCAACAGCTGTTTCGTAAATTTTGATCTACAACAATCCTATGCCAATATGTTTTTTATTTCAGTCCACAAAAACAGAAAACTGATGGTGTTTATGATTATTTTACCTATGGGGTGGCTTGTTCTGAGGTAGAGATTGATGTGCTTACAGGAGAAAGCCAAGTGAGTTATATAAATATAAACTCAATTGCTCAAAGATCTTTCAACACATATCTTCACTGTATCATTAACATAATAAAAAATTATATCGTGGAGGAAAACCTCGTTCTGAAAAATAAGCAGGAGTATCAGTAATGACGATATTATTATGATTTTTTTTATCACAAGTAGCAAAAGTTACTTTAATGAAAAAATGTTTGATGTATATGTTACATGTGACGAGGGGAAACTCTGCTTTTTTGTTAAAATGTAGATTGTCGCCATATAGATCCTTAATTACAATATAGAGGAAATTGCAAGTTTCTTATTTATCATTATTACATGGAAACATTTATCATTTTTGATCATTAAATGTACGAAATTAAAGTGATATTGATTGCCTTTTTTTTTAAATAAAGTAAAACAAACATCTTATATTTTTAGGTACTTCAATCGAACTTGTACGTGGATTGTGGTAAAAGTTTAAACCCTACAATTGACATCGGACAGATTGAAGGCGCGTTTGTGCAGGTATGAACTGTAAACTTTTTTGTCTTTACATGTAATAAAGCAACGTGAAGTTCACGTGAAGCATACAGGTTAAAATGCACATTCTTGTCTTTGTAATTGCAAAATTGTTGTTTTAGAAGGAGTTTTTATGTAACTCAATCATTTTAACATTCATTAAGAGACAACGATTGTATTGTTTTTCTTGTTGTAGGGATTAGGTATGGTTACCTCGGAGAATATGGAGATAGATGAAAAGGGTCGTCTGAACACCTGTAGTCCACTCGGGTACAAAATACCTAATATAAAAAGTATTCCAAGAAAGTTTATTGTCAAATTGCTGAAAAATCACGATATCGTTACAAATATCTATTCTTCAAAGGTGTGTACTTATAATATATTGTCACCCAAAATATTAAAATAGCTTGTATTCAAAATATAGTTACAGAAGTTAAAAAGCAGATCAATAGTACAGAAATGTTAAAAGGAATAATTATTTCTTTGATTACATTAAGTTAAGCTTTTGGATATTTAATATGTATATTGGTTTATCTTTTAATATATCAGTTTTTACAACTCACTATGTTTTCTTTTCCAAAGGTTCATAATTGTTGTGATTCCAATCTTACCATAAACTGGAAAACACATATAAAGTTTTTATTCAATATTTCTTTATAAAAAAATTACTTTTTCAGTCCGTTGGAGAACCGCCATTTATATTGTCATTGTCAGTCCTTGCTGCAATAAAAGAAGCCATACAATCTGCGCGTGCGCAGATCGGTATAACTGGATACTTCAGGCTTGATTGCCCAGCAACAGTACAGAGAATTCAGGAAGCTTGCGGTCTACAAATCAAATTATAACTGAAGAGAAATAGTTTGTGGATTTGTGAATTGATTCACTTGATTTTATAGTTGAATAACGATATGAATGAGATAGTAACAATATTATACTCACGAAAATAGTGTAACATATATCTTATAATACTGTCATGTGTACCAGTATAATCTTAATGAACAGCCGGGATGTTCAGTTTCATTTTCCCTACCTCACTTTTCTATATACATGTATATTAAAATATATATCGAAGAAACCTCTTACGATTATTTGTATTTTTGCTCCATGTCAAGAATTTTAGAAGCAGGCATTGTTTTAATGAATGAATTTTTCCATCTCAATTTTTCGTTTCTATTGTCATGAAAAATAGATATCTGCATGTATTAGCAATTGACCTTCTATCTGTATCTGAAATGAGCATTAAAATGAAACCTCATTTGTTTGTTTTTTCCTGTATCGTTTGATGTAACAAATCAGTTATCACACTTGCATTTAGTCAATTTTGTTCACATTAACTTGATCAACAGAACCCTTTAATCGGATAGACAGTAAACGATTAGTAAATAATAAATATTTAGGCACTGTGACAGAAGCTAACATCTCATAGAAGTCTTGAATTATATATATTCTCTACAATGTGTTCATATCTTAGTTAAGTTTAATTAACTATGTTCATCAGACGTTCGAATACATTTGAAATTTTAAAGATAACTTAATCGTATCGACCTCATAATTCAGAGTTTTGAACGAAGTGCGCATGTAAAATCTGAATGTCGTAGCCCCGCCTTTCTAGGGCGACATGACATTGTTAAAAAGTTATAACAGGTAACAACAAAAATAGATAACAAATACTTCCTTCAGGGGCGGCAAAATAAACTACTGGAAAGAGCTATGAAAAATCATATAGACACACAAGAATCGCTGCTAGAACGCTCAGCCAGAAAACTTTAGTGTGCCATTGATAAGATGTGATAGACTGATGACATATTGACCGAGCGATGTTCAATGGCTCACAAGTCAATAATTGTTTAATTATATGAATAGGCTAAGAATTAAAAGAAAGTCACGAAAAATACAACCTTAAACATGTACAACTTTTACTTTATTCGTTGAAGCGCGGTGAATTTGATACTTAGAACACTTAATTCAAAAGCCATAAATAACTTTAAATGGAACACTATTGACTTTTGAAATTTATACTTTATACATTTAAAATATTTAAATAACTTGATTTAATCATTCTAGTAAGAATCAAAATTTTATTATAATGCTTATCTATATTTCTATTTTTTATATATTTCTTTCTCTATAAATTGTTTATTTGATTTATCTATATTTACATATGAAACGTTTGTAAAAATTAGTTCCTGAATATTATTTCCTGAAAATTACTTAAAACTGAAATTGATAATTATTTGATATCACACAATTTTATTCAAATTGTATAAATTATTTTTGACTAACCTCAGGATAGGGGCCACGATTATGTTGTTAGAACTTTGGCCCAACCCTTTTGTATGTACACTTGATTATGTCTGTAAAATTATGAAATTGTATATTGTGTGTATATTAATACAATAAAATATTATTAAACTAAGAAGCGCGGTGAAACAGACGCACCTGTCAGGAGTGTAACAACTACGCGAACGCTGCGCATACTTATATAAGTTTATACTCATCATTGCGGTGTAGCCTTTAAGTGAAATAGTAAAGTAATGATATTTTAATCGAAAATATGCTATAAAGAACAAAACGCAACAATTACTCTTTAATGTGCACGTGTAATTAACAGTTTACGGTGTGTAGTTATTGAATATGAGTCTCAATCTATGTTTAAATGCAATTCATCCAGTGAAGATTATACTACACCCATTGAATATGATTTTATGAAAAGTTCAGTTGACTACTGTTTGGATCAATGAGATTGTAGCTATATTTATATCATATAAAAAACAAAATATAATTCTATTATTAATAGTACGTGGAATAGTCAATTTGTTTTTGTGGTTGCTTGTGATGAATTCGAGACTTAAACACAATATACGAGTGAACAGCACTGAAGTGCACAAAAAGCTGATGGTTTAATTATTATCATTTAAGGTTACCATTTAACACATCCTATACCGATATAAATTATATATGAATTATAAATTAATCTGGTAAAGATTCAATTATATAATCTTAAGGATTTAAGTGTTTATTATGATATTTAACATGTACTCGTGCGAATATTTCTAGTCAAGGCTCTCACGAAGCAAGATCGAGACTGTGATAAATCCGAGAGATCCAAATACAAGTACTAGATCTATGTATTCCTCCATAAAATGTTTTGTAAAATGTATCCGGCGTGACTGTGTATAAACTTTTATTATATATCTATACATTTTCTCCCTAAAATACAAGCGAATACGCTTTAACAGAAACCTTTCGTATTGTGTTAGTGACAAAAACGGGCAATATGGAAGTGCCGGACTCTTTTATCACGTTGGTTCCCATCTAAGATGTGTATTACGTAGAAAACGGGAGAACAAAATATTGAAGGTGCGACCTCTTTAAAAAATTGCAAAATATTACGTATTCATCCGTCGTTCGTGAATTTTATTGCTTGACAGCATATTGAAACTCTTTTGAGGTAAATGATAAAAGGATAATTATGTTGTAGAAGTTTTATGGGGCCATATATTTTGCTACCCACAACGTAAGAAAATATTGTATTCAGCTCGACCTCCGGTCTCGCGAGATATATATTTTCCTACGCTGCTCTTAGCATAATACAAAGCCTATTAAAGCTTTTACAACGTAATATTCAGTCTATATTCCACCGCAAAGTAATCTTATTTCGGTACCTTGTCCCGAAACAAGACCTCTTAGAATGATGTTTCATCCAAGTCATTAACAAAAATATTGGAGAACAACATCAACAATTGCCTATAGTATAGTATATGGGGCATTACTAAATTATGTCTTTTTTATGTTTTTGCTTGCTTATCTTAAGATATAAAACACAACCTTTTTTATACTGTATTGCAGACAATAATCAAAGTATAAAAAGTTAAAGCTACATGCCTTCACATGAGTCAAAATATTTCAATAAAATCAAACTTGATATAAATGTACTTATATGTAAGGAAAAGTAAAAAGTTTCAAGATTCAAGTAATATTTTACATATTATGTGCGATTAATGACTGATTTGCTGTATTTACAACTATAATTCTACTGCGTTACTAACGCAGTAAAGACTAATTATGCATATTTTGACCACTTTTTTGTAATTTACGTGGTTTGTAACTGCCATTGATAATGTGTAAATTGCTTCCTTTGGTTACTTCACAATATTACAATTTCAAATGCATTTTCAAAATTTTCATGAAAATTAACATGAATCTGGAGGCGTGCTGCTTTAAAATGAAACTATGTATTTATGATGTGTATATCGATAGTGCGTAGACGTAATCCAATCTGTGTGTACTCATGCATGTTTATTTTACAAGCTATATATATGCTGTTTATAGTTTACAAAATTATCAACGAATTATGTGTAAATGTCTCTTCAAGTACCTGGCGCAGGCACGAAACAATGACAGAACACTTCAAATTAAACCCGACAATATATTTTTTTTTCGGAAAATATATTTATTTAGTTAACGTGCAATATTTATGTTGGGTAAGTAAATAATAACTCTTTCGAGAATCGACAATAACAATTCTAGAATAGCATGATTTTACCGTTTATAAATAATGTTCGAATATTTCATTAATTCAGTTTAATGCCCCTTTTTAATCTACATAGCAACTTTATAACAAATCAATCAGAAACTTAAGCTTAATATATCTTTATTCATCATACTCGAGATAACAAAACTGTAAATGATTTCATTTCTCTTCAAGTTTAATATTATGTAAAGTTTATGATATCTTCCTGTGTGTAAATATACATTCAGGTTTGACATAATTTACAGCATACATCCGTAATATATTTGTTGACTCAAGTTTATTCATTACACCGAAATGGATTGTTCGGAAACGTCAGCGAATGTGAAGGCATGTGAGCCATGTAAAGAAGAAAAGGTGTCGAAAACAGCTGACGGGATGTGTAAACAATGTGACGAATATATGTGTTGTATTTGCTTCAAAAATCATCTTACGGCGCGTTTGTGTAGAAAGCATGAATTTATGGATAGCCAGGGGATACAAATCGATCTTCGTAAGGCTGCCGAGTCTGTTAATTGGGACGAGTGTGGAAAACATGAAAATGAGATAATTAAGTATTACTGTCAGAACCACGACGATGTCGCCTGCGGAGAATGCATGTTGATCGGGGAACACAAAGGTTGCTCCCCTATACTGATTAAGTGTTTGGTCGATAATGTACAAAACAGTGAAGATTTCAAAGCTTTATCTGATAGACTTGATAACATCGAAATAAAGACAAGTTCTACTACTGATTTGATTCTACTCGAAACAGAGAATAACTCAAAAATGAAAGAAGATACGAATGCTGACGTAAAACGGTTTATTAATGACATAAGAGACATAATTGATTCAAAAGAGACAAGTTTACTTTCCCAAGTAGACGAACTTTATCAACAAAACCAAGAAACTCTGAACAACATGACTGAGATCATTAAATCTACAGAAACAAAAATAGTAAATATAAAACGGGAAATAAACCAACTTAGATGCTCAGAAAATGAACTGTTTATAAAAAGTGTAAAATGTAGACGGTTACTAGCTGATATTGAAAACAATTTTGCTGAGAGTTTCAAAGATACCAACATTAGAAAATTTGAATTTCGAAAAAGTGACATACTATTTAATCAACTTGTTTCTACATATACCTTTGGGACAATTACTCATATCGCTAAAAGGATTGGTGTATATCAAGATTATGGATCAAATGGTTTGTAATGTTGTATGTGTTTTACTTTATTGCATTTGACTTTTAGATAACAACAATAAGTACAGGATGAATCATTTATTATTAAGGACTGAAGCATGACAATTTAAGTTGGTAGAAAACAAAGTTATGTGTAAGATATCTTATTTCTTAAAATACCAACGCTAGTTTAGTAAGTCTTTTGCAAATTGAATGACATTTAAATTAATAAAAGTATGGTTCTTTGAAATTTAAAATGTCGGGTCACATATTTACTTCAATCATGTGATAGGAAACGATTCTTGTTTAATTCGTAATGTCCCAAATGTGGAGTAAATGGACACTGTAATGTTCTGATAAATGAACACCACAGTGTTGACGTTAGTCGATTAGATATTTGAACATTTCATGGAAGGTGTCTTATATCCCGTTGAAAGGTTTTTCATATTAGGATTAAATTTGTTAATTTTACTACCATAGCCCATACTTTGTTTCATAAATTTTGACAGGTTATATGATCCAGTATAAAATATTGTAAACGTACTCGGGTCATATTAAGAGTAGAGAAAAACTGCATAGTCATATGAGCTAAATGACAAAACCGACAAAGATTATCACAAATCCTTTTCTTTCTTTTTATCTTCTTTCCATTTTTCTTATTTTTTCTTAAAAAAATAACATTGGAATGTAACATATTGCGACACAGAAACCGTTGTTTTATTACTGCTTTATTCGTTTTATCTTAAGGCACATTTGATTAAATGTTTTACTCCCGTTTGTTTGTTTATTTTACATGAGAAGTGGTAACCGAAGAAATGTTGTATACACTACTTGAAAAAGAAAGAGTATCAGGTATAACATAAAAAAAAACCTTTAATACTGTTAGATTTACGGTTCTAGATGCATCAGTATGACAAATCTACCTTACAAAGAACAATATATTTCAGGGTACAAACTAATGTTAACACTCTTTTTCACAATAGAAATAAGCAACCGATCGTTAGGGAAACTATGTAATTGGCAAAACGCAATAAAATTAAACCTGCTGCAATATATTAGTTATGACCTTACACACATGATTCTTTTATCGTATTTAGTATCATTATGTTGTGCTTTAGTTAATCGAGTTAAAAACAGTTTATTTGAAGACTTTTTTAAATGGGGTTCTCTTTTAATTTCAAAGCTATTGAATGCACAAACACGAAATCAAATGGCGTGGACACAGTTATTTGTTTGGACACTTCTTTTAGTATGGCTGGACAACCACTTACAACAGCAATTGAATGTATTGAGAAAATACTAGATGGTAACCATTTTTCTTTCACTCCCGATGTTGCAATCTTTTTGTTTTAAATTAACAACATTATCGTGATGTTAAAAAATGGTAAAATGATTAAAGTGGTATTATTATAGTGTATAAATAGAGAGTTTTAAATTAAATAACTTAAACAATTACGAGAACATTGTGTCATGTTTTTAAATTTATAATAAACGTTATATTAAGTAGTTAATAACCCTTGTGACTCAAATAGATATCTTAATTAATTAGTAATTATCAATTGGAAAATGTCAATAATGTTAAAGTTCAAGAGTGGGCAGTGTTTATATATTATAAGAGTTTTCATATAAATTGTTATCACAAATGAGTGTAATTTCAGTTTCAATTTAAAAGTCTTTGGTATCGAATTTCTGCTTTTAATCATTGAAGCCCTTTATTCGTTGATGCTATTGACACCAATATATTTCTTCTCTATTATCTTTTTTCATCAACAAACCGTACAGTTGAAATGAGGAAGAATTCTAAAACTATTTTAAGTCATTTTGGAGATAAACACAAATATATTAATAAGTACGAGTAATATCAAAATATCATGTAAATGCTACTTTATACAGTTTACAAATTAACAGTAAAAAATCAAAGACTTTTCTATGAGCATAGACAAATCACATTTCTTCTAATGATTTTATAAATTTGAACGTATACATTTCCTTATACTTAACTCATTCCGGATTTATAAGGAAACTATAAAAACAAATCCTGTCACCAGTCACAAACATAAAATGAGCCGCGTCACGACAAAACCAACATAATGGGTTTGCGACCAGCGTGGATCCGGACCAGTCTGCGCATCAGCGCAGTCTGATCAGGATCCATGATGTTCGCTATCAGTTTCTCTACTTGTAATAGGGTTTGTAAGCGAACAGCATGGATCCTGATCAGACTGCGCGAATGCGCAGGCTGGTCTGGATCCATGCTGGTCGCAAACGCATAACGTTGGTTTTGTCGTGACGCGGCTCAAATAATGTATTTATTTACAAAAACAAGAACATACTTTTTTGCATTGTTGTAAACGATACTGTTGGAGTTGATCCTACAAAAAGACAACAGAAAGGAGTTCTTAATTAGTTGTTTCACGAGCGTATATTTAATCGGATCTTATTTGGTTTGCAGGGTTTGAAACAAATGCAGTTTACAATGATTTAGAAGAAAATGTCGCTCTGGTAACGTTTGGAAATGAAAATAAAATACGTCATCATTTAACAAATAATTATGATTTAATTAGACAGGGGCTAGGTAAGATTCCTTCATATTTTGATAGTAGCTAAAATGCATATATGTGAAGTAACAATACGGTATTTGCATTTTTTTTCAATTTCACGATAGTTTATTCTCTGTACAATTTGAGATAATACTGTTATTGATGTTAAAAAAGTATTTTAAATACAAACATATGCAATACACATTGAGACTTTCAGTAACATTTCAGTTTAGCATCAGAGTTTATTTAACTAGTGGCTTATGTAGATGACATTAAGCTGTACATATAGCTTCTAATTGATAATGAGATTATCAGACAGGCGGTTTGTATGATTTAGATCTTGTGAAAAATTTTAATGTGTTTTGGCATAAAGTGTATAAATTTGTAACATAATTATGTTTTAACTAATTCTTATTTCGTACTGAAATGAACTTGAGTAAAGTAATAAGCATGAATGTGATATATATTAAAGGAGATATAAATGCAGGAGGACCTTCACCTCTCTGGTTAGGACTTTCACTTTCACTGGCAGAAATAAAAGAAAATGGTGAGATTTGTCTTTGTTAGTCATTTATACACTCCAAGTGACAAATGCATTAAAATTGATTTTAATCTCTACTTTGCAAACTTAGAATGATTTTAATGATATATTGTAAGCACAATGTTATAACGAGGTAGATATAGAGGGAGATGTTTACAAAGCAATAAAAAGAAATTTATAACCATTTTATTACTGTATGAGTTATAAAATCATAAAACTGAATTATTATAAAATGTCATATGTGATAAACAAGATCAACAAGGACAGGCGGCGTTCAATGCACGCAACCCCCATACGACCCAGCAACAAGAACCAGTGGCAAGGGGCTCATATATTTCGATAAGTGCTAGGTTTTTCTACTCTTTTACTACGCACGGCATATTTGATAATCTAAATAAAAATGTACAGTACATTGTCGTTCGTGTTCCTTTTCAGGTTGCGCATGTGTAATGGAACCAATGTCGGTGCTGCCAAGAATTATTCTAATAACAGATGGATATGCCTCACGAAAAAATATTTTAAATGGTGACGATAATGGATTTGTAGATGATCAGGTATTAGATATTATTTCTAATTTATTTTACCACAGACTAAAAAAATATTTCATTGTTGGTTGTCTATAAAATGACTACAAAAGTATGTTAGATGTAATTTATTTCTCCATCTGTTTGTCATAATTATGTATGAAAAGGTGTAAGATAGTTTTAGAATATTGTTAATGAATGAAGCCTTAAAATTTATCGTAATTTTACTTACTCCTAATGCAAATACAGTTTTAAAATACCGAGAAGAAAATATTTAATCTGAACATAGTAAACATATATCCTAAGGTCACATGTATGTAGATCTCGTATATTTTCAGGTTGTAAATGAAATACAATCCTTGATGGATACATGTCGGTCGTGTACGAGCTACTTGGAATGCATTAAACCCGGCGAATGTCACGAAGTAAATATATGTACATTAAAATATGAAAGTAAATATAGATTACATACATCAGAATAAATTATAAAAAAAGAATGTATTGGCCCTATTAATTATTTTAAACATTGTATTATTTTTATATATCGTTTGAAGTAAACTTTCAAAAACACAAAGTGTTTGTTTCATTATTATTATTATTATTATTATTATTATTATTATTATTATTATTATTATTATTATATACCACATTTCTATAGCACTCTTTTCATAAATAATAAATGTTCAAGAGTGCTTTACATAAATCTGATAAAACATAATCATATATATATATATATATATATATATATATATATATATATAAATATATATATATATATATATATATATATATATATATATATATATATATATATATATATATATCATGATCTAAAGTACTTTTATAAAATTACATTTGTAAGGAAACTACATATATTCTTGAAAACTATCATAACGATTTTAACAAATTATAAGACAGTACAACTCAATCTTTAGGAAATTCTGGAGATGACTACTAATGGAAGAATGTACATGGCTAATAACATAGATTCAATAACAGAGTTTTTCCAAAAATGCGTGAGTGCATGATTGTATAGTTAATATGACATACCTAGTGAGAATAACACCAATTACAAAATTGTTTGCAAACAATTTCTTGTCGAACTGGATAGTTTTCTTGTAAAATTATATTCAAAATAAAAACACTGTTTCTTTCCAAATATTTTTAAATAGATGTAGAAAATTAATTGATAACCAACCGGCTGTTCCAATTGAGATTTGATAAAATAACACCTGGTTGGTTTCATATTTGTTTTTGACATTTAGCTGTTGAAATAAGAAATAAATGTTGATTTTATCCCATAGGCCTTAATATATTCGTATATAAACTTGTAAGCTTTGATCAATTTCATAATCAATAGGAGAATGCCAATACACTTATTAAACAAGTAAAGAGTGATGCGATTGACAATGCTGAAATTGACGAGGCTGTAGAACACAGCAAGTTGAGTAGTATCGGAAAGGTAATACCGTTTGATTTGGGTATATTTTGATATATTCATTATCGCATTCGATTTCAAGATAAAAATACCAACTAGTCTATCAATTGTGATGCATCATTTATTGTGATGAATTGCTCATTTCGACTTTTTATAAAATAAATTTCGTCTGTTTCCGATAGCTCAAGAAACAAAAGACAAAGCAGTACAATTATTTATTTGAAACGTTGCTTTTTTTCTGGAAAAAGCAAATTACCAATTTCGTTTCATTTTTGTGCATTCATTATTTAACGATATTTGTGCAATTAAAAAATACCAATACTTGCTTAGATTATTGTATGCATAATTTCAAGAGCAAAGAATTGTTCTTAACTGAAAACATTTACATACCTTAAGTTAGCATATGCCTCTCAGTTAAATAAATACCAACATCAAGGTTATAACTGATTTCAAGGAGGACCTTAGGCGAATGGTATTAGAATATCTAACATCTAGTGATCACGGGCGTGCAAAAGAAGAACTAAATGAAAGTGCAAACGATGATTCTACTTCACATAGTAAGTTCGATATTATAAAAAACTGATGGTGATTTTAAATGTTTCTCTTCGATATGTATGTTATTGCATCTCCAAGGCATTGTCCTTTGGAATTAGATAATCTTTACTATATTGATATGCATACCTTTTGGATATGATACAATTCAAAAAAGAAAATTCTACGAGAATATTTATTCTTTGAAATCAAATCAACACAATATTGTTTTCTAAGATGTTAATCCTTTTAAAAAGTGTGTAAAATGGAATGCTTGAGATATTTCCTGTGCGTATTATTTCCACAAAAATAAAGATGTATTATATTTTGATATGTTTTAAAAACTTAGATTTGAATCTTGTTGAATTCAATGACTTATCATAAGAAAACAATCAAGGAATGATATTGTGGCACATGCATATGTTCATATGCTAGAAAATATTTCATTCATTACATGTATTTAATTGCTAAATTGGTCTGATGCATTAGGTTTAAACTCTATTATGAATTACAATATATTTTAAATCTTTATATTAAATGTTGCTGAATCTTTAAATTCTACGAGTATAATGGCAGTAACAGCTTTTTTGTGTTGTTATCAACAATAAATTGAGTGTTTTAGTAAAGATACGATAAGGATAAACGGATATTGTTGTGAAAAGTTTTGTACATTTCAGACATTTGATGTTTTAAAACAATAACATGTATCGCACTTAGAACATATTATTGATATATTGAACATTAACTAGTAATCAGTGAATATAATGGATAATAAAAGATTAACGTAATGTTTTCTATTACACCTAAGGTCTAGTATGAACACTTTTGTAACAATTTCTGGTTTCAGAGAAAACGTAATAAAAAAACAGCTTCTAGAAGACTTACGAAATGAGTGAATTCTTCTGTACACAAATCTGAACGTATAAAGTTGTTCCAAAGTAGAATGGTTTCTTATTATTATACATTACACAAAAAGAGTCCACAATACAAGTAGTTGATGATAAAGATTTTGAGATGTTCTCAGAAAACAGCCTTGAATATACATGTATAATCATTGTGTCTTTATCTGAGTATATATATTGATTTATTTCTAAAACCTGGAATTGAAAAACAAACAGCTGTTTATAGAAAAAAAGCAAAACGTTCAACGTGTGTTTGTTTAAAATCTCAATAAAGAATTGTAAATATAATTTTAATGCGACGTTTAATACTTACTTTGCAAAAATTTATGTGTATATATTTCAAGTTTCGTAACATGTTGTGAAAAGTTATTGTAATTGTGTGCATGACTGTTTTTGCTTATTCGACTTTCTTAGAATGATCGTCAGAGTGATCTGTCTCGAATATTAAAAGAAATAATCAAATTAATGATATTAATGATATTTCCAAGACTACCTTTCGAAGAATATCTCTCTGTCAGTAATAGCAATACATTCTTTTGATGTTTATTATATAACATGCATTATACTAGATCAATGAAATGTAATCAGTTTTCGAATACCTGTCAAGCATCTGTGGCTGTTGTGACATGCATATGAAAAATTCATGATCATTTTGATTATAAATTGTTCTTGCTTCCCAGTACACTAAGATCAAGTTAATTCGTAGAAAGCATCGCTTAGTTAGCTCAATTGGTAGAGCGTCGGACTGTGTAATTGGTGCCCTGGACCAAGCAAATCATATTCTGTTTATCCAATCATATTTATTTATGCAGAGTAGAAGATATTTTGTCTTTGTTTATCTTTTATTTTTAGTGGAGGGCCTTCTTTTAATTGTATTTTCTTCTTCTGTTCGTATACATTAATCTAAGATATGTAGCATTGCCTTGTAAACTTCTTTTATAATATCAATTGTATGAATCATGCACTAAGGATCAACATTGGTCGATTTGGGTTATTTAGTTTATAAGACTTATATTGTTAACATGACTTTAAAATATTTCATCGGAAACTCTCTTCAATGACAATATTGTGGCCTTTCCGCAATGTATCTCAAGTGAGTATTTCTTTTCAAGAATCTTTCGTTTATAATTTTTTAACACATGTGTCATTTTAATGTTTATAGTGTTAATTTGTTACAGAATGTATTGAAAAAATTAAGCATTAGAATCTATTATTCGTTGTTTACAGTGCATTTGCATAAAAGTACTTGTTTGCATTTTGTATAATTAATGAAATTACCGAACAGATAGAATGTAAACGATTAGCATATAGCAAATTTAAGCAGCACCATAACCTCTTGAAGTGTCAATGCAATAAAATAAACAAAAATAAAGTTACAAACGCTTGCTTAGCATGTTAATGTTAAATACAATGTATCTGTTTCTTAGACATAGTTTTAATACAAATATTAGCATGTGATCATACCGGAGTATTTTTTTTGGCTGACTTTTGTGATTGCAGATCAATGAAATACCAGGACCGATTGAAACTTCAACTTTTCTTGTTTTTTTGTGTGTTTCTGTTAAGAAACTACTTATTTGAATGATAAATTGCATGCACTTACTGTTCGAGTTTATATATCAATAAATATCTAGCGTTTGAAGGTTAAAGTGTTGAGCGTTTTGCGCATGTTTTGTGTGCTATGGATGTAGTAAAATATGTACAGAAATACATTAAATAAGATGATGGTGTGTCCTTAGACATGAAACTCACAGAATGCTTTATCTCCAGATTTTTTTGCAACAACTTAATTTGAGGATTGCTGTGTAATCGATAGTTTGGCCTATCTATACATATTTCTTCATTATGAATTACATTAAAATAGAATATAGACAACAATCAAAGGTACTGTGAACGAAATGTAATAAAGTAAGGGTGGCTGTGAGCTCTGGTTATTGTATGGACGATGAGTTAAGTATTGAAAGATCGTTAAAGTATTTGTAAACATAATGGAGGGGAGACTATTGCTATATCATCCTAAATGTGATGTTGAGTTGCCGTTCCTGTTTCTGCGCATTACAAACAATCTTTGTTTAATCTTTGTGTGTGTGTACTGTTGAAGTTAATTTACTTCGGAACCGCTGTAAACATAGCATGGATCAGTGCACTTCAGAAAAGGTAAGTCATGTGTGTATGGATAGTATTGTAATACTTATTGGCCATACTTCTTACAGCGAGATGTTGTAGTGTAGTAGCGCGCTGGTCTATCAACTACACAGGTGCGGGTTCAAATCCCAGCATTTAATTTTTTTAATGATTTTTTTTTCAATGTACAGGTACTCAATTGAGCTTTTGTGCTACACGTGACATAATGGCTTGCAACGAAAATCATTTATTTATTGCGAGCACGCGAGTTCTGGGCTGTTTGCTTGAGGTGTATGTTGTGGCGCTGTTAGGAGGACGTCATCACACTTTTTGTACTTGGTGAAAACCTTGCCATTCATTCTCCGTGGTAATCACCTGTTGAGGTACTCTCTTGGCACTGGAGACGAACACGCCAGTGCCAGCGCGACTTGAGTGCCATAGAGGTTGAAGGCATTGTTTGATTGATGAATTAAATTGAATTTTAACTTATTATATATGCTATAGCATTCTCGTGAATAAAAAAAACATGGACATGTTTATATACATGTACAAAAATATTATATTCATTTTCCTGTTTACCTGGTTATGTTTTTTCGAACATGGCTTTTTTCTTGCCACCCCTATGTACTTTTAGATTTAAGATTTCCCATTCTCGATCATATTTAAATAGACAGTATAAGTCGAACACGATAACGTTTACATTCATCAGTCGAACAATTATGATATAATCGGTTGTTCAAGTTCTTCAATTATTACGTTTTGCATTTATACTGCAATATAAAAGAATAAACGCAGATATAGACACGTACATCCGTGTAGCGTAGTGTTAAGACAGTCAGATTATGAAGATCTCAGGTAATAAATTTGGTTTTCGAGTTCGAATCTCTAATTGTCAACCTTCTTTTGAGTATGGTTAATACTTTCAGAATATTTTTAAATTGTGTCACGTATCTTTTCTTTTTCTCTTTCATAATATTTTGCACAATTTAAAGTTAAACTTTTGACAGCGAAGCAATATTGAATGTTTTTTATTTTTATAACTGTCATTGAACAAATTAAACAGTATTATCAATTTTATTCTGTTTTAAACTATGAGTCCCAGTCGCCACATTTTAACAATTTGGCTCATTTGTATTTACTGTATATGTTCTTCCATTGGTCATCTATTACCCTAATCACGACTGTGTTGTCTTAACCAGTTGAATGCGAATGTGATGTTCTCAAATATCATTGTTTGGATGAAATTTCCGGGGATCTAAAATCCACTCTGATGTAAATAAAAAACAACTATAAACAAAAAAGAAAAGAATAAAGAATAATTGCCTTTTTTAGGATTCGAAAAAGAGGGTCTCTACACTGACAGACCACTACGACATTATTCTTAACGCATGGAAAATGAGTGATTGATTAGGTGGTAAAAGATTTAGGCGATATATAGTACGCTTTATATAAGATTAATCGACACCCTTATTTATCAATATTGATCTAAACAGATAATGAAAGGAATTGCGAATTCGAGCTGTAACTGGATACATTTTGATATTGACTAGACGTGTAAATATATGACATACGTTTATGTGTGTTTTAAATAAACAAATTTAGGTGTTTTTGAAATAGCCAGAAGTAAATAATATGATTACTGGTTAATACTTATATTTAAGTTGATCGGATATGTGTGTGTACTTTGTTTAATGTTTATTAATTCCATTACTTGATTCAGGTAATATCAATCTTAAAGCATTATATGGATATTTGTAACGTTTGTTCATTTCATTAAAATGGAAGTGTCGGGGAAATCAGCCAACTTAAGTACGTTGAAAGATATAAAGGAAACATTGTGCGAGCCATGTAAGGAAGAAAACATTTCTAGAGCGGCAGGTGGAATTTGTAAGCAATGTGAAGAATACATGTGCTGCATTTGCTTTAAAAATCACCATGCAGCACGGTCGTGTAGAAAGCATGAATTTATAGATAGCAAAGGGTTGCAAATTGAAGTTCCTAATGTGGGCGACAATGATCATTGTGAAGTATGTAGCAAGCATAAGAGTGAGATAATAAAGTATTACTGTCGGCGCCACGACGATGTCGCCTGCGGAGAATGCATGCTGCTGGGCGAACACAAGGGCTGCTCTCCAGAACTGATAAGATGTTTGGCCAATAATTTCCAAAAAAATGATGAGTTCAAAGGTTTAACTGAAAGAATTGATAATCTCAAAACTAGGACAGGTTTTACTACCAATTTGATAAAACTAGCAACGGAGAAAAACTCAAAAATAAACGAAGACGCACTGACAGACATTAAAATGTTTATGAATGATATAAGAGAGGTTATAAACGAAACAGAGCAAGATTTGCTTTCGAAAGTAAGCGAAATTTATCTACAAAATGAAGAAACCCTTAGCAGTATGGCAAGAATATATGAATCTACTGAAACAAAATTAGAATCAGTCAAACGGGATATAAACCCATTAATTTGCTCAGAAAATGCTCTCTTTATAAAAATGGTTAAATACAAACGAACACTAGTTGGCATTGAAAATATATGTTCTGAAACTTTAAAAAATACTACTGTTAATAGATTTGAATTAAGAAAAGATGACATACTTCTTAATAAGCTGAAATCTTCGGGGTCGTTTGGAACAATATCAAGTGTTGTTCAGCAGATATTTGGAAATCAAGATAGTGGGTCAGGCTTTAACAATGAGCACGGCGATGACGACAACAGGTAATATAAATCATAAAATTAGATACTCGCAAAAAGACCTGATATACGACATAATCCCAACCAACAGTACTCTTAAAATCGAATATTTATAGAGATACTTTAAACTGTTTACCTGATGAAATCCTTGAAAGATTTATTTGTATTGTTCCACATTGCATGTATATATAGAGTCGTTACATCATAATGTGGTATAACATTATACTTGTAGGTCTGACATGTCACACTATCTTGATTTAAATAATTTGTTACGTTGCCTATTTTATAACGGAAATTAATTCATTTGGCCTGAACGCATTTAACAGGTCATCTACGCTGGTGTGGTAATACGATGTATTGTTTCGCCTTCGTTTATTGCCTTAATTTGATATTTTCGTTTAAACAAACAGAACAATATGATTAAAAATCGAGAGAGAAGTAGAGAGTATTTGGGATGAAGAAGATTGTAGTCTCTTTTTTCAATGTTACCCATTCTTATTTCATTCAAATTAGTTGTAATCAAATACTTAAATTTTCGGAATGTACGTGCCAAAACCGCATAGATAAAATCTATGATAATACATTTGGAAATAAATTTGAATACCGTAATATTACAGGCGCCGAATATTTTTGATTTTTAGCAGTCTATTGAAACTAAAACATTTCTGATTTATACAATTTTCAGGTTCAATGCCGCTGCTCATGAAGATATGCTGCCGATGGTACGGCGGGAATGTCGTTTATCAAACCTGAAGCTGTTGAAGAACGGACCAAAACAGTTAGGGGCTAGAGGTGATGACACATCCCGTCTCGACATATCGGCAAAACGTTGTGCAGACGCAAAAGAGAAAAGAAAGAGCCAGGAAGCAACGAAATCAGGGCCTGGTATATGCTTTGATTGTTTTCTTAAATTCAAATTCAGATTTAAATTCACAAAAACACCGTAAAGGTCAAATCTCAGTTGCCCCTACGTACATCATTTTAGGCATTTGGTAGAACTAGAGTAAAACCACCCACATTCTGAAAACTAGCCGTGTTTTTTCTCACATGAAGAAATCTAAAGTCCCCGAAAGGATTCGAACTCACAGCTGTGAGCGGTAAGTGGTCAGAAGCCGGTGATCAGGATCTGGTGCATACTGTATATTGTACATTCATTACATTCATTACAAAACGATTTATTTCATATATTATGACATGGAACATTTCTAGGATACGGACGATAAGATATATGTATGATAATATCAAGGTTTCATTCTAGGATTCAATTTCAAACATAATAAAGTTAAAATTACTTTCAAAGTAGCTCAATTTATATTAGTATGAAAGTTTAATTCTTGTTGTAAGATTTACAATTACATGTGTATTTACATATGTACAAAAATCCAAAAATACGTAAATGTTTTATTGTTGTTTATGATATTTTCAACAGAGCTTGTGGCTGATGACGTTTTGTATTCGATAATTGAAAAGGAAAGACTATCAGGTAAAGCCATGGAATAAAATATCTATAGACTAAATAATCTTGAAGGATTAAAGATTCAGTATGCATAGTTTTGAGACAGAGCTGAAGTAATATGCTTGATGTTACGAATTTATCAATACTTTTTGAACACATATTTATGTCAATGAGATTGACATAAAGGCGAAGTAGGTAGAAAGATTGATAACATAATAGACTTAAACAACTAATTGCTAATAGAAAAAAAACGTACTGAAATAGCTTATCTTAACAACACAAGCATGGACGCATTTGATGATACTAAAGCTGTAATAAGTTCGTTTTATTCTTACATTTAGTCTTGGACACTGCTTTTACCGTCTTTCCTTTTATTGTTTATTTTTTTGGTTATTTCAATACATTAAAAAAATTGTCTGATTCAGAATAATCGAAATATCACTGAATATCATCAATATCATTCAATATAATTAATTGCCTAGCGAAAATGATTATTTTACAGCTAGTGAATGCTCCGATATGAAATCAACTGGCATCGACACTGTAATTTGTTTAGACACTTCTACTAGTATGGCTGGAAAACCACTTACAGCAGCAATTGATTGTATTGAGAAAATACTAGATGGTAACAATTTATTTCTTTTATTTAATACACCATCGCAATATTTTCGTTTCAAATTTACCAAATTAGCATGACCTTCAAGCCGAACTTTCAAAATTGTTAGTGCTATAAGTTGAAAAAAAGATACATCGTGAATATTCTGAACAACAACCAACAAAGGCTAAAATACCTAAAGAAGGAGCTATAAAACGAATAAAAACAACAACAGTATAATATTTCCCCTTTTGAGCAGCATCAAGGAATCATACTCCTTCATATTATATTTAATGTTTTGCGGATTGTTCCACGAAAATCAGGAAATTATAAATTCAATTATATAAAAAAAAATATATAATTTCGCAAAAAAGTGTCAGTTGACCATTATAAACGAACATGTTGATGAAGACATTAAAATGCATAATGAAAAGTATTTGGTTTCAGGTTGTTTATCATATTAAACCTTATGTATTTTGTAGGATTCGAAACAAATGCCATCTACCATGGTTTGGGAGAAAATGTTGCCATAGTAACGTTCGGAAATGAAAATAGAATACGTCATCATCTAACGAATGACTATGGTTTGATAAGAGAAGGACTTGGTAAGATTTTCAAAGTTCGTGGTTGAAGCTAAACAACTAATTTTAGATGATTAAAAGTATGTGCATGATTCTATTAAACTATTTCATATTGATTTTAATTTTTACTTCATATGAATCTTGACTTTGACGTTTGAGCGGCACCATGACAAAACCATCATGATGTGTGTGCGACCAGTATGGATCCAGACCAGCCTACACATACACATATGCATTTTTAATTAGTATTTGACAAATTGCCTTGTATCGAAGCCGAAAGTACAAGACGAGTATGACGCATACAAGGGAAATAACCATGTCAATTATAATGTAAATGATAATCAAGATTTGTTTACCTTTAGTTGTTTGCTATAAGAAAATTGTAACATGGATTGATTTAACAAGAGGATAATAAAAATTCGATGAAAAGAACAAGAAAAAAAAAGAATAACGAACATGATACAACATATCGAACATTTAAAAGGTATCAAATACAGTTTGAAAGTAGGAAAATGTTTTTACATGTAAAGAGGAACATATGAAAATTTAGAAAGGAACTTTAGAATCCTACGGTATATAAACATTTATTACTCTCTAAGATTGCAATGTAGATTCTTTTCTAATCTCGAATGCTTTATAGACAAACATTGCTAAATCTCTTACAATTTGTACTAAATGCGAGTAAAACAGTTCTGCAGTTTTATACATTTAGGTTTATTACTTAATATTGGTTTATATATCGCTTCCTAATAGAATTATACAATTTACATTTAAAAAATAAGTGAAATTCGTCCTCAAATGTTTGACATGCGTTACATAATCTGTCGCTTAAGGAAATGTTACCCCATCTGCCAGTTTCAACACTTAAATGGTGAGCTGACAGTCTTAATCTGGTTAAAGCTGTCAAGTATTTACTTATATTAACATTTTTAGAAAAAAGTTATATTCAAATTTTGCAAAAACTCTATAGAATCTTGCTCTTGATGATTAATTTATACGACTTGTCCATTCTTGAATAAAAACATCTGAACTTCTTTCTTTTAGCTTAGGTAAAAACAATGTTTGGTTATCAACACCCTGAGCTAGCCAAACTTCGAAAAATCCTAAATTTCCTAAAACGTCTCTGACTTGAGATGCCCAGTTTATTACCCTGGTTTTTTTATCTATCTCACTTAACATTTGCAAGTAAATCAATTTGATATATTTTCGTTCAATTCTACTTGTAACTTTTAAACAATATTTAATTATTCTAAAAATACGCTGTGAATAAAGATCCGTTTTACCAAGTTCACCATAGATAAAATCATTCTGAGTAGAGGTTTTAATATAAAGAATAGATTTACGAAAGAGAGTATGAATTATCTCTATTTGTGGAGCTTTAGTGAAACCCTATACCTCCTCCGAACCGTAAAAAAGAATAATTTATCAAATATTTCTAAAGTGTGTTAAATTGTAAAATAAGTGTATTTGTACTTTCTTAACCTAGAAATCGCTTTCTGTGCTTGACCGGATAAAGTTTTATGAGTCTCACTAAAAGAATCTACAGTCGTAAAAACAATACCTAGATATGAAAATTTGTTAACTATTTCTAAAGGATAGCCATCATAATAAAAGTTAAGATTTTGTGGCAGGCGGCCCCTTTCCTGAAAACAATTACTTTTGTTTAAGCCTTATTAAGACATAATTTCCAACGATTACAATACTTATGCAAAATATTAAGATATCCTGTAATTCGTCTTTTGAAGAAGCAAATATTACAATGTCACCAGCATACATTAACAAAAATACCTTCAAGTAACCGATGTCTATACCTTTTTACCATTTTTTTTAAATAAAACTTGTCTTCAAGATCGTTTAGATACATTGAAAATAAAAAAGGGGAAAGACTTTCGCCCTGTCGAACTCCTAAATAACTTTCTAATATTTCTCCTTCATTATTATTTAATCTTACTCTAGATGTGACACAGCTATAATAAAGACATTTTATAACATTATAAAGCCTACCACGAAGTCCCAATTGATAAAGTTTATACCAATTGTTTTCTCTTACTAGATAGTCGAATGCTTTTGAAAAATCTATGAATGAACAAAACAATTGTTTATTATTATTTAATTTAATAATATGATTAATCAAACCATGTTAAACAAAAATATTGTCAGTGGTGCCCATTTTGGCTCTAAATCCCGTTTGAGATCCTACGTAAACGTAATAATTTTCTGCCCAATTTGTAAGCCTAGTATTTATTAAACGTGTGATAATTTTCCGATAACGCTTAAAGTGTTATACCTCTAGAATTTTCAGCTTCCGACAAACTTCTTTTTTATGTATAGGAACAATGAGACCTTCGCTCAACTTTTTACGAAAATACCCAAGATATAGTAGTTTGTTAAAAAGATTTAAAAGATAGCAAACTAAAACATTTTTTCCATGAATAAAAAATTTGTTTAATATTCGGTCCGAGCCCCCGCCCTTATTCAAATTCAGATCTGATATGTCTAAACGAGAAAACGGTGCATCTAACTCAGAAAACATACCATTTAATTCTTGTTTACCTTTCTCATTAAAGTATATAATATCGTCATCAGTTTGAAAAAGAATGAGTCATCAGGATTATTAATTGCTTTGAAATAATTCGTGAATGTTTCTAGAGATATACCTTTTGGTGCCTTTGGTGCAACTGATTCCTTAAGCAATCGCCAATAAAGTCTAGCATTTTTATATTTGGCATTTAGTAATTTATCAGTGTTTTGTTGGTCTTTTTCATAATTAAAATTCCTAACATTATTCTTATAAATACTTCTTGCTTCTATCATTTCCTTTCTATTTATGTCATTTTTATTGCGCCTATAGTTATTAATATTTTGATAAAAATCTTTCCTGCTAGTGTCATAGCTATCATTGAATTGTGTTGAATAATTGTTATTTGATTTAACATGAACATTACATTTAACTGTTTTTTAAACATTGTTGAACAACTTGATCAATACAACTAACAAAACATTCAATATTACCGTCAATATCATTATAACATTGAGCATTTTCAACAGATTGGTTTAAGTTATTTATTGCAGAAATAAACTCTTCACTATTTATTTTATCAACATATAAATCTTTGTAATCCTTAATCCATTTGTAACAACTACTGAGTTCATTAAATTCTGGTTCGTTGAAGATATTTATAACATCACTAGTTGCATACATACTACCCTTCAAGGTAAACTCAATCAAACAATGGTCAGATAATAAAATAATGATTTAAATTCAGTTAACAATTGAATATCAACAATATAATAGTCTACAACTCTTGACCCATTATATCCTACAAAAGTACAAGACCCCGATTGTTCAGGATTCCCTACCCTCCCATTAGCTAGTCTAAGCCCTGTTTGCTTTAAAAGTCAAGCAGCAGATACCCATTTGAATTGGTATTTTCATCCTGTGAAAAACGAGGTAAAGATACATCAGCTGTATAATCATCTGGAAGTTAATCACAATTAAATAAAAATCAGTATCATCAACCATGTAATCGGGTAAGAGGCCAACCCTCGAGTTTAAATCATCCAAGGGCATAAATTTACAATTGTCATCACCATACATGTTTTGAATGTATAAAATATTATCTGTAATTGTATCGTATATATTACTCTCAACTTGCATGTTTCTACTTGAATTTGTCTGTACAATATATCATAAACAAAGAAAAAGGTCTGTCCCAAAATTAAATGTTGAGATTGAAAATCTTAACCATAAATGTGAATCGGAGTAATCAAACAAAAACATATTTTGTGTCACAAATTTGTTTCTAACATAGATCAGCATACCACCCGAATTGCTAGCCGTTCCTTTTAGTTTAACATCTCTATTTAAGAAAAAGTGTTGAAAGCCTGTTCAAAACTCCCCCATGTTTCCGTAAAACAAATAATGTCATTTTTATTAAATATTTCAATAATTTCTACACTCTTTAATTTGTAATCAGTCCCTGTACATTTAATAAAGCGAATCTCACAACATTATAATCACATTTAATGTTTACATGGACATCGCTTGAACCCCGCTAGTCAGCGCACTTTGACCTCTGTGATTGATGCGCGTTTTCATTGGTTGATTTGATGACGTATGTTTTACTGGTCGAGTACTGACAGACCGAACTCTTCGCTGACTGGCTAATGATGTCGTCCTAGATTTTGGCCTACCACGTGATGTTTGTTTACTTTCTGTGGGTTTTACCTGTTTAAGGTTTGTTTCTTCATTTCTTGTATTTTGCGAAGTTTTTTAATCGGCACTGTGTATATACATGTATTATTAAGACTTGATTGTGACTCAAAGGTCAATGGGGTGTGTATGACTGCGTCGTTGACAGAACTACATCCGTCTGCATGTGTTTGGCTATTAATGTTGTTGTCTTTAGAATGTGAAAAGGCTTTACATCGTTGGCTTGGTTGTTGTAAATGGGTCCGAACCGGTTTACGTTTTAGTGCTTGTGCTCATGATTTCGTCCCAGCACAGAAACGTGTCTACTATTACCCTGTCATTTACAATAAGCGCTGCTGGGTAATTTAATTGCACACGATTCGAACGGTTTTACGGTACTCTTTGTACGCAGGCCAAAGTTTTTTCCTAGCAGTTCTTACTTCGGGGGGTAATCTCTATCGACAGCATATTTTGTACCTGCAAGATTTCGTGCATTTCTCATGACAGTATCGACATTGTTGGACGGAATTTTACTGATTGTACGCTTTTTCGCTGTATTATTATTACGGTAATTGTTCAATGTCCCAAGACGCTCAGCTGATTCAATAAACAAATTATCATAGTCTTTACACGTTTCCTAGTTAAAGAAATCACTTAAGTCATCATATATTGCATCTCTGCCCGTGTATTTCTCCTCAAGGCCATAAATTATCTCATTTTTATGCCCCCACAATGTGGGAGCATATAGCGTTGCACTTGTCCGTCCGTCCGTCAGTCCGTCCGTCCGTCCGTCCGTACGTCCCGAAATCTTGTGAACGCAACTCCTCTTAAACCGAATGGCAGATTTTGCTTAAACTTACAGGGATGAACAACCTTAATGTGTAGATGGTAGTAAAGGAAGGAATTTTTGCTGCGACCAAATTTAACAGAATTATGGCCCTTTGATGATTTTTTCACTATATACTAAGTAGAAATTTTGTGAACGCAACTCCTCTTAAACCGCATGGCAGATTTTGCTTAAACTTACAGGGATGAACAACCTTAATGTGTAGATGGTAGTAAAGGAAGGAATTTTTTGCTGCGACCAAATTTTACAGAATTATGGCCCTTTGTTGATTTTTTCACTATATAACTATGTAGAAATTTTGTGAACGCAACTCCTCTAAAACCGCATGGCAGATTTTGCTTAAACTTACAGGGATGAACAACCTTAAGGTGAAGATGGCAGTAAAGGAAGGAATTTTTGCTGCGACCAAATTTTACAGAATTATGGCCCTTTGTTGATTTTTTCACTATATACTATATAGAAATTTTGTGAATGCAACTCGTCTTAAACCGGATGGCAGATTTTGCTTAAACTTCCAAGGATGAACAACCTTTATGTGTAGATGGCAGTTAAGGAAGGAATTTTCGCTGCAACGATATTTAACAGAATTATGGCCCTTTGTTGTTTTTTTCATTATATACTATGTAGAAATTTTGTGAACGCAACTCCTCTTAAACCAGATGGCAGATTTTGCTTAAACTTCCAGGGATTAACAACCTTAATGTGTAGATGGTAGTAAAGGTAGGAATTTTTGCTGCGACCAAATTTAACAGAATTATGGCCCTTTGTTGATTTTTAGTTTTCAACTTGTGGCACATGTAGTCCCAAAAATATTTGACCCAGAGTCATAAGATTGACAGAACAGTGGCGTGTGGGGGCATCCGTGTCCTATGGACACATTTCTAGTTTCTTCTGATTTTTGTTTCTAAATCGATAACTGTGTATGAAAGAGCTCTCAATTAGGTGTTATGTGTGTCGATTTGACTGTTAACATTTTGTATTTGACCCAGTAAATCTGTGGTTTTCAAAATTAACGAATCTTGTCCCTTCTCTATATTAATCATTTTGTTAAATAACACATTCAGCTTTTCGTCTCGGGTCATGGTTTCATAGGATTCAAAATTGACACTACTAGTATTTATTCGTTTACGTTTTCCTTTGTTTTGAACTGTTGACCACTGACCGCTTCCCGCCATTTCATCCGCCATATTGTTCATATACCCCACCTGAGAGTTTCCTGGGTTTTGAAATAAATCCTCATTTTCCAAATTCTTGAGATGAATTTAAGATCTGAGATAAAGTCCTTTCAGAAGTACTAATGTTCAAGTTCATTTTCACAATTTATTAAAGCGACTCTCTGGCGCTATAAGTCATAAATTTTGATATTTACCCTGTGCAATATTAACTACTTTCGGTCAAGTGATCAAAATACGTGATCAAGCGAACAGCATGGATCCTGATCAAACTGCGGGGATTTGCAGGCTGGTCTGGATCCATGCGCCAGGTCGCAAACCCATTAAGTTGGTTTTGTCATGGCGCGGCTCATTTATAATTGAATTTATTACTGTTTCGTCAGGTTGATTAGACAGATGGATGTGGAAAATGTAGTGTTTGGTAATAAACTTGTACAGAAGTATGTTCATAATGTTACAGATTAAATGACAAATATATCAAGTACGACTTCTACGTTAATATACGGAGTGCAATCAATTATATAATCATTAATAATGAAGTATTTTTACCTCAATTTAGTTATTAACTAAATTAAATTGAAACGAAGATAAGAAAGGGTCTACGATATTTTACAGATAATATAGAGGCGGGAGGGCCTTCACCGCTTTGGCTTGGACTTGCACTTTCTCTGGCTGAAATTAAGGAAAGGGGTATGTTTTCGAGTATCTGTATTCGCCATTCACACTGAACAATTAAAAATACATTGAATACCATTAACCATATATTTTTATTGCAAATGATACATGCTGTAGGCAGAACAACTTTTACAAAGCAATAGCCTTTTGTTGTCAAAGACTTTGATTGTTGCGTAAAGCTTTGAAAAAGTGTCATGTTGAAGTCTCATTTGTTATTGCTGTTGTAATGAGGTTGTCGCTCTACAGATGTACGCTTTGCAAAGGTTGATTGTATAAGCTTATTGATCTGGCAGAAACTCCAGGGTAATAATATTAATTAACAGACCCTTGTTGTAAGATGTGTTCATGAGATGTACAAGTGCATGTAACTGCAAAAATTAACTGCAAAATCATTCTTTCTATGGGATAAACATTGCGATTGCACGTAAAAGGTGAATAACATTGATTTAGAGTTCAGCGACAAATGCCAGTCTTTGGCACATACCTTAGTTAAACATAACATTGCAAGTCTGTTTTTGTCTAGGTGGCGCTTGTATAATGGAACCGATGTCGGTGCTTCCAAGAATTATTCTGATCACGGATGGATATGCCTCACGAAAAAATCTTCTAAATGGTGACGATAATGGTGTAGTTGATAAAAAGGTATTTTAATACTATCGATACACTTTAAAATTCTGCATTTCATATTTAGATTAATGTCATTTTCTTATATGAACTATTGTACACTAACATTATACTAAAGATACAATGTCATTCAATGATATCTTAAAGAATTTGTAATTGCAATATTTGTTACGGAGATTTGGATTAGGGATTTTGTATTTGAATAAGACCTGGAAAGTTGGCATGAAAAGACCAAAAGCTAATGCCACTGTAATTGCACACATAAACTTATAAATGGTACGATTATGTTGTTTCTCTATTCTGATGGTCGCTTCTCGAAAGAGTTTTAACAAATAATGTCTTTGATATTTAAAACCTATTCAAATAGTACGTTAACAGAATAAATATTTTCCGGGGCAACATATTATGCTGATATAAGTAGGCAATGATTCGTGAATTTAAGGTAATATAGTTCTTTCATAAAAGTATTTAGAATTATTTGTGTTTATTTAAACAGTTATTTAGCTAAAGGCATCAGTTATATATCTATATATATGTTATAGTACTTGTCATTTATCACGCATATTTTTAGGTAATTGGGGAAATTGTCTCTTTGATGAATACCTGCCCGTCCTTTACAAGTTACTTGGAATGTATTATACCCGGGAAATGTCATGAGGTGAATATGAAAGTAAAACGCTGATTATATAGATCATTAGAATACTGCTCGTTTAGAAACTATATTCACGTCTTCTTTCAAATTAATGAAGGAATTTTCTTTTTTTTTCAATAAGAAAGTAATTTTTGCTGTATTATAAATTCGATATAAAGATTGTTGACAAGCTCTATGCCCGTATTTGAATAGTTGATTGCAATATACCATTCGCTAAGTGGCTTTATATAAGGCAATATTACCCTATCTAATAAACAAAGTGAACAACTGTATTAAACATATTAATAGCTTTCTTATACAAACGTCTGCTGAGGCCTTCCTCCAACAGTAAAGCTGGAACGTCGCTATGTGATATATACTGTGTCGGTGTGACGTTAAAACAAACGTCTGATTGTTGCACTATTAGTTCTGTATAATGATATACATAAATAATCTGTTAATGCTATCCTGACGATTGTTTACAAATTTAATGATTATACAATACAATTGCTTTAGGAATTTCTGAAGGGGCTTACTAATGGACGAATGTACACGTCGGATGATACAGAGTCCATAACAGATTTTTTCAAAATTCAAGTAAGTGCACCATTTTCCATTCAACCTTAAGATGCTACTTATTAAAATGATAGCTATTATGCACACAGGCAATTGATTGGGATCATTGTACAATTAGCATAAAATCGGCTATTTTCCCCTCTTTTGCCCATGTTATAACGGGACCAAAACCATGCGTTCCATAGTCACGCGCTCTTGTTATAGCCCGGTTTTACCTATGCGCAATACATACAGGGCCAAGTAAACAAACCAAAAATGACGGTTTGGCCTGTTTGCCAAAGTGTTTTATTGAAATTATTGATTCGAGGGCCTCAATCGCATTACGGCGAGCAGCATTCAAGTAACTATGCCGGAAATACGGCGTATAGACATCGCCGCTTATCTTGGTTGTCGCCCTTTCTAAGAAACGGACAGTTGTCAATGTAAACAAATAAATGTCATTCAGTTTAACCCTCAAATTAACTTACAAAACAAGATTACACAAAATGAATATGAGAAAATGTTGTTTTATTGATGTTAATATTGATATATGCTATTTATATTTCTTTGAGAAAATAATGTTTAGTGCCTGATATTCTTTTATCAACTTGTGAGCTTGAGAAAAAAAAAACGATTCTGATGTCACTGGTCTTTTCTACCGTCAATCTGAAATCATTCTAAGAATTTCTGAGGGTCATGTTCCATCTTGGGCAGAGTAATTTAATGTTGTTTTTTTTCTTGACTTAATAAATCTCCAATGATAAACTTTGTTAAATCAATTAAAATTCGAATTTTCGAACGGTTCTGAGCATTTGAATTTCCCAAGTAGTTGGCCCCGGAAAAATAAAACGCATACGTAAAACATGTAGAATTGGATAAATACCGTCCAAGCACACGGATTTAATGTATGTGTTTTGTATTAAATATACATCATGATTTTTTTTGTAAAATTTATGCTATAATAGCGTCAACGCATGTTTATTTCGTGTTATAAAGTATGCAGAGTCCCTCGGAACTGTTGGAGCCAACCAACCGTTCCTCGGGACTCTACAAACGTTATAACACGAAAAAACGTGTGTTAACCCTATAGAATTAAATGTTTTATTTCATGTTATGATATAAGCACTTAACCACTTATGCATGAAGAATTATAAATACTAATTTTCCTTAAGTTAAACTTTCTTATGCGTTTAAGAATGAATACAGACAATTTAACAAAAGGCTAATTTAAGCAGACTTATTTGATGAAAATGAACAGCTGTTACTCTGCATCTGCGAACATTTTATCAAATCTTTGTTTGTTGTATAAACATAAATCAATAGAGGGTTAATGCACCCTTTTTGTGCATGCACGACTACGTATTTAAAGCTCAAGCCCGCAGTGCGAGCGATTTCCATGAGGACTTCTACAGATGTAAATTCACGTGAGATGGTGCATTACCTCCATTTATGCATACAATGCAGTCTATATCGGTAATTCCCCGTTTATCTGTGTATTGTATAAAAAAATTTTGCTCTCCTTTCCACATACTAATGTGGTCCAGAAAACTACACGACGCGCGGTCACGAGAATCTTTCCGCTAATAACTGTTTACTTCCCCGTTAATATGTACCATATTTCGCAAATTTTATACAAGAATACAGTTTGATTTATTTCTTTGATTTATCCGACAAAATAACAATTGTTCATTTCATTATCTTGAATAGGAGAAAGCAAATACAATTATAAAACAAGTAATCAGTGCTGAAATGGACCGAGCTAAAATAGATGATGCTATAGAAAATTGCGAATTGAACGATAAAGGAAAGGTAATGATCTTTTGATTAAATTGATACATCATTCTTGATTTCCATATAACATTTAACATATTCAACTCATTTTATTTAGTACCTTCAACGTAACATTGCTTATCTTGTATGTTGATATTCATTCTAAGTAACAAAACCTGACAGAGTTTGCAAGAGAAATAACATTTGGAAATATATGTTGTCCAAATGAATACATACATTAATATGTTTGTAATACAAATTTAGATTTATTCCTCTGTTTATACATTTTACGCCCGTTTCATTGAGCACAATATACATATACATAATTATTTAGATGTTAAAATTGATGTATTCCAAGAGGCGCGAAGTGTATTCAATTAGAATCAGTTGCAAACTGGAAAAAATATGATGAAAAAGCAGTGGCAACAACATTATTATAATGAAAATTGCAATCTTGTAGTAAACATTATCCTTAATTCAATGACAGCGGATAACAAGTATATTTGATTGCAGGAGGATCTAAGACAAATTATATCAGCTAGTTTCCCGTCAAATGATCAACAGCCTGCAAAAATGGAAACGGATGGAACCAGTAAAGACGCTCGGGCAACGTCTAGTCAGTTTGACATAATACAAACTAATTTTGACAATTAAATTGTCTTGAACTCCCCTCCCTATTTTAATATACATTGTATACATGTATATTTCTGCCCCATTATATGTCTTTTTGCTTTTTTCTAAGATGGTAAATAACTGCAAAGGCATTGCTTTTAGCAGATGGGCTGATTGGAGTAGATTGTAAATCTTCATAACAGTTTCTTATGGTAACATTATTTTATCGAAGTCATTCGAAAGGAATCCTTCCAAACGCTTTGTTTACTTTTTTATACCTTTAAAGATTTTGTAAATTTTAGAATGATTTAGATAGAACATGAACCTGTTATTTACAAAGAATAAGGAATTAACAAGTAAATCGAAAGAAGGAGAGAACACAGTCAAACATCAAGATGGGTTGTAATTGGTTTATTCAATAATCTACCGGCTTTCGGAATTAGGAATTATTCAAATGTCACAGGGATTTTGGCTGTTAAGAGTATCTTAAAACGAGTGTTAATATTGTACCATACACTTAGAAAAAGAGGAAATGAGATTGTGTCACATGCCCTTTTCTTCATATGTTATTCGTTTACATTTGCTTTAAAATATTTAATAAATTATCAGCTGCCACAGACAAGAGTGAACATGCAGAACGACCTATGACAGACCGCGATGGACAACTTGATTCTGTACCACCCGAATCAATTGATTTGTCAGACGATGTAAAATCGTCTCCGTTTGGTTCTGCAGTCGTATCGAATCCAAAATGGATTTGTCATGCAACCAGACAAAATTTTACTGGCACGGTTGTTGGTCCCCGAAGGAAAGGTAATTCATTAATATTTTTCGAATTCATGATAGTTCTCGTAATAGGAATACAATAAAGTTGTTCCTTTTGACGAATACGTAACTTATAAATGTAACTGTATTTGATTTACATCAATAAAAGATTATAGTGTCACAATTGTCCCCGCCATGTTATGATATATATTTCATGCATTCATAATGTTATCAATACTATAAATAGCTATAGATCTGTCGTCAGTTAGTTAAAATAAAACAAAAACATGTTAGCTGTAGGTTGACAAAAATATTATGAAGTTAAATACAGAATAGTATCTATGTAAGTATGACTGAAATGAGGACTGTAAAAGAAAAAACATATACACAAAGGTGACAGATGTTTTTTTAAAAGAAAAGCAAAAATAATCGTTGTTCATTTTTAGGTTTGTTGAAAGTTTTATGGTCAGATGGTTCTATAGTAAAATGCAAGTTTGGAATTAACGGTCAGTATGATATTCTCATGTCCGAGGACCAAAGTATTGACTGCAGTAAGCTAAAAATTGGATCTATTGTTGTCAGAGGTAATTTACAAGTTTTAACTTATGTTACTTATAACTGCGGATATAACTGTTTCGTTTGTTGCAAGTAACTGACAGTATAAATGCAGATGTTTTTATATGTAGATGCATAAATAAATATTATTATTATACAGGTATTTGTAATTATATACGTTAGGAAAACTTGATTTGATAATTGGTTTATAGGGAACATGTTAAACAAATTGTTTGTATATGATGATAAAACATTTGATATCTTTATCAGGTAAAGATTGGCGATGGAAGGACCAAGATGGGGGAGAAGGAAATGTTGGCGTTGTGACGAAAATAGATGGCCCTGTAGTCCATGTAGGAAATTTTGAAATATATTGAAGGGAATGTAAAGAAAATGTCTAGACTCTATATATAATGCTAGAAATAAAATATCGAAAATAAACTTTGTATCATGCTTTTTTGAAAGAAAGTGTAGGTTCATAGCTAAGAAATTTAAATTTGTTTGCGCTGTACGGTTTTACACTAACTTCTACATTGGTGTGATATTTAAAAAAAGGTCATCTAAATGTTTGCCTCTATAATACATATTCTAAAATCAATAATTTGTATTGTTCTATAAACATATATGGATACTGTTTTAGACAAACAACAAGAGTAAAAGAAACCACCAGAATAGCAAATTTAACTATACTATTTTTCTTTATTAACATGATCTTGTCAAGTCAAGCCTGCGTGTTATTGTTTGGTTTAAACAATATTTATTTCTTCTTCCATATTTTCAAACCAGGTGCCCGTTCGTGCCTGAAATAATGCACGGAAGGGCACCTGAGGTCTTCCTCCACCAGTAAAGCTGGAACGTCGCGATATGACCTATACTGTGTCGATGTGACGTAAAACCCAAAACAAAACAAACAAAAAATATTTTCAAACAAAATTTCAATGCATAAATGGCATACTGGATTGAGTAGAAAGCTTAAAGCTTATATGAAACTCTCTCGATCTAAGGGCTCAATTCAATTATATTAATCTCTCTGTAAAACCTAAATGATATCATTCATTAAAAAGGCAAACTTATAGTTGATATTATATTCGTGTTTAGGTTATCTGGTCGCATGGCGGTCCAGGAAATTACCGGTATGGCTTTAACAAAAAGTTTGACCTAACACTATGGTACGATTTTACATTGTTAACTAACTACTTAATTAAGTTTAATGGTTTAAATAGATGATTAAGCAAACATATTAACATACATTATAACCAACAATAACATATGTGCATATTTCTCCATTTTATCTTTTCGCTATATATGCCATTTAACTATACTTTTACATTATTATTACTAATTTGTCAAAGTAAACAAAAGCGGACATTCGTGTATTACTCTCAACTTGAAATATATGTCTGCAACTACAAGCGATTTAAATATTATCGACAGTGATGTTACTTAGTTTAAAACTAAAATAAATGTGACAAAAATGATACGCCTATTTTGTTCAACCTTTTTCAGCAAATACCGCAGTGGTAAGTATTACATTTTAAATACTATTTCACACACAATGAGGATTTTTTTCTGTTTTCACCTCAGTACATATTACAGTTTACTTGATATTCCTTTATGAATTTCTTCCTTTCACTTCTAAAGTTAATGCCACACTACTGCAGAAAACTTACCAAATATATCAAGTAAATTATAGTAAATTTCTTGATAATATGTATATAGAGGTTTTCATCTCCATCTGCATATAGTGTTCTAATTTCAATATGAACATAATGTTTTCATTGACGAGGTTGAACTGTCCTAATGGATATTCATTGTCTATATACAGGGATGCATTTTGCCTGGCATATAACGGATGCGGAAGATGGTGAACAGTGGAAAAGATTACCTAAAAATGTCAATGACAGCATTGAGGAGATGTATAAGACAAAACATACTGGAACGTTCTGTGTATTAATGGATACGCAGTCGTGAGATATTTTAATATTCTAATTTCACAATGCATTGTTATTAAAAAAGAATTCCGTATATTTTGTTTTATAGACTTGTTTCCAACCAAATAGATAATCATTTAAGCACGACTTTGTGAAGTATAGGTAGAACTATTGCGTCGACGTCAGCATCGCTGTCATAATGCTGAAAATGAATGTTAACTGTTCAATAAATTGATCCTGTTTAAGAATACATTAAGTACATGCTTTACCTTGATAAGAGTCATGGACCTGCATAAAATGTCATCAAATATAAGATGTCTTGACATAACATTTGTTAATACATATCAATATACCTATGAATACATTTTTATTGCACCAAGTAGCAAACGCGTTCTAATAATAACTGTGATTTATGCTAACCACTGTTAAAGTTATATAAGAATCTTTTTATAAACGAGGTCGGTACAATGGTCTAATGGTTTGCTGTAAGCTTCCTTTATTTGTTTTAGGTTAAGAATTTCTATTCAGAACCTACAAGCTAGGAATACTAATACACAGACAGCGTATAACTTGGAGAGGAGAGGTAAGGGACCTATACAACATGCTGAAAATTAAAACGTTTTATTTACTGTATTATGTCTGTACTCCAATATTTTCAGTACTATAAATGCAATTAAACAGTGTATCTAGCTTGACGTTTTGAACAGTATGGAGAACTATTATACATGTATGTCACAGGGTCATTTTGTCTTTGCTAGAATACTCTGTAATTCATACACATACTCTATATCATTCCCATGATTCCCCTATCGTCTCTTTTTCAATCATTCATATCATTATTCAACTTCATACTAATAACTTCATTTGACCTGTAACACGTTGACGGGACTCATTCACTTCATTTTTTGAATTCGGTCACGCTAACCTTTACGCATGCGCACAAGAAATGAGAACTTTTTAGCGAGAGCTGTTGTTTTTTTCATTGACTCCGTATTTATATTTTATTGTGTGCCAACAATATATTTACAGGTATATTTGAGGTTAATAAAACGTTGTTAACATGAATTACTATGATATGTGTATGTATTTCGCTTGGAATTATCAATAGCACAAGAAATGAGAACTTTTAGCGAGAGCTGTTGTTTTTTTTTTCATTGACTCCGTATTTATATTTTATTGTGTGCCAACAATATATTTACAGGTTCCTCTTTGAACGCCCTATCCTCCCGAGTGAGAACTCACGTATATCCGTGACATTTGGTGGCCAGTGTTACATTTGGGTCGTTTTGGGTGCGAAAACAGTTGAGGACGAACTCAGTTCGGGTGGATTGTCTCCCGCTTGTATCAGCCAATGAGAATTGGGAAACCCTTCTTACGTCACATAAGGAATGTCAACAAGGGAATTCCGTCCATCATGTTGTATCGAAAATTTTATATTCTATTTTAACAATCAAATGAAAACTTTCTAAAGTAAATATAAGCCTTTTTTATTTAATATAAGTACTCTACATTGAAACCACTAGTGTATAAACTCAACAGACCAGGATTTCTTTATTTTTCAACCGTTGGATTTCTACCTCTGGACATTTTTGTTTTAACAATTTTTATTGGAAAAGGAGATTACAGTGATAAACATTGACTTGAATGACATTAAAATTAGTTGATTTAACCTTTAGATAGATTGATTTTTAAATTTTCTTAAAATCCTTTGTAGTTAAACCATCTAAGGGAATTGTTCATTGTATATTTTTGCTTCACTGTCATAGATTTCTACAGTTATTGTTTATATTTGACAGGTTTGTTTTGGCATTGAAGTTGTGTGTATTGTGTGGAAGTCAAACCTTGGCACTGAGCATGTACATTAACAGAATAACAGATTTCATTGCATTAATAACATTTTCATTTTGGTAACTGGTGATTGGTGAGAATAACCCTTTCATATCTTTCTTCTGGGTCGCCTGATACTATGAGTAATACTCTAAGAAGCCATTTCTTTCCATTTTACCATCTGTTTTGTCTTATTATTACTATACTCCTGTAAGACATCCCCACTTAACAGTCCCAGCTTTATTGAAAAGCTTGTGACATAAACTTTTGTACTATATTTACCTTGATAAAAAAAAAAAAAAAAAAAAAAAAAAAAAGAATTTCATCTTTGGAAAGAAATTTAATTTTGGAAGCTTTTTATTAATTAATTAATCTTTTGGCGGCTCACATACACTTCATAAAATTTATGTGTTCTTGGAAAATGTTTTGTTATTAGGTGCCTGATATGAAAAAGTCAGTAATTGTAGTCTTGTAGTGTAATGATAGTTTAGTTCAACTTGTTGGTACTTCTGTTCATAAAACAGTGAAAGCCTAAAAATATCAAAATACAAGAAATACTATAAAAAATTGAACATTTTATCACAGGGATTAGATACTATTTGATAAAATCTTCTTATATTATTTAAAAATATTTCTAGTTCCGTGTATAAAAATTGTTTCCATTTATTTTAAAAATTGGGAACTGGTTTTTTTGGAAAAAAAAAACAAAACATTTTACAATTGCGGTGGTAGCTTGGCGCAAGTGGACAATTGTATTTTGTTTTAGACTTTTCTCGGGTTTTTTTGAATGCAGTTATCTGGAGAAGATTGGAAAAATTGAAGTAATTTTTCCGCAACTATTTGACCAGGTATTATAGTGTGGTACAATTTGAATCCTTGTTGTTGTGAATTTTTACAGTACTGGTTTAGCCAGGAAAGTACATGAAACATTGTGCTCTTGTTTGAAATAAATCAAGTGATATTGAAGACTTTGGGTATAGCAGGTCATATGGAAGTAGTGTTGTGCTTATATTGTCTTCATTGTTATTTGAATTTCCCTTGTAAATTGTTTGGTAGGTGAAATCCATTCAATTTTTATTACAAGTTTGATACAGTACTGGACTTTGATATTTATATATTGCAGCACATTCTCAATGGAAAACTATAGAAGTTAGTACAGTGTAAAGGAATTACCAAGCATTAAATATAGGTTAGGTTGATTGGCATTTACAGAATTTAATTGGGTGGCACATAAAAGGCTGCAAATTTGAAAGTTTATTTATGTGTTATTTATCTTGTTTGTAATTTATATGGTGTACAATATGGCAACATCATTTTTTGTGTGTTTTAATTATTCATTTACTGAAGGCCTGAATTGTCTTAAGTAAATAAAATTCATCTGGTGTGTAAATTCTGCTAGATATAACATATTATCATTAAAAATTTCAGTTGCCATATTTGTGTATGGTGTACAATGTATGCCATATTGTGAACAAAATTTATTTTTGTGTATTAGATGAGTTTATTTTTTTTCATTTGAAAGTTTTTATTTGGAATAATATTTCAAGTAAAAAGTGCCCTTCATTTTTATTTATTTTTGATCAGTCTAAGTTGGTGTTGTTGATTTGTTGACACGTTATGTCAGTAATTATCAATATGGATAATGACGATACACACCTAGAGGAAAAGATAGTCGTGATGAGTTAGATCTTGAGTATTGTTTGAGACGTGTTTTTGAGTTCTGGTTATACTGTTGATACAGTGCAACCTAGAAACTGATAGACGTTCACCTCTCCACTGATGCTGATCCTGATACACATACACCTATTAGGGAGTACCGACATAGACATCGTGATCGTTCTCCTCCTGTGTTATCTCCTCATAGGTTGCATTCTATTCATGAAAGTGCTTCGTCACCCTTGTTGAAAGACGTCAGAGTCGTGTTTCTTTTCGTCCTGATTTCGATTCCATCCCCTCTTGGCTCAAGCTTTGCCCAGAAAATCTGATTTTATTATTCTAGGCCTGAGTTTGAAGGATTATCAAACAGTCCTTTCCCAGATCTGGCTTCTCTCCCACAGCATGATTCTTATAGCAACCCTTTACATTTTCCACCACAGAGACTTCCTAAGAATTACCTTCAGTTTTCAGGGGAATTGAAGAAAGAAGATGTGGAATTTGTCGTTTGGAAGTATGAAGTCACTGTATCCTCAAAAGCGGTATGTATTCTGAACATTCCATTTTGGAGTCGATTCGGCGTAGTCTGCGTGGGAAGGCCAGAATCAGTTTTGTTACATCTTGGGGAGTGGGCGACTGTGGATGAAATCGTTCGAGAAATGGATGCAACTTATGGTAACGTGGCATCAACAGAGAGGCTGAAAGAGCAATTCTACTCTGCAAGTCAACGGGAGGGTGAATCAATTGTTGACTATAGTCTTCGATTGGAGCATCTTCTTGTTTGATTCCCAAATCACACTCGATAGAAAGACACGGGATGACATGTTGAGGAACAGATTGTGGTCTGGACTAAGGAACCAGGATTTGAAGAACGCCACTAGGTACAAATTTGAGGCGGAACTTGACTATACAGGTTTTAGGCGAGAGTTGCGACTTGTTGAAGAGGAGATGAAGTTGGCTCAACAAGGAGTTAAATCATCAGGTACCTTTACCAGGGATAGATCTTCCACTTCTTCTACTTCTTCTTTTCCTTCTAATTCTTCCGACACGGTCCAAATTGCAGGATGTAAGACAGTGTAGCACCTCTGTTGAATCCAAAAATTTTACAGGGAGTTACAGGGATGTTACAGCTCAGTTGAAGACTTTGAACAGCAGAGTCACTCGCATCGAAAGAGACCTTGATGATGTCAAGAAGAATAGGTATAGGTCAGATGGGAACAGGTGGCGAGGTAGAAGTAATGACATCCGAATTCAAGAGAGCAGAGCCGAAACCATCTCCAAGTTCTAACTCTACTTACTCCATTCAAGACAGATAAGCCTTTAAACCAGCAGGCTCCTCCACCAAAGGGCCAGTAGGAGGACCGCCCAGTCAGAGAGGCCCACCAAGTATCCCTTTGGTTGGACATTCCAATGAAACAGATGTTCTTGTTAATGGAATGCCCTGCTACAGGCACTTTTAGACTCTGGTTCTATGGTCACAACTCTTGCTCATTCTTACTTTTTATCTTTGGATCCTTGTCCAGAGCTGTTGAGTATTTCTGATTTCTGTGTCAAAGGAGCAAATGATTCATCTATTCCTTTTATTGGTTATTCTATCCTGGAAATTTCTGTTCCATGTCTTTCTTCAGATTCTGTTGTTTCTGTTCCTGTTTTGATAGTGCCTGATACTTCTTATTCCAAAGTCTATACCTCTTATTATTGGTACTAATGTTAGCTAGCCACTACAAGAGATGTATTACCACACCAGAATCAGTTCCATCTCCATGGGGTGAAGTCTTTTCTTCTATTCCGGATAACACTGCAGTTCAGGTGAAGGCTTTGATCACCAGACCTATGTATATTCAGCCTTTTCCGGTTTGTACTGTTCCAGGTATTGTTCGTGGAAGTCATTCCATTTGACATGGTGTTACAGAGGATGATGAGAACTTGCACTCTTTCAATGTTTGCCCTCGCCTTGTTGAAGTTGACCCTAGTCGTTCTTCTCTAAAGTTCCGGTTCGAATTTGTAACATGAGTGTCAGACCTGTTCGTATCATGCCTAAAAGTTCAATCTGCCTTCTTCAAGATGTGAACGTTGTTCGATCAGTTTGACCCTTTGGAAGCC